TTTATTGTTGTAATAATAATAATTATGAATTAAAGCCAGTGCTATCGATAAACAGCTTGCCTAATCGTCAACTATTGTCATCACAATCACAATCATCGTAATCGCCACCGGTCATTAATTGTGATCATTATTGTTTTCATTCGTTTTGATCAATTTCCCATTTTGATCATTTAAAATTACTACCGATCATTGATTCCAATCATCATTGTCCCTATCAATCACCCACAATCACTAGCAATCATTAATCGCAATCATTATCGATCATTAATCGCAATCATCATTCTTACAATCATTTCACCATAATCACCCAAAATCACTAGTGACCGTTTATTGCAATTATTATCGATCATTAATCGCAACCATTGTTATAAATCACCATCAATCACAAAAATTACTATCAGCTTAATAATTTTGACTGATTGCTTCATATCACTCAAAAACCTTGATTCCTCTTTTAGGCTGTCAACCAATCATGAAGATGCATGGATTTGACTGGCCAGAAATATTCCGCTGCAAGAAGTTCCCAAAAAAGTCAAGTGGACAGCTTTGCATCGAGAGAAAAAGCAACAGACGGGACAAAAAAAGTTCCAAAGGGGGCAAAAACTGACACACGAGTGAACCATCCTTTCGGGCATTCCCACAAGCAAGAAGCTTTCGAGCGAGAACATGTTTTGGACCAAGTAAATAGCTTTAGTTCAGTGTACGTATTTTTAGCCGGTTTGTTTAGGAATAAACTTAGCATAAATTTGCATAATGTGCATAAATCTTGTGTAGAGAGATCGTCCGTGTTTCTTTAATGTAGTCTTGTTTTTATTTTAACATGGACAACGGTATTTTTACTCCAAACTCTTAAGAAACATGCGCTTCACAATTTTTTATCTCAAACCTCCTACATTCCTGCCCAGTCAATTTAAGTTAAACAAAATAACAGGGATAGGAAAACTGGAAACTTAAGTAAACTAAAACAGAAAAAACCTGTTTTACAAGAACCTGTTTACTACAAAGAAATATATTAGACCATTTTATTAAACTTACCTAGTTTTGCCAAAAGGTTGCCAAGTTTTCAAAAAAGTTCTTAATTAATGATTGAGAATACTTTCAACCAATATTTTCAGCGTATAAATCAGTACAGCATGATCAACATTAATGAAAAGTGATACCAGATGATCAGGCATGAAAGAGATCCGGATGCTTTTTCCGGAGCACACGATCCGGGCAGTTAGGACAACGAGGCTTGTAACATTTACCAAGATTTGGGTGTTCAATGTATCAATTCACCTTTTTTGTTTGTAACTAGCATTTCGTTCCTTACCACAAACTTGTTATTTTACTTTTTAGTCAGACTTTATTATTTTGTCAGTCATTATCAAGTTGTCGTCATTATCGAGTTTTGAGTCATTTTTTGAGACCCCATCACCCGTCAATTGCCCCCATATCTGGGTACAAAATCCAAATCCTTTCTAGAGAGGCAGATGCCCCTTCTTGATGCCCCCTTCTGCCCGGGGTATAATGCCATCAAACGACTAAGAGGTCCCATACAAGACTTCCACAAAAAAGAGTTATTTTTACATTAAAAAGGGGGTTTGGCCCTCCCTGAGCAGACGTATCTTTACAAATCTTTCTACTGCCGACATTGAATTGGCTAAAGACAGGACTACCTTTAAAACAGTTCCTCGTTATTTGTTAAGCAATTTCTTTATTTTAATGACATCTCTATATACACTGTTTTCCATCGTTTTCAATATCAGCATTTATTGGTAAAAGGTGTTCACCTTTTGTTTTGAACGCTTAATTGACAATTAGCAACTCGGAATCAAAACAGTAATTAAGGGGAAATGATAATTTAGTCGTTATGTTGCAACTCCTGAGTCGTTAGCGATGCGACACAATCTGATCGGAAGCCCGGCGATATGAGAGGTTTAATTTTACATCCTTGCTTTGGATTTTAGGAGCTTCAAAGTCACGTTGTTGTTATCTCACGTAAGGAGGAAAAGTGACACCTTTGCTGCATTCTTTGCCGTTCTGTATAAAGGTGTTTTGCAGTAAAAAAACTGCGAGGGGTGTATGGCTAGTTATTTTTAGATAGATCATCTTTCGAAGGAGTTTTGAGGGGCAAAGAACAGCTATTTCGAGAAAAGTTGACAGACAGGTTTCAATCGAGAATGTTTCATAGGCATTTTCGAAGGGTTATCAGCTGCCAGGGCAAGCTTTGGAGATAAAAAGTCTAGTGTTTAGAACAATAGCAATTCACTGGGATTGGAGGGCCAATTGCCCCCTGGCTTGTTTGTTAAAAAACCCCTGGAATATTTCTGCAAACAGTGAAATCACTCTATTGCCGTCCTCACTAAACGTAAAATAGCGGTAATTATTTCATGATAAACGAAAAGCCAAGATTTAAACTTTAATTTCTACCGACAGTACAAAAAATTACCGCGGGTATTCTTCCAAATTCAAGGAGAGAGAGTGCCCCCAGTGAAATGACAAATTTATTCTGAATTGTCTGAAAGAAGAAAAATTCAATAAACAGGGGGCTTTGATTGGGAAGGGAGCGGGGAGAGCCCCTTCAACTACAGCATTTTTAGGAAAATTCTCAGAGGGCTTTGTTGGAAAATTCACTATATTCGTTTACGCGCTGCTATATTTCCCACTCAGAATTGCTTCTTATAACATATTCCAACTTTTCTTGACTTTCCTGGGGTTGACACCCCAAATGGGGCTGCTATTGCCAGAACATATGTAAGTTGGTAAATGCAAATTATCACGAGATTGAAATAACCTTGTATCATTCTTGTCGTGCGAGCTAAGTGGCTGAAGGGCTAAAACCCCCTCACGTTTTTGCTGAACTATGAAATCCAGGTAGTGGCATCAAAGATAAAGGAGAAAAGCTACCACCAGTGGCGTACCCAAGGGGGGGGGAATAAGGGAGTCCGGACCCCCCCACATTTCTAAAATATGATCCTCAAGATTTGTCGATGTAAAACTCATTGGGGGGGGGGGTTTAGCATACTGTATGCTTGTCAATAACAATTGTAAAATACTTTGCTATTTACCGTAGCTAACATGAATCAAATAATGGGGGGAAATTTTGCAAAAAGGGCATTTCCCCGCATTTGCGAGTGTTATAAGGGCGTGGTCCAGAAAAATTTCTGGGGGCTGCACCCCAGACCCCCCTCCCCACTACTGCAGCCCTGGGTACGCCACTGGCTGCCACAAAAGTTTTCCAATTTGTCTAGAACCACCCCCACACAAAAATGTGTTCCGGCGTCCCTGTTGTACCCAGTTTTTCTGAGATCGTTTTTAGGGCACTGAGAAGCTATGCTCATCGAGCAGTCTCCTGGTCCTTCTTCTCGATTTAACCACACCTCTTCATTCCTAAGACTGGAATTACAGAGAGCTGGTTACTCCCCTCACTCTGGGTCTGCCACGTAGCTGCATGGGGGGCACGTGGGGGGGGGGGAGCTTACAAACTTATGATCAGACTTGCACGTGAAAGTTGTAATAGTATACACAAACCCCAGGCTTATGGATCGATAGTCTACGTACCTAACTGCACAAACTTTCAGATTCAAGACAAAAGTAAAGTTTTGACGATAATTGCAATAAGCAGGACATTAGCAACACCAAATGTTTCCTCGATTCTTTCTTGGTTCCCGTAGAGCCCTTCCTTTCCTCCTAGTTACAAAGAAATTACGTCACAACCAAATAAAACAGAAGTCATGATATTAGAGTCAAAGTATCTGCCTCCACAAATCATTTCCCTTCGTACTGTGTCCGTTCCCACAGCTTAACAATAATATGAAATAAACGAACACTCAAAGGTTGGATCAAGTCCTTAAAAGGATGAAAAATATCTGAAATCTGCCATTCAACGCCTAGATTTGATTTAAAGGAAGCAAGAAGGCCTCGTTTACTTAACCAAACATCAGCCATTTAGGAACAGAGCGCTGAATTAGTGGGCCTAACGCCTTCGACAATTTCCGTAAAAATTGGATTGGATCTTGATTTCTTATAAAGTCATCAAAATTTATAATTTGCTTGTAAAAAGGATTTGATAAAAACAGAGACGGATTCGAATGTGGAATTCTCCGAACAAAGGATATTCGAATTGTCTTCTCACAGAACAAACAAAATATTCGAATTTCGAACCTATCAAACAATGAGACACTCGAATTTCGAATTTCGAAATGTTGATTTGGAACAATGGCGATGTCACATAATAATTTTTGAGCCAGGTTCCCAGAATTTAATTTGCCAGGTTCTCTCAAACGCAAAATGTCCTTTTTTGTAAGGGTTAAAAGGCCCAAAGGTCTTCGTGGATCCCCTAAATATGGCGCTAACTGACAGGGTAGGGGGTGAGGCTGTCCCCTTTTCGTTCTAATTAGTACGTTTCGTTCACTACTCTAAAAAGTTTGGCCAATAGGGACATAGGAGCTTTAGTGGCAATTTATCTTAAAACATAGCAACAAAAATGACACGCAGATTTTCCACCCAATTATGTTCAAAGCTTCTTCCTTAACCTGTGGTTAATTGTGTGGTCTTTTAATTTGCACTAACATAACACAACACCCTTTGATCAATTGGAACAACTGATGTGGCCCCGTGTGGAAACTTTTATGGTTCAAACTATTCTCGCAATAAAATTCAGTCATATTTTGTGCCCTTTGTTCTTTCCACAGCTTTGAAATTCAGCTATTTCCAAGCCACTTCACACTAGATTAAATTAGAAGCAATTAATGGTCTCATTAAGTTAGTTTTCTAAAGGGGTTCAATTGAACACGTTTCTGAGATTGGGCCAGCAAGGGTTATATCCTCTTACGGCATTCCAGACAAATGGACTACCTTTCCAAAAATATAATAAATCTCATTAGCACGAGGCAATTTAGACTAATTTCCTAATTATTTCATGCGACCAATTTTCAAAACAAAACAAACAAATAACGCCTCAGGAATTGATACGTCCATTAAATTATTTTAATTGCAAAATGTAACGGCTTATTTATGTATAAATAAACGGGGAATTCGTAAAGTTTTACATCGTTCGGAAGCTCAAGAAAGTCAGAGATCAAGAAATAATTTGACATCATGAAGACGGTTCTTGCATTGGCAATCTTGGCTGTGGTATGTTTTGCTTGCTTTTAGCAGATCTTAGTTTAATCTTATTAATGCTTCATTTCACAATATCATTTGCATTTTCACGACCAAAAAATTCACCGCATACCACAAAAAGCTTCGAAATTATTCAAGCACGCTGTTGGTGCCCAAATTTTGCATCGTTAATGGTCAAATTTCGTTAAATTGTTTGAATTGGTCTTAAAATTTTTGTATGTGATTAAACTAACAACATATAATGTGGGTTTTTCGCGTCAAGTTTACATTCTATTGAATTCAAATATTTGCCAAGTTAACTTGTGTGTCAGGTATGCGATAAAAGATGCCAAACTGGTGTGTCTTTAAAATCTGATTTTTAGAACCATGGGATAAATTAAAAAGAATTAAAAAACAGCTTGTGCGATTTTGGAAAACAAAATCATCGATTTATGTAAAAAAAAGTCATGTAGAAACTGACTCATTTGATGTAAGGACATCCCTTAGGCAAATTTTTGACACTACTAAAGTATAGATTGGTGGGATTTGCAAAAAAACGTGTTAGAAACGAGTGCTTTGGGCATTTTACGAATTTATCAAGCCAGAGACCAAAGAAACTTTTTTAGCAAGAAACGCGAAGGAGATTAGCATTAAAAAACACGATGACTGTGTGGAAACAACAATATTTGCTAAACGAAATACTTAAAAATGGGCTAAAATATGAATAATCGAGTTGAAATACTATTTTAAGTTTTGAAATATTATTTTATTATCGTCAATTTGATTTTTCATGAGAAGATATTGAGAATTTTTAACTTTCTTTTAGGCCATCATCGGCTCAGAATGTAGGCATTTGCAGAAATACCCTGGCTACCGTGAGTACACTTAATTAATTGTTTTTAGAAACTTACCTCGCTAAGCAATTAATTCTTTGCTGATTTTAGCATTTATTAAGTTCCTTTAAGATTTCTTAAGATCCACATGCAAAAAAGCTGCTTCTTAGAAACAAAAAGGAAAGATAAGATATTACATAGAACATCTGATAATTCACAAGCAGGGGTGTAGCTTCAGGGGGGGGGGGATGGTGCTGAAAGGGGCTGTTAGCCGAAAATAGCCATTTTACTTTTACTTTTTGTCATGATTACATGGTGTTATCAGAGAAATATCAGAGAAACAATTTTATGGCTCAATTTTTGCAGTTTTCGAAATTTTGTGTTTCGTAAAGGAATTCAAAAAATAGATTCTATTTTGATCACTTGTTTTATCAGAAGTTTGTTTTTTATCAGAATATGACGCCCTGATCACGTGATTACATCAGAACATGCCACCCTGATCACGTGGTTATATGAGAACAGGCCACTCTGATCACATCATTTCATCAGAAGAGGCCATCCTGATCACGTGATTATATCAGAACAGGCCATCCTGATCACATGCTTATATCAACCTTGCCCTCTCTTTACAACTCTTGTTTTCATAACACAAATTCTCCTTTCTTCTTAGTTTGCAAATACCCTGGGCACTACGCTTATCCAAAGAGCTGCGAGAAGTTCATTCAATGTGATGCTCATGGCAACGCGTTTATCATGCCTTGTGCCCCTGGTACTGTTTTCAACCCTTACATCAGCGTCTGTGTCCACAAGAACAAATACTCCTGCGGAGCTTACAAACCCGGATATTATGGTGGCAAGCATCCCTACCACGGTTATCGTAAGTTTTCTTCCATTTCGTGCTTTACTGCATGTCGTAATCTCCTCAAAATACTTGTTTTTTAAGTCGTGCCCCAAAATAGAAATAGGCCACTGTCTAAGAAAGAAAATAGAACAACCGTTCCCCGGCACCGCGGAGCGTTTGGAAAAGAGGATATCTAAAAAGTGTGGGGGGGGCTAAAACCGTATAAAAAGAGGCTCTACTGGAAGTTTTTTACCTAATTTCTGGCATTTTTCACAAAAGGTGGGGGCCCCCTGCTTCGAACTGCCTGATTCTTAATGTCGATTCGACGAAGCTTTATGTCGTTATTTTGAGATTTTTTTGTTACCAGTTCCATTTAATACAAATTAAAAAGCTTTCTAATACACGTTGTAAGTAGTTTGAAAATGTCAGGCCTAGGCCACAGAATAAGACATGAACAAGTTTATAGTAAACAAGCAAACTAAATAGAAATTAGGAATGATTACCAGCAAACCATTTGTGGTAAAGATTTTAAAAATGGCTTGGCAAAAAGCAAGCATATTTGAGCTTTTCGTCTGAAAGTATAAAACATAAGAACATAAATCAAAAACCCTACGCTACTAAATAGATAGGTTTGGAAGTTGTGTCGAAATATATATATTGCAAGTTGTGTAGCTCTTTATAATGTTTGAAATAATTCATCTTTATCGGGCTTGGCTCAGTTTTACAAGGGTTGCTTTCATTCTAGTCTGCAAGAGGCCTGGGCACTATGCACATCCATACAGCTGCACTAAATTTGTCCAATGCGATAACCATGGCAACGCATTCGTCAAACACTGCTCCTACGGAACTGTCTTTAACCCTTACATCCAGGTCTGCGATCACCCATACAATTATCCCAAATGCGGATATTATAAACACGGTTACAAGAAAGATTATGGTTACAAGAAAGGACGTGAGTAATTTTTTTCTATTTGGTAGTTTCCTAGATTTTTCAAATAAGCATGCATTAATTACATACTCAAGTATTTAGATTACAAAAAAACATTTCCAATTGTTTATTTTTCCCGAATTTCCAAGACCTCCCTTTTCTTATAACATGCCCTTGATTCATTGACTAAAACTTTAGACTTCGAGATTTTAGAAATATTTGCGAACACCTTCTACAACACTCAACTTTATTAGAGAACAACCCCTCTACCCTCCCCTCGCCGCTTATTTATGCCTTCATTCGCCAAATTTGGACTTTGTCATTGAGCTATTCACCTTTTGTCTTCTTTTTAACGCATGATATAACCTTCTCCTAAAACAGAGAAACTAATTTCTCAGTTCATCTAAGGGAACTGATGTTTAATATATGACGTCACACTCGTTCCGTTCCCCCTCTTCTTTCTCATTCCATTCCCTTTTTCTTCGGCTGCCTAAACAGCTGCTAGTGATACTGAATCCATATAAATGACGTCACACTCGTTCCAGTCCCCTTTTCTTCATCTGCTTAAACAGCTGCTAGTTATGCTAAATCCAAATAAATGACGTCACACTCGTTCCATTCCTCTTTAGCATGCGCATACAGACATGGTGCCTTGTTGCCATACAAGCCCAATTGCCATTACTTCATTCACTGCTCCCATGGCATTGGATACGTGAAAGCCTGCCCAAGCAACCTCGTCTGGAACCCAAAGATCAAGGCTTGTGATTGGTACAAAAAGGGATACTACTACAACCACTGTCATTGTAAGTACACTGCTAGTCTTAGATTGATAATGTGATGACGTCACTTAAAATTCTCTTTCGAATCTTTAACCATATACTCTGCAAGTGGATTTTGGGAAATATTCCCATTAGCATTACAAAGGGATTTTCTCGATTCTTCAATAAGTGCTACAAAGAGCTTTTTCCGTATCCATTCGGCTTACATATTTGTAGCTATGACGTCAAACTCGTTCCAGTTCCCCTCTTGTTCTAGCTGGCTAAACAGCTGCGTGATACGCTAGAGATTATAAACCCGTATTAAGATGCAAGGAGTCCAATAATTTGAACCAGAATTTGCTATGAATATGACGTAAGCATATGAGCTCAACTCCTTCCCTTATCAAATAATAATAGCTTTTCCCTGGTTTTAAACTTTAAGAACACGGCCTACAAAACAGGAATCAGTCCACATTTTGGCCTATTCTCAACATTACCAACTGATTTTTTATATCTTTTGGGTAATCTAAAGCGTTCATTCAAATTTTATGATCTAAATAAATTAAACAAATTTGACCTTTACGACTTTCTTGCTCAAGATCACGTGGTCTTTTAGATTCTGATTTGACCACCTTGATAAAAATTCCTTCGAAAAAGAATTTGAATACTTTGTTTAATGAATAAAATTTCCTGATGATGGCATTAGACACGTAGCTTGGAGTAGCAACCTAGAACGTTCTGTTCTGGACACATATATCTGCCTGTACGGCACCGAGCATTTAATTACAGACCAATAAACACTAATTCGCTTTAAGTTCTTGAGTAGATGTTTGTTTTTTAAGCTTGCATCTATCCTATTCCATGTTTTGTTGTAATTAACAGCCTCTAATGCATATTTTCATTTTATATTTTCACATTTCTAATATTTTCTTCTTTTTTTCAGATTATGGCAAGCATTATTATTAAATTCCAAGAAGATCAATGAATGAACAATAATAAACTTAAGTTAATGCTTACTAGACTTTTTTCAGTGTCTGATTTTCTTAAAAAAAATGATTTTACGATTCAATTAATTCGTCTTTCTGCCTCGGTTCCTTGAATCAGCCATTGCTCTAGAACAATTTTATAGGCTTAAACTTGGGGCCATAACCTTGTTTTTAAAGAGAGGACAATTTAATGTCTTAAATGATTTTAAGGTTAGTAAAGCTGGAGGGTAAAATGCTTCTTCGTTAGGAATTTTTGCATCAAATTAGAACGTGACCATAATTCTTCTAAATTCACCTGGTACCAAGCACTGAAACGAGGCAAGAGGGACGTGATCTTAATGACCACACCCATTACCCTCCCACTCTGCAGTAGCTGGTGTCACCACTGCCCCCAGCTAGGGTATCAAAAGGGAAAACACTGTCACATATTTGGCAAAGTATCTCCTTCCAATAGAAGACAGAAGATGATATTTCTACTCTATACAAAATTTCAGATGAAGTGATCCCGGACTACCTTAACATTGCGAAATTCTGCTTATGCCAGGGAGTAAGATTTGACAAACCAATTTATTTAGAGATCGTATCCTTGGCTCAGCTTTTAATTTACTTTAATTCAGAGGTCATCCAATCTATTCTCAAGTTTATTGATCGAATTGTACGATTGTCAAATCTTTTCTAGTTTGAAGTCTCTAATGTTTGCTGGGAGATTTTTTGGAGCTTTTAAAAACATTGATTCAGACGATAATTGAGAGATGGCTGAAAGAGTGAACCATACGGATCATAATAAGATAAAGTGATATCTTGAAGTTGCTAAAACATGTTTAGTGGGTATTATTGTGGCATTTTATAGACTGCTATTTTTGGGAAAACAATTGGAGCTTTGGCTTGTATGTTTGGGCCAGCCCACCATTATTTTGTAACCAGGTAATGTCCTCATTTTGGTCTGTGTTCAGAACGCTGTTTCTTTAATGAGCAAATCGAATATCGGCTTTATGTGGGCATGCACTATCATTTTATGCGAAAATGTATTGCTTGATGTAAATCTCCAAGTATCTCTATATCCAGATAAAATATTACGATACAAACTACATTCTACTATAATTTCTATTTGTTCTACGACACTACAGGTACGATACCATGGGGGGAGGGGGGGGGGGAGCAAAGGACAATGACAAACAATTTGTCCTTACATGCAACTAGACTAACAATTTCAAATGCTGCACGTATAAACAATAAATATTTCAAATAAAATTCTCCACGTCATCATAACTAAATTTCATGAATCTCTGTCTTTTTTGGTAAGGAAATCCAATATGCTACTCAGTGGCGTAGAAAAAGGGGGTCAAAGGGGGAGAAGAACCCCCTTGTAAAGCTAAACTGCAATTTTGTCGGAAAACCAATGATCTGGTCGGAAATTAAAACATAGTTTCCTATATTTTATCTAAATATTACATTTTGAGAGGAAAATTTTAAACCTGAATATGAAATAAAAATATCTGAATATATCAGAAGAAATTTCATATCAGTTTTGATCTGAAATCTTTATGTTATGTTCAAACTCACGACAAAATGAAATTTATTGCTGTTTTTTGTCGAAAAAAGTAAAATATCTTGCCCCTCCTTCAAATTTTCCTATCTACGCCAATGAGGCTACAAAGGACTCATGTGCACGTGTCAATAAACCCCAACTTTTGCTTTGTTCAGAGCTATCATTTCAGTTTGACGGAAATCAAACTAGCATTTCTGTACGCTTGCTTCAAGCAATGCCTGACGTCACAAAGGGAGCCAGGGACCTAGGAATTTTTCAGTGCCAGGGCCTCCATGCTTTGCAGTATTAGTAAAACAATCTAGACAATGCATATGGTGCCTAGAATTTTTCTTCATCTTAACTGATATGTTAAACAAGCTTGAGGCCCTTGAGCTCCTTTATCATATCCAAAATACCGGCTTCAAAATAAAATAATAAAGATAATATTATTGCTTGAGGCCAGGGGCGGACACTTGGTCAAATATTGGGGGGAGGGGGCGGCAAGCCTATTGTTTCAATAAGATGGCGTCAAATTTCCCATTGTTTTGGAATAAAAGACCATTGTTCTCTGAAGTATTGGGCCGTCGCCCCTCCCCCCTTTAGGTGTCCGTCACTGCTTAGGGTCTTCTAAAATTTAGGGGCCCTTTGTTTTTTAGCTAAACGTAACTTAAGTTGGTTATACCCTTGCTCAAAAGTGAGAGTTGCGGGGCGTGACCCCAATCAATAATTAGGCACAGTTTAAATCTTCTTGTACACGGCTTTAAGCATATTGAGGAGAGATAGTAGCTGACCAAATCAATGAAATTTATTGTTTTTTTTGGAAAATTCGAGTGGAAAAGTTCAAAAATGCGCATATAAACTTTGCTTTTAATTTGCCAAAATTAGTGGAACTTTTTGTGTCTTTACCCCCACCCTAGAATCCACTTCCAAAGATGCCCAAATAGTATGCAGGGCTCGTGGCTTCGGTAGCCCCTGATTTATAAGTCTCTACTTGCTTTGATTTCTATCTCTCTTCATCTGCGCCCAGTAACCCCTTGCTCTTAAATTACGACAACCTAATGATGTTCACAATCATTCTACCTATTTCAGTTTAAACTGCTATAGCCAAATTTTTAAATATAAAACAATTAGACACATAAGCGCTATTTGAAACACCACTTGCCATTACACCCCATCTGCTCCCGGAACCCCGTATTCTTAAACCCCTAAAACCCAGCGATGCTCACGGCCATTCTACACATTCAAGTTTCAACTGCTATAGCCAAGTTGTTAAATCTTAAACTATAACAGAATGTAGTTGCTTTCTGAAACACCTTAATGAAACATTAGGCCTTACAACCCTCATCGGCTGTTGATATAATTGCCACAGATTCGGCTATTAGATGCGTCTTTTGGATTCATCTTTCGATGCCACATGCGTAGTAACTACCCACAATTAGGACAGAAATAATCTTATTACAGAAATTAAGGAAATAGCCACGAATCTGTCAATAAATTTACAGTAATTAGAAGACAAGTCTGCCTGGTTGAAAAGTATAAAATGCACAGAAAGCTTTGACACTATCATTCGAGAGGTCGCAGCTGTAAGGTCACGGCACCAAACTCAAGATGAAGTTGTTCATAGCAGCCCTAGCTCTTGCTATAGTAAGTCGATCTATACGATTTTGTACTGTATGATTTCTTAACATATTCTTAGGCATTTTTACTGAAGTTAATTGCGTGTTTATGTTATTGTAGTGTAAATAGACTGTGCTGCCTTTGGTGCATTAAACAGAACGATTGTAAGTTGCTGCTCCAAGTTTCACGATTAATGCAATCTTTAGGCTACAATGAATAAACAGTTGTGTGATGCAGTTAAAAGCACCTAAGACAGCAGGGCTCTGAGATTATCAAAACGCTGATAAATTACTTTGGAAATTATTTTTATAAAATTCTAATTGAGTTCATCCTGGATCATGTAGCTCGGTAACTACAGGTCCCTCTGTCGAAAGGGGCCTCTACGTTATTTTAACAAGATCATGTTTTTGGGATTTTGATCAGGTTGAAACTGCTTTCAACAACTTCGAATGCTTTATAACAGCAATCTATATCACATCCCATCCATCTTAAACATTTCTCCATCGCGCTAGTGTGTTTCACACGGTTTTTAAATTACCCCCATTTGTTCTCATGTCTATCGAACACGAAACCATTTGATAGAATCTTCCTGTATCGAGTATCGAACTCGACTCGCAGACGCTGTGGCTCGATTCTCACTCGAGGCGACTCTGTTGTGAGCCTGTACACCCATCTGGTAAAGCACTAAAACTGCTACAGGAAGCTTTCGAATGTTTTTTGTCATAATCTATTTGCTAAGATAACTTCCACTGTACGGTGTGTTTATTAGGAACAATTGCAAACAAAACTCTAAGAAGATGACTTTGTGTTGTCACGAAGCGACAAGGGTGAACAGCTGGAGTTGCCTACTTCTGACAAACCATGATTGCAAGAGTTTCTTGGCTAGGGCTCTCTTTATCCCATCGCCGTTCAATTTTACTTGCATATAATGAATAAATTAAATTTCACCGCAAAACTTTAACATATTTCTGTTTTTTTTTAGATTTTTACAGAAACACAATCAAGCAAAGTCTACAGATACGGTATGTCGGTTTAATTTGCTTTAATTGTTGTTATTCTCGGAGTTGTAGAGCCAGGAACCCTTCCCTCCTTTCAAATGCAGAATTATGTCGCTATTCTTATTCCCTTTTTGAGAGATTTTTTAGAGCTCCTTAGGTTACTGCGATGCAAGCCCCAGTAGATCGAGAGAATAAGAAATATCAAGTTGGGATCCAAAGCTGATAATAATTCCTTCTTTAAATGTTCAACTTCAGGTCCCCCCCCCCAAATAATTGACAAATAATTGTCAGCAAAAGTCGCCTCTTCACCCCTCCAAACAATTTCATAGGCTCCGCCCCTTTAAATTGTGTAATGTTTATGTATCGTGCATGTTTGCTACTGTTGATCACTGCTCAATCGATCGTTGTAAAATGCTCGATGCCGCATAAGGAGAGCTGCATTCGTGTTGAGAACTGAGCGGGTTCTTTTTGAGTTTTATTCAAAGCGATCATCTGCCAACAGCGGACTACTTGACCTTGAACTTATGATGCTCATGACCTTCTGATTGCTAATTAGTTATCGTTAATTGCTAAAGATTTCAAGAGCTACTTCTAAACAATGATTTACTGATTCGACATTTTTTAGAGATCTTGTAATTATTCATCAGTTATCACTGATTGCTTGATTAAACAGTGATTTACTGATTCATGTTGATCAGCGTACTTCTGATTGATTACAAGACTGTCAATTGAGCAGCGATTTACTGATTCATGTTGATCAGCAATTTTCTGATTTCTGATTTTCCTTGATTCTCAGACTGCAAAAAGGCTGGCTACTATCCATTGCCAAAGAACTGTCACTACTATATCCAATGTGACGACAACGGAAATGGAATCAAAATGCCATGCGCACCAGGAACGGTCTGGAGCCAAAAGCTTTGCACATGCGTACACAAGGCCTACGGTTGCAATAGCTACGATAACAAAGGTTACTGCCCAGCGTTCAAATATTACAAGAAGGGCTGTGAGTAGCAATTTCTTGATTCATTTCTTTGCGTACATCAATGTCCCCATCTTGTGTTGTCTCGCAGGGCTCTTTTCTAGGTCTATTACTTGTTGTTGATTTGTATTATTGCATTAAGCCCAGGAGTTGTCCCAGCTGCCACATTGTTTGATGGCTATTCAGCTTGGCTCTTGTAATTTTTATGAAAACATTATTTTTCATCATTTTTGTATCAAAGAAAATCCACAAAGGAGAATTTGAAACCTACAGGTTTGCGCAGTGACAACGATGGCTCTTTGCTTTATTTGCCTTCTCTAGTCCACAAGTTAAGCACCAGTGTTCAAGTACCCAGAACCAGTCTAACAAATTAGCAGATACTTCTTTGATAGGAAATTGTCTCCTGAATCAGTTTTATGTAACGAGACGCTCGCATGACAAAGTTCATCATAAAAATACACAATTTAGACAATAACATCGTGTAATAATGTTTCACCGTGTAATTCCTATACGCAACAAAAATACCCAGGAAATTCCGACTCTGGAAAAGTAGATCTTGGGGGACGCTTAAATGGTAGATACCTTTTATTGAGCCAGCCTCCTCATTGGCACCATTCTTTGAAAAGTTGGAGGGAGAGGGGAAAATGCTCCCCCCTTACTCCATTTTGACACCATGTTTGGAAGAATGTTGGGAAAGGAACAATTCTCCCCCTAAATCTCTTATTGGTACCATGCTCCGAAAAATATAGGGAGAGGAGATATTAGCCCTCCCCCAGCTTTCCAATTGGCACCAAGCTTTGAAAAATAAGGTTGAGAGGGGACAACACTCGCCCTACCTCGCTTTTGGCACCATATTTAGAAGAAAGTTTGGAAAAGAATACTCATCCTTCTGACCCCCATTTTGGTACCATACTTTGAAAAATGTAGAGAGAATGACAGTAGTTCCCCAAACTGCTCCCTTCGAATTAAAACCCGAGTAGGAAAATGATGTTGTTGATGCTACATCGTGCTGCATGCGAGAACACGAGCCAAAGAATTGTTTCTAAAAGGAGCAAAATTGATTTTTTGAAAAAAGAATACGAAAGAAGAAGCCCTTTTAGGATTTAAGTCTATGGACAGCAGAGGTTGTGTAAAGACGATCAGTTTTTTGTTGTAAGAGCTTAAAATTGTTTCTCCAACTTTATCACTATTTTATCACGACATCTTTCCACCGCAGATAAACATGTAGCACATGGCAGACATGGACAAGGCAAGGGTTGCGTTGGAAGACATTGTGGTGAACACGGCAAGCCTTATGGCAAACCTTACGTCAAACCTTACGTCAAACCTTATGGCAAAGGTTGCGTCGGAAAACATTGTGATGGACACAGCCATGGTTGCGTTGGAAGACATTGTGGTGAACACGGCAAGCCTTATGGTAAACCTTACGTCAAACCTTACGGCAAGCCTTATGGCAAAGGTTGCGTCGGAAGACATTGTGATGGACACAGCCATGGTTGCGTTGGAAGACATTGTGGTGAACACGGCAAGCCTTATGGTAAACCTTACGTCAAACCTTACGTCAAACCTTACGGCAAGCCTTATGGCAAAGGTTGCGTCGGAAGACATTGTGGTGGACACGGCCATGGTTGCATTGGAAGACATTGTGGTGGGTACGGCAAACCTTACGGCAAACCTTACGTCAAACCTTACGGCAAAGGTTGCGTTGGAAGACATTGTGGTGAACACGGCAAGCCTTATGGCAAAGGTTGCGTCGGAAGACATTGTGATGGACACGGCCATGGCAAACCTTATGGCAAAGGTTGCGTCGGAAGACATTGTGGTGGACACGGCAAGCCTTATGGCAAAGGTTGCGTCGGAAGACATTGTGATGGATATGGCAAACCTTACGGCAAACCTTACGGCAAACCTTATGGCAAAGGTTGCGTCGGAAGACATTGTGATGGACACGGCAAGCCTTATGGCAAAGGTTGCGTCGGAAGACATTGTGATGGACACGGCCATGGTTGCGTTGGAAAACATTGTGGTGGATATGGCAAGCCTTATGGTAAACCTTACGTCAAACCTTACGGCAAAGGCTGCGTTGGAAGACATTGTGGTGGATATGGCAAACCTTACGGCAAACCTTACGGCAAACCTTATGGCAAAGGTTGCGTCGGAAAACACTGTGATGGACACGGCCATGGCTGCGTTGGAAGACATTGTGGTGAACACGGCAAGCCTTATGGCAAGCCTTACGGCAAACCTTATGGCAAAGGTTGCGTCGGAAGACATTGTGCTGGACACGGCCATGGACACGGCAAAGGTTGCGTTGGAAGAAATTGTGGTGGACACGGCAAACCATACGGCAAAGGTTGCATCGGAAGACACTGTGATGGACACGGCAAGCCATACAGTCATGGTGGGTACGGAAAGCCTAATTATGGTGGACACGACATGCTTCATGACAGTGGGAAGAAAGACGATGTTGGATACGGCGGTGGATACGGCGGTGGATACGGCGGTGGATATGGCGGTGTACATGGCGGTTACCGTCGTGGCAAACCAATCTACGACTATGGTAAGTTTTGTTCTTATATATCTGTTTCAATCTTGCTTGAGCAATTCTTGTTGATTGATCACTGATTGCTTGGTTTAAAGACAGCAGTAAAAACATAAAAAGTGATTGAGTGAATCGTTATAATAATCGATTGAATGATTCCTATTGATTGATCGCTGATTCTTTGATTTCAAGATTGCAAGAAGGCTGGTTACTTCCCAAGCCCAAAGAGCTGTCACAAGTTTATCCAGTGTGACGATTTTGGAAATGCCTTCATGTTCTACTGCCCCAAAGGGACCGCCTGGGACCAGGATAAGTGCAGTTGCGACCATGTGTCCAATTACCCCAAATGTGGAGCATACTACTACAAGCATGGATATTCTAACAACTGTTTGGTTGGATGTAAGTAGCGTTTTAATACAGGGATGAAATAGCAAGAAAGTTAAATTTGGGCCAATCACGATGATAGACCAAAGGATAATCTTGTATACAGGGATAAAGTAGCATGGAGCAAAGAACTTGGGCCAATAGCATTGATTAACACGTGGGTTGTTGTCTATACAGGGATAAAGTAGTAAGGAGGGATACACTTAGGTCTTAAGGGTAGTGTTTTAATACAGGGATGAAATAGCAAAGAAAGTAAAATACAGGCCAATGGCGTTGATAAACACGATGATTCTCTTTTATACAAGGAAAAAACCATTGAGAGCAAGCTTAACAATTTGTCTTCTCTGATGTCATGCATGCCAAGGAGCTGGTTAACTTGAATTCGTTAATTTGGTCTTTGCTGTCGCAGTTTTATTATGATCACTAGATACCATATTATATCTTATAAATAAAGTTTTGGTAACTTCAAACCCGTTGCTACTTCTGTTAGGCCTATGTTTGCTAATGAGAATTCCTTGTAGCAATGCTCAAAGACCTCTCTCATAAAAATATTTTCTTTTTCAGCTTATAGCAGCTAAAGACGTTGGTAAACTAAATAGGAGATGATGAATCAATCGAAAGAAAACTTTTGGGGACAAACTTTAATTACTTTTGTAAAATAAAGGCTGGAAAATTTGATTAATTAATTTATATTTAACAATCCGTTTTCGTAAAAAGTATGGCTTTTTTCTTGAGTTATTTCTAGCAAATAAAATGGTGGAGAATAGCAGTCCAGGTCAAAATGCTTTCTTTTGGCATTATTTTGAATGGGTTATTGTCCTTTGGTCTACGTTGGGTCTAGTTGTTCCCTCTTGGTAAATTTGTCTGGCGTCCATTTTTTCTGAGGGAACTTTAGAAAAGGCCTAGATGAGAAGGCCATCAGAAGCAGGTTACAATATTCCTATGGACTAATTAACAAAATCAACATATAACGGTCACAGTCGCATGTGACCAATAAAGCACAGTTGCAGCCAATTGATAGAATAATCATTGATTGAGTTCCCAATAGAATAACAACGGATGATCAATCGAGCTTTTAGTGATCAGATATGATCGCTAAAGAATGCTGATCGGATAGTGATAGGATGATCCGATAGTGACAGGCTCCTCTTTCTAACACATTAACAAAATCAACATATAATGGTCACAGTCACATGTAAGCAATGAAGGACAGTTGCAGCCAATAGAATCACAACGAATGATCAATCGAGCTTTTAGTGATAGAATGCTGATCGTATAGTGATAGGATGATCCGATAGTGATAGGCTCCTCTAATCGCTAGTTCCTCGGCATCAAAATCCTCAGCATAGTAAATAACAGAATTCTAGCTACTCGTTTATCAAAATTCCAATTATAATGGGTTTTTAGACATAAACTTTGCTAGGGCCTGGGAGTTGAGCCCAACAGTAAACCTTTGAGGGGAAGGAGGAGGGGGGACTCGGCCTCCCTAGTCAGTACTTTGAATGAGAACATATTTTTGGTAAACAAAAATAACATATTGTCTGGTATAAACTGTTGGTGAGTTCCACTGTTAATTAAAGAGATCAAATTTTCAAATTTCTTACAGATGACATCAACTATTTTCATAACACTATTTTCTTATCAATTTTTCGACTAGTTGACAACTACCTTCATTGAGATTTGATGAACATATTTCAGGCAGTTCTTTGAGCGATGGTGGTTTTCTCTAACCCTTCCTATACAAGGTTCTAATATAGTTAGCGCCATAGATGATGTCTGACATATGACAATATGTAAATTTGGGTCGACTATATATTGTTCTTGGCTCATCGAGCAATCTTCCTACACTTTGATGACCATTTGTCGAGACATATTGCAGAGCTTTGATTTGTGACGTCAGAATGTGTTCGAAATAAACAAAATTCACAGCGTTGAAAAGCACTTTAGCTCCGGAGAGATATCAACACAGAGTATTGCACAGCACTTGAAAATATTGGTAGTGATCTATAGTAGTGACCAAAACAGAAGACAAACACAATATTTCTCGTAGCCACCAAAGAGATGTTCCCCATACTTTAAGAGAAGTTGCGTTCAACAGATGACGCAACGTGAGACGTAAGAGACGCAGCGTGCAGCATATAACGCAGCATTAGACGCAACAGATGCCGCAGCATTAGGCGTATTGTTTTACAATTGCTTGAAACAAAGTACTAAAATTATCGTTCTTGCCTAAACCAAAAAGAGCTATGAAAGTTTTTATCTTTTTCTTTTTATAACTAAATTATGATTAAAGTTTTAGGCAAAAATGATTTACTTTTTGATAAAATGGTCTTTTAAAAACTTTCTATCGAGATGTTTACGTTTAATGAACAAAATGTTAACAAGATAAATTGTGTTAATGTTTATGAAATTTATCTTTAGTTGAAAACAAATAAATAAGGAACTGAATGACAAAGATGACAAATCATGTTTTGGCTTTTTAGTCTTCATGTTTTAAAAATGTTAGGAAATTAGCAACTAATTACAAATTTGAATCATTTAAAACTATACAAAATTCGTTATTTTAATATGGTTTAAGAATATTTGTGATTTTGTTTGAACTTGAAGACGATTTTAAGTGATATGCCAATATTAACATGACAAACTTCATTTCTGGCTACGAAAATTATATTATTTGTATAATATATCACTTTAAGCAGTATTCAACTTGGATGGTACGGAAAATATACGTTTGCAATGGCTGATCAAAGTCACGTGTTTTAAGTCAAAGGTCAAGAAAGGTCATAGTTCAGGATTGGTCATAGGTTATTGGAGGTCTAAGGTTCTGTTTTGCCTTTGAACAGTATTCTGCAGACGAGGCTAGTGGATTTGATGTAACTTGCGAGCTGAATTTTATCGGATTAAGTTCATTGATTTTAGGGAGCTTGGCGGAAAGAAATTTAATCTGATGAGGACCATATGGGATTTGGGATTCTTTCAAATATAATATCATGAGGGGTGAAATTTTTGAGTGATAACATACTCCTGTTTGGTTCTAATTTTAGGTTTTTAGAAAAAGAAGAAGTTTAGGTCAAAGGTCACGATAAGTTGCTAGTCCAGTTTAATTCAAGACGACTGAAAAGTCGAGCAAGCCCAAATAAATTCTTCAGCAAAGGGAGACCCTTTCAAGTTGTAGGTTCGATAAAAGTCTAGCAAATAATGAATATTTAAATAGAACATGACTTTCTAAAATCTGGATTGGCTTCGTAAGGCACAAAGATACAATGGCTTCCTGACGAAGCACCACAAAGGTTTTTCCTTCCACTTGCAAAACTGTTATATAACTAAATCTTACCTTCGCAAGAAGTTTGTTCAGTTCTTCTAAATGAAAGCATTCTATTTCCCCAGACTCCTAACTCCAAGTTCCTGGATATGATGAATAAACAACAGTTTGGTAGTTGATTGCTTCCGGGTTCAATTTCTTGGAAAGAGATACTTCCAAATTCTTGGAAAAAGGGAGTTTCTCATCACTGACTATCTATGATTCAACAATCTCTTTTAGCTCCTCGTCCAACATTTCATCTTCAGGAACGTTTCTATGATTCCTGGAAAGGACCCTCTCTCCTTTGAACTCTGTTTCTTCCGCGTTTCGCTTAAAGTGTTGTTTTAATAATTCTGGGACACTATGAGCATCGAATTGGTCTTCTATGACGTCATCAAGCTCTGCAGATCTCTTTTCGATTTCGCGCCTCGATCTAGCAAATTGAGTGTCGCTGATCGGGAGATCTGGGATCGATTGTACGGCTGTTGCAGCCTTTTTCGCTACTTCCGGGTGGGATTTCGCGTAATCTGTGATTTCGCTGCGTATTGATGTTGTAAGTTCTTGGAAAAAGAGAGGAAGTAGGAAATATGAGTAGCGTACATATATACATACAAACAACTACTGAGAAACGTTAGCTGTTAAACATGTAATAGGTTGCTAAAATTAGCTTAGGGAACGCGTTGCTTGCTCAAAACTCATTACAAAATTTGATCGATAAAAGAGATTTAGAATGTGCTATAACTTTATCACATTGACTTTAAGCCTTCTGTCAATCGATGATTGGCCAATCTGTGAACATGTTACCACTCATACGCTTAACGACTGGCTATAATTAATTGTCAGCTGGCTTGAAGGCACTTATGCCCCGATGCAATTGCTGGCCATTTTTATTTCCCATTGATTTGACTACACAATAGATGTATTGTTACGTATGCAATCGGAGACGTAAGGCTAGCTCTCGATGCTTTCTCAATCATAAACGCGCAATCATAAAGCCTATTGACTGATGGGACATTGTGCCTTTAAGCCACTAAAGTATCATTCGACGCCTTTGAGAGAAGTGACAAATTTGTACCAGCAATTCTCAGTTTCTGATCTTACTATCAGTGTCCGTCATGTTTCTGACGTCACAGCTCTAGTCTTTTGCAGAGGTTTCTGAACTAAACTACATATTCATAATGAAACGGCAAGCAACATACCTTCCAATTTCTTGGCAGCTGTTTTCTGAATCTCGCTTCTGAGCTCCTTCATGGTGTCATCCTTCTTGTTTGGTGAAGAGGCTAGTTCCTTCGCAATGTCACTTTTCAGCGACCGTACTGAATCTTCAAACCCTTTGATTGTCGCCTGCTCCTTGTACAAGTTAATCACGAGATGCATCAATTTTTCAACGCCTGGAAAAAACATACGTGTTGTTTACAAACTAGTTTTTTTCAATGTTTTTTCTGCAAACTACAATGTCTGCCAAAAGTCTTGGAACACTGACATCAATTTCCAAGGTCAAAATCAATCATCCTCCTCTCTCCTACAGAACAATGTTGGTTTACTATCAAACGGGTTAGGATTTTAGGAAGCATTTTCTTTTGCGCTTCTTTTATGATATTTCTCTGACTCATCAACATTGTTTTAGGGGGAAGGGGGAGGAAGTAGCAATTTTGTTTCATGAAAGGAATGAAAGCTATCAAATGCAGCGTTAATTGCTGGGTGTTACAAGTACTTTTGGCAGGCATTTTAATAGCAGAGCAACATGTCTACAGAGAGGCTTGCAAGAGGTGTACTCTTTAATCGAGCTGAACTATTCAAAATCTTTATGCTATTCAAAGATTTTGTGCCCACAGCCTTGCAAGTTTTTATCCTGTCTGTTGTTCTTAAATTTTGAGCCACATTCTGATTAATCGCACTCATTAATTCTGGTTAATTTCATTTCACTTTTTTATTGGTACTTTGGAAGCATCTGCTTTAGAAATAATTATTCGTACAAAATATCGTTAATCGTACAAAATATCTTACAGAAGTTTTATACGGAATGAAACTACTAGAAGGCTGGGCATGATTATGACGTCATTTTTACCATCATGGCACAATGTCATCTAGCCTATGTTGTGTGAGGCAGCTAATCTACCCTTAATGCAATAATCAGGTTGCCTTTGGGCATACCACCTCGAACACCTAACTTCAAAACAAAAATACTGGAATGAGGTCATACCCTTTTCCACGTGATCTCTCAACTGTGCGTGGTCTTTTTGTGGAGCTGCAACAGACCGCTGCGAAGACAGATGATATTGCTATTACATTTTTCTATAGTAAAGGAACTCAAAATTGTCTGCCAATCCTTAGACCACACCTAATTGGTTTTCACATAATTTGCATTCAAAAAAAGAATTTGATGTTTTCAAGTGGTCCGATACCACAACATATTGAATTTATTGATTAGCCTTTGACCCTTTTTCCGGGAACGCTAGCTTATATGTCATAGGTCATAGGTCATAATTTATTGACCTTTAGCCTCGAACCTACCTTGTCAACCGCAGCCTCTTTTTCGATATTTGTTGGAATATAATCATCCTCGATATCATCACCCTCTGCGCCTCGACTTGACCTTTTCAGGCGATTATCTCTGCTTTCTTCTGCTTCTGTCTCCTCATTCAAAAGCCTCGCGAATTCATTTTCAGTTGAATCCATATCATCTAAAAAGAACATATTGATAAAAATTAGCATGCAAACAGAAAACATGAAGATCTGGTTCCCTGACCTTTACAATTGAAATCTTTGATGACAAAAATCGTCCTATTTGATAATTTTTTGTCATCATCGTGTTTTTTGGCATTGAGATCAGAGTGACCTTTTTTCGGCGTTTGACCATTCTATAACATCTCCTCATCTTCGTTGGAACACTCCTCTGTCGCGTTTTCCATTGATTAGTTTGGAGAAACCTTTTCGCTGATCTTTTAAAATTACTATTTCATACTATAAATTAAATGAAATATATATGAATATGCAAACAATCTTTTTTGTAGTACACAATTTAAAATTCGTCTGACATTCTTCAGTGAATATAACGCCAGAATATGGATCAAAACACTACGGCAGGAAATATATACCCAGTTGTGGATCGAAATAGGCCAATCAGAAACGCGAGCATATGACTATTGAGGTTGCCCAATCAGTGCCGTTTGTCTATTGAAAATGTTACCAATGGAGTCCTAAGGTGAAAACGAACTCCTTCTGTCTACACAATAGCGGGTTTTTCATGCTTATGTAGATATATTCGAAAACGGCTAGATGGAACGATGATCGGGCTTTGCCATCAATCTGAAACAAAACAAATACTAAAATGCCAAAATCTTTAAAATCTTCAATCTTACCTTCCTTAACTGATCGTTTAACTGGAGGCAAATCAGAATTCTCTCCTCTTGCAGCCATCTTTTTTGCACCATCAGACTCATCCTCGTTTTCATCTAGCGACCTCCTTTTTCTAATTGAAAATGATTTCTCAGACTTGACCGAGACAGAGTTAATCTTGTCACTCTCTTTTCCCTGTGATTTGTTGTCTGCTGATGTGCTGTTCTGTGATGTAGTCGAGTTGTTTGCGATCGGTGCTACTGTTTCGTTTTTTGCTGAAAAGAAACAATTTCATTACAGCCTCAAATCTGATGGATGATAATATATTTTCAAAGGTTTTCAAGCCTGTTGAGAATTGCGAATTCAAAAAGACCTTAAAACATAATAAATATAGCTCAAAAAGATCTTTATAGAAAAGTGAATTAAACTTTGGTTGAATTTGAAATTCTAGCTATAATGCATACAAGATATAATGTGATGTAAACAATGAAATTTGAAATTCATACCACTGGAACTTGCTGCAGTGACGTTTGTTGGCGTGTTGTGTCTTGCAAGTCCGTCGATGATACTCTCGTTTGAGGCATTAGGATCCATTTCTGGTTCCGTGGTATTGCTTGGCGTTGGTAATGTACCGTTTGTTGGAACAGTTTCGTTCTGAAACATGTTTTCAAACAGATGAAACATTGTTTTGCAAAGCCTCAGTAAGAGACATATGAAACACTTCAAACACTACAAAACATTTGTTTTACAATTTTACACTGTTTCGTGGTTATTTGAACAGAGTGATGGCATGTAAATGTTTATTTAAAAAACATGAAAAAAACCAAAATCGCTCTTTGAATTTCATTAGAGATATGAGATGCTCAATCAAATTTTTAGTAACTTATATATAAATAGAAAAACACACACAAGAAAAGCTGTTTAAGATTAAACGCAAAATAAAAACAATGCCTGGATGAAATATTTCAACTACAAAGTCAATTTTTAGCAAACTATTCAACAAAATTGCACAAAACTTTTACACTAGTTACATGTTTTTAACCCGCTTTTGCATGCTCAATTGGAAACAATCTTTCGGTAAGATGAGAGGGGTCAAATGATAGATGTTATTAAAATGAAAGTTGAATTCTGAAAAAAATTTGTTACTCCGTCTATTTAGTTTTTGATTCGTCGACTGCATACATTTTGCATACGTTTTGCCAACGTTGAATAAATTTTTGACAATAACAATAAGTAAAAAACAGTAGCCTCGGGATGAAAACTTGCCTCCATATCCTGTGGCGCTCTAGCAACTGCTGCAGTAGCTGTTTGGTCTCTCTTGTGCGCCTTCTTGGCGGCAGCGGTCGAGCGTTTCGTGAGCTTTACCGGAAGAAGTGCTTTACGCTCATTGGAAGTGACGTCACCCTCGGACACAGACCTCTTGAATTTGTCATCATTTTTCAAGACGTCATCTTCATATTTTGATATGAACTCGCCGTCTCCAGAGGCACCGAGTGCCATTCTTTTGTATTCGAATTTGGGTTTCGCTGAAAAGATTGATAAATCATAGCTAGAAAAGCCTTGGTTGTGACGTAAATCGGAAGTGACATAAATTTGAAGCTTTGTTTTGTACGAAATAAAAGTGGTACGCCCTTTTGGACCATGCCCTTTTCCCTTGTTTGAAACATTTTCTTCAAGAGGAAACACCTCCTGTCTCCCACGAAATGTGATTTTAATGTGACGATCTAGATAACGTACATATCCCCCCCCCCCCTGAAGTTTTCTTACAGGTTTGCAAGAATCTCAAGGACCAACTTTCTGAAAAAGTGGGGGGGGGGACTAAATACTCCATATAACATTTCTATAAAGATAGAAAATATTAAGAGAAACGTCGAGAGATGAAAAATTGCAAGGTAAACTTTGAAAGTTGTTAAACAAGCCTTGCTCCTTAGGTTCCTTTCTTTTAGAATATGGAAAGAGATACAATTCTAACACCACGCTAAACAAAGGAAGAAGTTGATTGTCTTATGGTGCTTTTTATCTGAAAGTTAAAGGAATAACGCCGCATAAATAAAGTTTGAAACCTCCATATATAGAGGAAGATTTCAGACCAGAGGCTTTTAGATAAGACATGGGGTATTTACCATCATCAGCCTCGAAGTCATCATCATCATCATTATCAACACTGCGAATCTGTCTCCTGTAGTCAGCAATGCCTCCAAGGTAAGCAACCAGGAGGTCCTTTCCGTTGTCCAAATCAACCCAGTCATCGTCGCCAACTTCGATTGATCGCTTTTCTTTGTCCTTGTGTTTGGCTGGACTGACCACAGTGGTCTTTTTCAGGAGTTTCTTTGCCGCTGGGGAAAGAATTGTCGAGTTAAGGGTTTGTTAAATAAGATGCAAGTGGGGGAATAAGGTCGAGGTGGGACAAGGAAGGTGAGAAAATGCATTTGAAGGCCAAGGGACAAGGATGGGAAAGAAAAGAAAGAGGATCAGTTACAAGACTAGTGAGACGAGAGACAAGATGAAATATAAGGCAAGAAATGTCATAGAAGGAAAAGAAAAAAATCGAGGGATAAGGAAGGAAGAAGAGGGACAAAGAGAGGCAAAGAGGGACAAAGAGAGACGACGAGGGACAAGTAGGGACAAGTAGGGACAAGGAGGTAAAGAACAAGCACAAGATACAAGAGAAAATATAGGACTGGGTTCTAGACCAAGGGGCTTTTTGAGCCAAGCCAAAAAGAGGAAATCAAAGAACAGATACAACCGATGGAAGAGACAATAAAGAAGAAGCGAGCGAGAGTAAAGGAAAGAGGGGCAGTTAAGGGCACGAGCATCCCTACCTCCAAGGGAAGCTAATGCTGATAGCTTGAACTCTTCTAATTCTTCATCTTCATCGTCATCTCTCTTCTGTTTGCCATTTTTGGACTTCTTGAAAATGTTGCTTTTAGAATCTACGTAGAAAGAAAGAAACAATTATGAGATATACAGAATAAACAGCAAAGAAGACTTTTTCGATTTCTCAGACATAACAAAGAGAGGCTGCCGCAAATTTTTATGATTTTGTTATTTTGTTTGGGGCCATGTGCCTCAAAAGGGCTTCTAAAGAGGAAGAAAAAATGATGGGAAAACTGAAAATTTTGGAAATTACTTTACCCGAATGTGCCTACAAAAATATCGTTTCCATCCTAGTAGGTGATTTAATAAAAAAAATTATAACCTTTTGTAAAAAGTATGTTCTAAGTTAACCTGTGACCTGTGACCTGTGACCTGCGACCTGCGACCTGTGAACTTAGACCTGCTGATTTCAATTTGACTGGTGACCGTTGACTGTTGACCTTTTTAGATCAGCAGTAAAAGAGCGTATATATTAGGCAATTGGATAAACATTAAGCTATAAGGACTTACCTGGTAGTAATTTCTTTGCAGCTGCAAAACAAATAAAAAATATTGAAAAGACAAGCAAGGAAAACCTTACAAAAATACAGAATAATCTCTGGATGATAAATTCATTTAGCCTATTGTGGCAACATTTTTCATTAAATATTTTAACCTCAATTTACTATGCAAAAATAAATCATTTTTATGTTTAAAATGACAGATTTACGGGGATTTGCACAAAGAATAAATTATGAATTTTTATTTATCAGTTTTATTTTGATATTCATTCATATGCTTTGAAAAACTTTATAGGAAGAGGATAAAAAATATTTAGTAAGAGGTGTAATGAAATTAATTTTAAACAAACCCTTCAATGCAGCCTCGGCAGCTGAAGGAATGAAAAAAAAATATTATCAAAAATTTTATAAAAAACAAGATTAAGATGTTAGTTAAAAAGCTTGAAAAAACAGCACAAAATTCCACATAACAGCAAAGAATAGTGTAAGGGACTTATTAGGATTATAAAAGAAGCTTTTTGCACTTGAATTTTCAAGACATAGCCAATGACCAATGATCAATGAGGCCAGTGTGAAGGGCAAATGGTCAAATTGTTTTCAACATTATCGACAATTTATTATGTTTATTCGCGTAGTTATTGGCTGTAAGATCATGGAAAAACTCTATCCAGAAGAAATCTGGAAGAAATTCGAACAATGGTCCAGGACTTTAGTCGTAGCACGCAATTCTGTAGAAATCTTGAAATCCCGAGGTACAATCTAGAGTATGCTATTAAAAGCCTTTCAGCTCTTGAATGAAATCCCAATTAGTATGAGAGAGTTTCTCATCTTATATCAATTTACAAGACTGCTAAAAAACATTTATTGGGTTGAAAGAAGACAAAAACACGACTTCTTGGAAGAACAGAACTTATAAATAGGTTGTTGCATAAGTTAGCTTAAAGGATTCTGTGTATAAATGATTTTAGGAATAAAGAAAGTGTGGGAAAAATTCAACTTTATCTCCAGTTTTAAAATTATGCATCTGTAATATTAAAATATGCAATTGCATTTTAGCATACCTTTGACGAGATTGTTTGCAACTTTGGCTGCGTAGACAATAATTTATAATATAATTTATATAATATATGTGGTTTAATATAATATATATAATATATGTCGTGTAATATAATATATATAATTTATGTCGTGTAATTTTAGGCGCTCTTGTAAGTTTTTAATGGAAGGCATGAAAATTAATCATCAACAAAACGTAAAATTATTAAATTATTTCGGTCAGAGTTCTGTCTTTAATAAAAAAGATTTGTTTATAAGAAACTAAGCAAGCATAAAAAATCTAAAGCTGTATCAATTTGCATGGAATATTGACAGCAATCTAAATTTAAATTTTTGCAAAAAAAGAATTGAAAAAATGTTCCTACCTTTGGTTGTGCCTGCAAAAAGTGATTAAAGAGAAAAAAGTGATTAAATAGGCAAACATAGAATTTATTGTATAAAGACAAAGAAAGATATAATGAGTTTTTACAATCAGAGAAGACAGATAAAGGGCTTGAAAGTTAGGCGTTGAAGACATAACATCAGTAAAAATTGAGCTGTAACCCAAGAAGCTTGCAAAGGTTAAAATAATCTTCTTTTAGTTTTCGTTATGTATTAAGTTATAACATGTACTGGAGAACTACAAGTTAAGTTAACAATTACAATGTAGAAAGCTACTTTTTTCCACCATTCCTTGAAAAAGTTTCAAAATTGTAAACGAGCTAGATTTATCATTAGCAAATATGACCAATTTTATTTTACATGGCACAGGCCACTGGGCTCGAAAACCTTACAGCTTCCAACATTGTATCTCAGTGACTTAGGGAAAAAGATTTAAATATATGATAAAATATGATTTGATTTCATTTCATTTAAGACGAAAATCCCAATATTTCTACTTGTAATTTTTGCGGTTGAAGAACAAAAGATTTGAGTTTTGATTTGTTTACACCACCTTAAAACTCAAGTACAGGAGCCTTGCTTTAAGTATACCTTGAGAACCAGTTTGTAATAAACTACATCTTGTGCTTTTCAATAAACAGAGGCAAGCCCCTTTAACAAAAGGCTCATACTTACTTGAAAAATTGTTTGGGTCAAAACCCTGCTTCTGAGCAATGGCATCTTTCCTGGCCTCATCTGCATCGACCTTGCGGAAGTCGAAATCTGTTGGGTCGTAGTCCCTTCCGTCTACAAAACAAAACAAAACAACCTTTTAGTTTTTAAACAGAAAAAGGTTTAAGTTCTGAAACAGGTGAAATCTATTATTTACTCGTATACATATTCTCTTCCGTCTTAAAACAAAATAAACAACGTTTTTGTTTATAGACAACGTTTTTAAGGTCTGGAACAGATGAAAAACCACTCGTATGATAGTTTCTCTTTCCAAGAAAAAAATCAACGGTTAAATTTTAAAACAGGGCAAAGTTTTAGCCTCTGAAACAACTGATAATCTCAATATGTAATTCACGTAAATCAGGTTTCTACAACAATATGAATTAACGTTCTATTTTCTAGACAAAACAGAATATGATAGCTTGTTTATATAAAAAAGCAAACCAACGTTTTTGTTTCTAAACAGAAACAAAGATTAATGTTTTCAAACTTCAACATGATTCTCCTCTTTATAAATCAAATAGGAGCTATTCTTTATCCAGAAAAAAAATCGACGTTGTATTTTCTAGTTGGTAAGAGAATATGATAGATCTTCTTTACGAGAAAGCAAGCCAATGTTCTTGGCTTTTAGACAGTTCAAAGCAAAAGTTTTGAATTTTGAAACATAAACAATGTCCTTACCTATGGAGTAGACAGAATTGTGCCAGAAAGCACCGCAAGGCCTTGTCTTGTCTCCAAGGCACCTTGAATTACAATACGCGTCATCGACTTTGCCATAGCGACCAAAAGCATTCCCGCAGAAGCACAGATACGCGTACTGCAATCCTGCGAATTTATATCCTTGGTATTTGCATTCCCGCAGGCAAACCTCGGGAGTCATGGCGTAACGCGTGAATCTGCGAGAGAGATCCCGTCCTGGTTTCTTGTCTTTGTAGCAGCCTTGATAATCTGGGAAAATAAAATTGAAGTTTGAATAAAACTGCTAATTTTCCAAATCCTCCTGGAGAAAAACTCTTAAAGATGTCCAGATTCCAAAAAATCCCTTTGAATTATGTCAGACTGTTACAAAACTAGGCCAACTTTTCGTAGACTTTGTTCACCTAAATAAGATGTTAATTCACGTAACGAAGTAGCTGTTAATTGGCGCATCTAAGGCTCAGCGTACCCATAGCTGAAGTATTAAAGTAGGCTGATTTTTTGTCCCCCCCCCCCAAAGTATCTAAGTAGCTTATATTCATCTTAAGAGGCCTTATGAAGAGCTGGTACAAATCTCCCAAAAGCGGTATTCACAAGGCTAGCTAAACCTTCAGTACCGTACGTAAGTGGCTTTAATCAAGGTAGAATAAGTATCGAAGTAGCACAACTCACTCTTAGCTGAAGTATCTAAGTATCTCAACTTCAGTCCATTGGATCTGCTGAAATATTCATCCTCTGTTTCCTCAGCAGCCGGTTGTTTGCTGGCTGCTGATTGGACGTTCGCTTGCTTCTTCTTCCCTGCACCTTTCTTAGCAACGGAGGATCTAGCAGGACCTTGCACAGCAGCAGCTCCTTCCTTGGTGCCAATACTGTACGCAGAGGCGGCTAAATGAAAAAAATGATATAAATCAACTATTCGTGTTTGCAAGTGGAATTTACAACAGATGTTTGTGAATGTTTCTGTTTCATCCAATAGATGGTCTCAGCAATTCGACAATACGTCACACAATACATCTGAACAATACAACAATACATCCAATAGATGGTCTGAGCAATTCCACGTTTCTAATATTTAAGAAACACGGAAATAAGAAACACGAGCCCCAGATTCGAAAAATTTGTTGATGGTACAAAATTTGAAAATGGCTTTGAAAAAAGCAAACATTTTACAGTATACTGGAAGCTTTTTCGTCTGACACTCCTCAGAATATAAAACGTCAGAATAAGGTTCCGAAAGAACAAGACAGAAAATATATAAGCCTAGATTTGCAGAAAGGTAAGTTATTTTTTGAAAGGCTTTGGCAGGCTGAGCTAAGATACTTCTCTTATAACACAAACATTTCTTAACTCGAACTGTTTTGCATTCCCAAGTACACTCTTAAAGCAATTTTAATCCTTCCCTTTGAGACACAGGTTATGTGGATCATGCTGTACTACATACTCTGCTAAAACTGTTAGAATCTTACCTGGGAGGTTCAGAGCTGTCTCAACTGGGTTTGGTGCAGCAAAAGGGTACATATGGCTGTTATCCCCCGGTGCAGGCAAGCCACATTCGCAAGGGCTAGAGCTGAAAACCGGTCTTGGGTGACAACTTTTCCGGCAAAGGACCTCAGTGTTGTCTCTAGCTTTGGGGACAGCCTTTGGCTGCTTGGGGGCAGCATACACTGGCTCATCGGGGTGGCACTGACATGGTGATGTTGACAACACGTGACGAGGTTTGCAGGCCTTGGCGCACCAAGCGACGGCCGGGGTGTACGATTTTGTATCTGTATTAGAAGCAGGAGGTGGAGCGGGATCAGCAGAGTCAGCAGGTGGAGGGGGTGGAGGGGGTGGAGGGGGTGGTGGCATTCCACAGTTGCAAGGGTTAGCTTTAGCAACAGGACGGGGGTAACATGCCCTGGCACAAAGGCATTTTCCATCATTTTGTTTGCAATTGAAGGGAGCTTTGTTTGAAGGAGCTTGGACTTTTGCTGGTGGTGGAGCAGGGGCTGGGGCAGGTTCTGGGGCTGGAGCAGGGTCTGGGGGTGGAGCAGGAGCTGGAGCAGGGGCGGGTGGCATTCCACAGTTACATGGGCTAGCACTTGCCACTGGTCGTGGGTGGCATGATTTGGCACAAAGACACTTTGCATCATTTTTGGCACATTTGACTGGTGCCTTTGCAACTGCAGGTGGCGGTGGTGGTGCTGGCACCGGTTCTGGTGCAGGCATGCCGCAGTCACAAGGATTGGTCTTTGCCACTGGTCGTGGGTGACAAGTTCTGGCACACAGACATTTGGCATCGTTCTTGTGGCAGCTGGGGGTCTTTGACTTGACAATAGGAGCAGCCACTTTAAGAGGGGCAAAACGTTGGGGTGGTGGTGGTGGTGGGGGATCAGGAGCAGGCATTCCACAGTCACATGGATTCGTATTTGCTACGGGGTTGGGGTAGCAAGCTCTGGCACAAAGACATTTTGCGTCATCTTTACCGCAAGGTTTGGGGGAATGGCTGTTAGCCATAAATGGAGCTCTTTGGGGTGCTATATGCTTGTTGGGGCCTGGGGCATGTGCTTGAGCTGGAGGTGGAGCTGGAGCCGGAGCAGGGGCAGGTGGAGCGGCGCCCAGTTGACAGTTGCATGGTGATGCTGATGCAACCTGAAAGAAGAATGTGTGGAGGAGATTGTTAAAAAATTGAATTGAATTGTGTTTGGTGACTGCTGTACTGCTTCAACAGGCAAGGAGGAGATTAAAAGTATATATCGTTCATATGTAATCAGAGAGGATGATTAAATACAGTAGATGGAAGGATTAATTGTAATAGATGGAAGAGAAGGTTAGAGGGGTTGAAGAGGAAAGAGAGGGAAAAGGGGGATGGGAGATGGAGAAAAGGGGTGGAAGATGCAAGTGGAAGGAGCGAAGAGAGAGAGGAAATGGACAGAATATGATGAGGAAAAGATAGAAGATGAAAGAAGAAGAAGAAAGAGAAAAGGGGGAAGAAGAGAAACATATATTGGAAAAGATGAGTATAGGAAGACATGAGGGAGGAGAGAGACGGAGAATAAAAAAGGAAGGAAATGGAGAAAGGAGAAATGGAAAGGAAATAACAAAGAGGAAAGCAGAAGAGGGGGAAGAAGTTGCAAAAGTGGGAAAGTAGGAGAGGAAAAGAAGAGAAAAAAGAAGAGAGAAAAAGAAAGAAGAGAATAAAGAGGAGGAAAGGAACAAGGCAAACAAGGGGTAAAGTAAGAAGAAGAAGAAGAAGAAGAGCAATACATCCATTATCGGCATGATTAGATGTATGTATTTTGTTCAATAGTATACAGGAAAATGTGGCAAAAATTAGGCTAACTGCTTGGAAAAAAAGAAAATGAAAAGTAAAATAAGGGTCAATTGCAAAGAGGTAGTTGGTCACTCTTTTATATTACAGGGAGCTGAGCAAAAGTACTTTAACAGAGAAATGAAGTGAAATCAATTGACGTCACACAGTAACATACCGGTCTAGGCGCACATGACTTTCTGCATAGACACTCTTTGCTGTTATCATTGCACAAGGAAGGCAGATTAGAAATGGCAGCTGCAATGTTGCTTCTTGTTTTGGCCTTTCCTGTCTTGGCAGCTTGTTTTTTCAACGGCTTTTTTGCTTTCTTGGCCAGATGTTTTTTAATTTTTACTGGCTTTTTGGCAGCAGCAACTGCTGGAAGCGAGCCTAAAAATGTGATAAAGATGTTAAATTTAGATTCTGAAGGAATAATGATAAACATGGTATTTGTGGATATAACATGGGATTTGTAGAGGCAATCTTTCCCCAGCTCAGAATGGCTTGGGAATTTCCTAGAATCTGATGTTTTGACTTAAGAAGAAGTAGGAGGGAAAGGGTCACACACGAGCAAGCTACTCACAATGTATACTGCACTTTCTATAACATCAAAAGAACTCAATTTCTGTCAGTGTCCAGAGATGGAAACAAGCAAGTAAAAGCAATCTTCAAATAATGAACCATCGCAATGACCCAGCGAAGCGCTTGACAAATTGGGAAACTTTTATGGTAGTTTTCCCAAATAATCTTTGATGCCACTACCTGAATATAATGGTCCAGCAAAAAAAGTGAACGGCTATAGCCCCCCCCTCTCCCCCCAGTGCCCTGGCTCCAGCATGCCAGTGTTCATAGAAACATTTACAAGATTGTTATCCGTTGAAATTTTTTATCTTCCTACGTGTCCGTGTCCCATTTTAAATGTAACGAAGAAAACATGAAAATAGAAAAATGGAATTAAAGAAACTTACTTTTGTAAAATAGCTTGCTGAGTTGATGGTCTACCTCAATTTTGTGGCCTAAGGATTTTGTGAATTTTGAAGTCTAAAATTATAAGAGAACAATAATTGAACAATAAGGCATATGTATGGATGTAATTAAAAAAGACGAACAAGTATAAAAATGTAAGGGTTGCAATTTCAGAATATGCGAAACATTTCATCTAGGCTTAGAGTTTCAATAGCTATAAAATTTATTAGTTTTATGGCTTTAACTTAATTATTGTGATTGTTTTTCACAATTGTAAATAGTTTGCTTTAGTTATCAATTTTATGTAAATAGTTATTAGACGGCTAGCTTAATCAATAGATTAACAGGCAGTTTAGAATACGCTTTTACCTTTTGTGACATCAGCCATTTGGTGTAATCTTTGGCAACGCCGTGAACAGACTGAAATGATATAAAATGATTTAGTTACAAGCTTAAGATATAGTTAGTTAAGATATATTGATTTAGTTAAGATATATTGGCAATAGTCTCCCAATTCAGCATGGCCTGAAACTTATATACTGACGTTTGAAAAATAAGATAAAAGACAATCGAACTACTTAGAAAAATTACTCATTCTCTTTTCACTCAAAGTGATAAATTGCCACTGCCCAGGAACGTTAGAAACATTTTCAACACATTTGTTGAGCTGTAAGCCGATATCAACATGACGCCCTGGAAGAACAGCCGCGATCTAGTTTTTAATATTTTAATATTTTATTCATAAGCTGTATGTAAACTATCAATTTATAGAACTTGTATCCTTATTGCTAGCAGTTTATTAATTGTATTTTTAGAATTAGTTGAAGGGCTAAAAGTGTAAAAATAATTTAATGCGTGACAGGATATTTCTCATAAGATATTATGCATCTCTTTGCAAATGTAACAACTCATTTGAGCAAAATTGAATCAGTTTTGTCAAGTATGAAATATTATGATGATGATAATGACCTACCTCAGGTTCGTCTTCAATCTTGACGTCACGAACATGCTCGTCTTTCACTTCTTCGTTCTCAGCGGGATTCAAAGTGCTAAACAGATTTTCAAGCTCTGTGAATTAAACAAAATAAAAATGTTAAAAAAGGAATAAGAAATATTGACGAAACTGGCAATCACGTTAGAAATATGACCTTATTGTTCTTAAGAGCATTAAGATATCCTGCTTTCAATTCTAATCGGATAAAAAATTCTCATGTATTTTCAACTTGAGACAATTCTTATCACTTGAATGATGGCTACATGAATTACATCTTCTGCCCTGCATAACATTCTGTCAGGATTCCACTGTAATACCCAAACTTTTTGAAACAATGTTTCTAAAATTTCTCTATTCAATCAGGTTTTTATTGTAACACCCAAACGTCAGGTAAACGTGCTTCAAAGGTGTATATCATTACATCAAGATTCTATTGCAACATCAAAAGTTTAATAAATTAATAAAATTGTTTCTAAATTGCTTTATTTAAAGATTTCATTGTATTATCCAAACGTTCATAGACTGTGTTTCAATTTGAATGAATGTAATGTTAACAGGATTCCAATGAAATACTCAATTTCTTTTAAACAGTGTTTTAAATTGGCGTGATACAAGCATGAAATTTGGTTCAAGTACACAAATTGACATGCTGAATAAGATGAGATGCAGACCCCACTTCAAAAATGCCCCAAAATGCTATTTTTAGACTGGGGAACATGTACTCAGTACTTTTTTGGTCTTCCTCCACATCTTTTAAACTATGCAAGTCATAAACTCGAAATTTAGTTTTCTGACGTACTTTGACATGCTAAAGAAGATGAAATGAAGAGCCCACTTCAAAAATGCCCCCAGAATCTATTTTTAGACTGGGGTACCTGCACCTAGTCCTTCTTTATGCCTTCTTTCATATCTTTTAAACTGTGCAAGTAATTGGCGTGAAACTATTTCAGGATTCTACTGTTTTACCCAAACTGTGTTTCACCTACCTTGCCTGTCAGCATCTGATATTTTGGAATCCCCTGTCCAATCTTCACGGATAATAAAGCCTAAACAAACAATTTTGGATATTTTGTGAAAACAAAGTTTAAGTTATATGTAGCAACTTGATAAAGAAATGTTCTAATATAAAATTGATATATCATTTTTGTCACATTCCATTCTAGCCAATTTATCTACGGTGGTTTCTTAAGAAAACATAAAGAATATCTTATAACAACTTACAGGTAAGCTGGAAAACATCAAATTTGAAATTCATCTATAGCAAATAGAATATATGTTCCCTTACAATACCCGTCCTATCAAACAGTCTGTACAAATTTAACTTCTCAAGATGCTGGATTTAATAGCTTCGGCGAAATCTTTAGATTCCAGGGTATGATCTTGTCTATGACTTTATTCCGTTTATTACGATATCTTATTTCAACTAGTAATGTTTCCTTATTAACTTAATGGTTTTCTCTGATTTGTTCTGTTTCATAGAACACGGATCCGTGTGCTAATGATTAGGCCTAGTCAAGAGTAAAATGCGGACCAACCTGCTTTATTGTCCGTGTCATCGGTGTCGTAAGATCGTTTATCTTGAAAAAGGAAAACAAGAAAACTTTAGTTTCGAAATCTTTACAGGAGATAAACAAACAAAACCTACAAATTGAAACTTTATTAAGTCTATTAGTAAAAGATTAATTTAAAAGTAAATCTAACAGAGCTTTTCTTGAGTAAAAGTACAAAATATTAATTTCATTCAGGGAAAAAGAAAAGTTAAGTTAAGAAGTTTAGAATATAAGATGTGCAAAACATTACATTAATTGTAGGCCTGATTCAGGATTCCCCGGATTTCACTTTCTTTATTTCAGCTATCAGTAAAAAGAAGAGGTTAAGGCGGGTGTGTCGCCCTCCTCTCCCCTGTAGTTCCTTGAATTCACCCCGGAGCTACAATGCATTGTCAACTTTGGACAAGAGGATGGGGGATTCTGTTTCTCTAAAATGTTCCATTAGTTTCTTAAATGTTCTGGAAAACTATTTCTTTGCCAGGGCTGGCAAATTAGCTTTGAGATGTGTAAGCTAGTGACCTGTGGTATGGAATATATCGCTAAGAAAGACAGAAAATAATATTTTCGCTACTAAACGATACACCGGAAAGAATATTACATTAGTAGCAGGGGTTTGTTTTGTATAATATAAAGTATGGTATTGCAATTTTTGATATTCACCCTGGAAATTCAGTATTGTCAAAAAGAACGTTGGGGAAGGGTGAGATTCAGTTTTGTAAGTATCCAGAGTGTGCCAGACTTATAGTGGCGACAATTTTAAGATCGTTGGACAAGCAAAGCCGTCTTTTCTTTTAGGTATTTTGGAATTTGTCCATATCAAAGCAAAGGTTATCTTCCTATCACTTCCAAGCGAAGAACGATTGCTTTATGCTACAGAATCATTCTCACCTTGCTGTCTTGATTCTGTTCTTGAGAGCAACGTTTGATAAAACTTATCTATCAAAGATAAAATCACTCGATCAATGATTAGATTGATTCATTTTTAATGAAATCATTAGGACAATCACTTTATCAATGATTAATTTGATTGACATCAATAGGGAAAATCACTGATCAAGATCAATTCGATTGACATCAATACAACAGAATCACTTGATCAATAATTAGATTGATTCATTTCACTGAAATCAGTAGGACAATCACTTAATCAATGATTAGTTTGAGTGACATTGATAAAAAACCTTTTCATCAGTTAAACAAGACTTGATTTGTCTTAGAATATTAAACAGAGTACAGAGAAAAAGTTCTAGACGAACTTTTTTTCAGTGGAACATTATCTGAAATAAATATTTCTGAAACTTTGACAATACTGTAACAAAATATTGTTTAATGTTTTCAGGGTTACCTTCATTTGATCTGCGATTTCTTGTCACAGAATCATCCTCTTCGTTTTCGAAGTCTTCTGTTAGGGTGAAATTAATACTGATGAGAATAATCTATTTATCAAATGTGATATTGCAAATAACGTTGAGAGACTCTTTTTAAGCTCATGTATTTCATTTCTTTGTCTATTGCAACGACTTCAAATCTAACATTCTTTTTTGTAAAAATCAATTTATTTCAACAAAATTTAGTCTCAGTTTTGATATAGTTAGGTTCTTACGCAAAACGCAAGATATTGATATAGTTAGGTTCTTACGCAAGATATAATCGAATTATGAAAATTTCTGATTATGATAAGGTTGCATTTAAAACATGTGAAAACGAATTATTTGTTATCAGAAATGATTCATAAGTTTCATGTGTTCATTTTTATTCCATAACCGGCATTTCATCAAATCAAATTTTCTCTCCATCAGCAAGAGATTTGTTTTTCTGGACTGCCAGTATAATTGTATCGTAACTTAAAATATTTTAGTCAAAGGTTCAAAATTTCATCTGCTTCCTCTAGCCAAAAGATAAAATTAAAATTTATGATAATGATTATAATTTATGATAAGGATTATAATTTATGATATAGATTATGATTGATGATAATAACTACTATTGATAGAAATTTCATGAAAGCATATGTCGTCAATAGCGTTAGAAAAGCAGTTCACGAGACATCTCCATCGTCAACATAAAAGGTGGCATTTCTAAACACTGAGAATGTCCAAGTTGTTTGAGAACATCACCATTTTCAGCCATTTTAAATCTATCTATCAGACATGTCCCTTACCTTCGACATCACGTTCTTCTCGAATAAGAGGCCGGTCAAACTCAACCGAGGTTGCGGACCTTCTCAACAATCTGTGAAATCCATCTTCCTCTAAAGACGAAATGAAATTATTTTTAAAAATGAATGCATTTTTTAGAATTACTAATGAGGGAAGGGGCTTTGCACGGAATTTTGCAATGGGGTACTATTCTCCCCCTGAGCTCCCTAGCTTTACACCTCATAGCAAAGAGTTCTTGTGGCACCACAGGGGGTAGGCGACAGCAGAGAAAGGAAACGATCTCCCCGATCTTTTCATGCTGTTTGTTACTGTCATAATTACTCCAAAGGACTAAGTTACTCTTGCCCCACTATTTCAGTGCTTCCTCGCCTTTTGTGACAACCCAAAAAAACTTGCATGTATTGTTAACGCTTATGTTGTTTCGTCCGTACCGAGAAGTCAGAACGTAATTTTAAACGCATTTAAGTCCACAAATACCCTTGCGACAAAACCTGTCACTTTCTTATATCCCTACATTTTGGAAAAAAAGTTCTAAACATTATTTTTTCAAGCTTTGGGGGCGCCTAGCCAAGAGACCCTGGTAAGACAGTTTCGTTTCATAAATGGACTTTGATGCCAAAATGTGAAATCTTTAAATCATATATCTAAGATTTAAATTCTTAACTTTTATTTGCTTCAACGTATCATTTTGCTCGAATTAGAAAGCATGCGTAGAAAGCGGAGATGCAAACATATTGCATGCGAAATTCACCTTGAAGCATCATTGCTTTAGTTTCAGAGAATAAATCAAAGAAGGTAACTTTACTTTAACGAGACAATGTACGATTAAGCAAAATTCTCAATATTTCTGTATGCAATAACTTTTGTGCAACATTTTATTTAAATAGATTTTGGCACTTTGAAGCGTACAGCTCTGTTTATACAGCATCGAGCATTTTAGGACAGACCAGTAAAAAAGTAATTTTCATTAAATAAATTTCGAGGCAGCTTTTCAACTCTGTAAAAATTAACGATATAATCACATGGTATGTCCGCTATTTTCTGAACTAGAAATCAAATTTATTTAAACATCCAGTCAAATATCCAAAATTTTAAAATGACCTGGATGAGATCAAACTTTTTATGTAGCAAAATCTAGCGTATTTTCTATAGAGCTAAACTCGCAATTTCGCGTTCTATTTTCACAAAGCTTCTATGCATAATACTGCAAAAATTATTATAAAAAGGCGATTTTTAATCGAGAGCAAAATTCGTAGCCAAACGCATCTTACCTTTTGTAAGTCGTCCTGTCCTTGCAAGGTTGAGGTTGTAAAGGAAAAGAACTATTAGCACACAATAGCTCCTCATTACGCGAATTTAATCGTCTTTTTCTGCTACTCTTTGACGACTCCACGTTGCAATCATTTATCAAAAATAAATCCGAAGTTTCACGTCAATTTTTTAATTTTGTAAATTTTCATAAAAGACGCTGATTTTTCCGCTGCAAAACCAAAGATACTTTGCGGATAACGTAGGCCTGGTCACTGGACCGTGACTCAAAATCATTGAGCAATTCGTTTAGTGTCCGTGATCAAACTGGTACCAGTCATCGACTGTGATTGGTCAATTTAAATCTAATCAACACTGTGATTGGCTGGTCTTTGACAAGGTTGATGTTTTCTGACAGGTGATTGGTTAGCTTAGTACACAGTGAAATTATGTCATGCAGAATAGCGAGCTGGGTGAGGTAACCCTTGCAGAAAGATCTTTGCGTTCGCTGTTGCGTTCGAGAAAAGAACAAGATCTCATTTCTCGAATCTGACTCCCTCTAAATCGTTTAAAGGCACAAAGAACTAACATTCTATGAATGTAAACCAAACTGCGTACAAAGGAATTGCGAAACTCTTCGATAGCGTTGAGATTTCTCTCGCCTAGTTTATGTTTTGGAGCACACTGTTCTTTCCAGTCAATGGCTGACTCGAGATGCATTTTGCAGTCCGACTTTTGTAAACACGCCGTGGCTGCTCCCTTTTGCAAATTTTTTCTTGCCCGAAACTTGCAGAAGCATGGTTTTCTAACCGACTTATCGCTGACTAGTATGTCCTGCATACCGCCTTTACATCGGCACGAAAATTCATTAAGGACTAATTTTTTCGCCTTAAAAATACTTCGACTTTTGTCCCGTGCGATAAATGCTTTTTTACTGGCATAAATCCTCAACGCATTTTATTAAGACATCAGGTGTTTTTTCTGGACTTGAATGATTCTAGAAAACAAAAACATATAAAAATACCGAAACTGGACTTTAATTTTCTTTTTTGGTAAAAAACACTTTTCCATGACAAGCAAAACATTGTTTTTATTGTCACGACCAAAAGGAGACCGAAAGCAAATCCGTTGAATCTGGTTTTGAGGCTGAGGGCAACCATCTTTTCTGGCGGGTGCAAATGATAGAATTTAGTACCCTTGCGTGCGTGCATCCATAATTTCTCTGCCAAAAGAGGTCGCAAGTCTGGGACATAGATTCTTTAACATGGATGGTTCTCAGACAATGAGCCAGAGAGACAAAACAGGGTCACTTTCCACAAAGAAAAACACCAAAACCGATTCTTACATATAACCCCTGCAGTCAGTGTTTTGTAAATCTGACAACTTGCAAGGCAGAAATAGGATTTTATAAAGGCACTAAGATTGATTTGAATAAAAAATTGACGTATCATTAGAATGATATGGCTTCGATTTATGATTTATTATCAAAAATTAGGGGGCCAAGAATCCATACCATCTTGTAGTGTATATCGAATAAAACTGGGGAGAGTCTTAACACCGCGGGCACGGGTCAGGGTAATGTTTGGTAATGAGGGAAATTTCTAACAGTACTACAATACAAAATGAAATATTAATTAAGTATAAATAGTACATTTACAATACAAAATAAATTAAAATGTTTATTGTACATAAGAGGTTTTATCATTTCTTATGAAGGCAACCTACCAGTAGCATTCATTGATGGGTTTGTTGATTTTCATGGCTCGTTATGACACCAGTCTAGCCATGTAACGAGTTTGTTAATTTTCCTTTCGGGCTTAGATGGGCCGATTCAGCTTGTTCTAGCACTGAATCTGAATGAATTTAAGACTTTTTTGTTTTTTTCTTTGCACGAAATAAGAATATTGAATTGTACTTTGCAATATCTATTACACATGACAATCTTAGAAAACAGGGCCTAAGCTGTTTTTGGACTTTCGTAAACAATGTCGAACACATTTAGCGTTTGTAGAGGCAGTATAACCTTAATTTTGAGTCCATATGTTCCAAAAATTGCATCACATTGAGAAATTTATTCTATATTCACTAAATTACCCACGATATTTCAAATTATAAAGTAACTTACAGAATTTGTTTTCTGCTCGCGTGACATCTTGAATTTCGCGGTAGTAAAGAATGCTGGGATATATTTAACCCAATATGAGGCTGTTGTCAAAACGAGTCGATTTCAATATTGCTTTGTTTTTGTTCCTTGAGAACTTGTATTTTCCTAGAAGTTTTACAATTATGCTTCGAATTCCAGGTCTCAAGAGATTGATACCACCGATCAGACAAGTTAGATGGTATCAAGCTAAAGATGGTATGTAGATGTTTTTATTTTTCGGCCTGTAATACAAATTCAGTCAGCATGGTTTTGCTCAATCGATGCAGAATTAGAAAGTTTCCTTACCGATACAGGAGCCAAGAACTAAAGTTCTTAATGAATTTTCTCAAATTCCTAAATGTATACACAGACACAAAGAAGCTTTAGCCTTGCACTGATAGTGAAGTTAAAAATTTTAAGTGCATGCTAGCGTTAAATTATATTCGTGGTAAAAATTACCCACTTTGATAAACTATTGAATTTGCTGACTAAATAGTGTTTTCAGGATGTGTAACTTGGATCAATATTTTCCCTTTAGGTGGCCCTCCCTTAACATTAGCAAGATGGAATTCAAGAGGACGGCAAGGAATTGCCTTTTTACTTGGAATTGGAGGATCTCTCTTAGCCTGGAGTTCAATTAGCTATGGAAAAGCCCAAGAAGAACTAAAAGAAAGACCTACTGTTGTCAAGTTACCAGACAATGTATCTTTTCTTTCTCATTAATCTACCTTTCTTTAAAGACAGTGTTAGGTATATATCATGATTTTGTAGATGAGATTAGAATTCATGTAATATTATTGTGGAAGTCATGACTTTTTTTTGGATAAAGAAGAAGTTTTAAAATTTGAATATTTAGATAATTTTTAATTTTTACAAAGAGAATTAAAAATTCATTCAGTTTGAAAATGCTTGAAAAAAACAGTAAGCTTACTTTAAACTTGGTAGATACTTGAAATATCTGGCTATTATTAGAAAATATTTAAGTCAAGGATCAAGGAAGAAAATACTTATGCGGGCTTTCAAATTGAGCCAATGCTTGACAAGAAAGATACTTGCAGGATGAGAAAATTTTGCCATCGGCAGGAATAAGGACAGACTCTCTTCCATCAGAGTATTTGTTCAGACCGCTGGCTTTTGTAGTATATGAGGGGTATGACACCCCCTACATGATTTGTGTCCTTTAAGAAAATTTAAGGATTTTAAAGTTAAATAATTGTAAAAGTTAGTTATAATCTTAACACAGTTTTACAGAAGATCACAAAAAGTGAATTCATGAAATGTTGCTGCAAAGGTAGTAATGCTATAAACAAGAGAAAGTGGAAAAAATCAATAGAAAAGTCTCTATTGAAATTGGAACAAGTAAAGGAAGAGACTGGTTCACCTGGACTCGTTTGTGCTGTAAGCATTGACGGTGAGCTGGTATGGAATGCTGCGCTGGGGTTTGCAGATGTTGAGAATGGGGTGAAATGCCACAAGGCAACGCTGATGAGAATTGCAAGCATCAGCAAGGCACTGACATCAATTGCTCTAGGTGTGGTTTTTATGTCCCTTCTGATTCTTCATCAAACTCTGTAACTTCCTTTATAATTACCTTCTTCTAGGTCATTTTCTGTCCATTTTTTACTGTTACCCCACACTGTAACTTCTGTCACCACAACTCTCTATCTCATTATTTGTCTGCCATAAGGCTCCACCGGTTGCCTCTTTGCCACTCCTCTTGCCATGTACCAGGGTAGGCTTCTTTGACCCTCTTGGTTTTCTGTTCACCATTGATTTCAATTAGCACTCCCAACAAGAGTGTAGCTACTTGAGCTGGAATTGTCACCCTATATCATTACAATCTCCACCCATGTTACCCCTTTGATTCCAAGTACTCCCTTTGGTACTACCAAAATTACCTAAGTCGCCTTACCCAGGGGTTGACACTTGATCAAATATTGGTGGGGGCAAGCCTATAGTTTTAATAAGACGACGTCACATTTCCCATTGTTTTAGAACAAAATACCATTGTCCTCTAAAGTATTGGGGGCGGTTGCCCCCCTTGCCCTCCCGAGTGTCCGCCACTGCTCTTACCCTCAGCCTTCCCTTTCTATTCCAATCAAAAATTTCTGGCCCTTGCATTTTTACACACCCCAGCCAACCCAGCCTTTTCTAAGAACACTTCTGCAAACATCTCTAAGGAAAAGAAAAAGTTTGATTTTTGTGTGTCATTTATATTGTTGTTTTTATAGGCATCACTTGGTCAACCTCCATCAATCATATATGACTTCCAACAATCACTTTTGCTGCTGCTCTCTCCTGAGTTTATTGCCAAGCATATTGTCTATTGCTTTTGAATGAAGATTCAAACCTCTTCAGCAAGTAAAATACAGTTTTATCTATGACCATGACAACAAGCCAAAACTCAGATTTTGGGATAGTTGGAGGGTCATGGTAGCCAACCTTCTGATAGAAGATGGTACCTGATGATGTAGTAAAATACTTTGAATTTCCGTTTGATTTGCAGGAAAACTTCTCCAAGAAAGTAAGCTAGAGCTGGATGTCCCAATCAAGAAATACGTTGATTATTTCCCCGAGAAAACCTTTAATGGCGAAAAGGTCACTATTACCCCCAGAATGCTGATGTCACATACAAGTGGGGTGAGACACTATGACAAAGAACCGCCCAAAAAGATTGATGAAACATCTGAACAGACAAACACAGATGGTGCTGGCAAAGAGACGTCAACAAGCAAAGGTGAAGACCTCGTATTACTGGTTCAATCGAACTTAATTCTCTGATACAACAGGGTCAGTCGCATATCTAGGCCTGCAAATCGAGGCAGTATAATTTAAAAGCCTCAATGAAAAATCTACGCCAAAAAGCAAGAACCAAACATCTGTTAAATAAATAGAACCATTTCCGTCAAACGTCCTCGATGAAATCAGAATGTATTATGTCTACCTAGCTCCCAACCTTTCCCAAAGATATTTATTTGCATTTCGTTAAAATCTTGTCTGAAAATGTGCCATGTCTTTAATATGGGGTGCCAAAACCCACCAGATTCCCCCATACATATCCAAATCAAAGGGGTCAATGTTCCAAAAACCCTTTGCAGCTCATCTTATTAGAGAAAATTGAGGAGGGTGACTGGTTAGTTGATTTTAGGAATGATGAATTTAAGACGTACAACTTAAAACTTGTTCATTTGTACTATCCTTTTATTGGCTTTGAAATAGTTGGTATAATTTTCAATATTGTCCAAAATATGAATTGAATGATGCATTTTTAAGGGCTCATTTTTTGTCCATTTTTATTGCCCTTCAATACTGGGTATTATTTCGTTTTTTAATATTCTTTTGCATTATCGAGGAGAAATTTCTATCATAGGTAAAGGAAAAAGCGACGAAGAGAAAAAGTCTGAGAAAGTAAACGAGACAGATGAATTTAAATTGAAAGAATATCATATCAGAGACCATTATGATACAATTAAAGACGCGATAAAAATATTCAGTGACGACCCATTGCTTGAAAAACCAGGGACTAATTTTCTCTACACAACTCATGGTTGGACGCTGTTGAGCGCTTGTGTCGAAAAAGCTTCTGGGATGGATTACGTCACATACATGAAAAAGATGTGTTATGAATTGGGTTTGGACAATACTATGGTTGAATTGAATGATCCTATAATTTATGATAGATCAAGGTAGGGTGATTATGCGATTCAATGATTGCTAAATTGATCGGAGTGAACACCGAAACTTTATGATAGTTCAAGGTAGTGTGATTATGCGATTCAATGATTGCTCAATTGATCGGAGTGATCACCTATGATTGATTTCGAATATATGATTGAATAGTTAATGTCAAATTTCTGGTTGAGTTTCCTGGTAAACAGCTGGTTTGTGATTTTTTAATTGATCGAAGTGATCTTCTTTGATCGACATAATGATTGATATATACATTATTGTATAATGCTTGTCGACCGTTGATTTTTAGGCAATCACCATGAAGGTCTTCCTAATGATTATTGATTGGTTGAATCACTTGAACACGTAGCTAAGTGGACTTCATGATTTCATACAAGAGAAAAGTATTCGCATCGCCCCGTTTTAGTCTATATCAAAAACTTAGAATAATTATATGAAAGATTGCGGCTGTTCCTTAAATTGTCCAGGCAGTAAACTAATGAGTTTTCTATGTAATGAAAATTTCTGTCTACCGGCCTGTCATAAAATGCTCGATGCTGTACAGACAGAACTGTACACGCTATTTGGTGAATTTTTCTTTCAGAGTATTCCTCTGCAGAGGAAACTCAGAGTAGCAACTTAGAACCGTCCTGATTTATAAAGCAAAAAGCGAGTTTTTACGTAAATCTCTTTCATGTCTTTTTTCACCTTACCATATAACCTTTACTTGCGAATATATATTCTGCTGAATGCCAAAAACAACGTATTTTCCAGGAATTACACGAGGGACGCAAAGGGAAGGCTCCAAAATACGCCATATGTTGACAATTCCTACAAATGGGCCGGTGGTGGGTTCTTATCAAACATCGAAGATCTGATCAAAATAGGAAACGTGATGCTATACAGCCACTTGGAAAAGCAGGATACCACAATTCTTAAAGGTGAGTGAGTGTTTTTTGAATTTTTCAAATTGGACATGTAATGCATCGATATTTCTCGAACCGTTTTTAAAGCATTCACATTCCTGATTCTAAAGATTTGGATGTTAGGACATTGTTTGGGGGCAATGCATCTGTAAATTCGTGAGAATGCCCCAGTAATTGGGGTTCCAGCCATGACCAAACACCATGCCAAACACTCACTTAGAGAAAAGGAGAGTTGCCAGCTCTCTGTTATCAAGGCGTAGGCATCATGAGATGTTATCACATTGAAAGGAAGGACCAAAACACTGCCTGATAGGCGTAGGTTCTCAGTAGCTTCAAATACAATACAATACAGTACAGTACAGAATAATATAGTACAATACAATAAAATACAATACAATACAAAAAATGCGATACGATACAGTGCAATACAATATAGTACAATACAGTACAATGAATACAATACAATACATTACAATGCCGTACAATACAGTTCAATACATTACAGTACAGTACAATACAATTTAATACAATTCAATACAATACAGTACAATACCATACCATACAATACACACAATACACAAAACAAGGGGATACAATACAATTTTTTAGTAATATTTGACTAAATTCCAGGATATTTGGATCAGGATGTTGTCAGGCAGCTGTGGACCCCTGACCCAGTTACAATTGGAAAAGTATCAAAACATTTCAAGGAAATGGGGTATGGACTGGGCTGGTCGCTGCTGCCAAATTCATCGGAATATGGGTGCTGTAGAAAATCGAAATTCGCTGCCATGCATGGTGGTAGGTTATTTATTTCAATCATCAATAATCTTACGGAGTACATGATCACCTTTCCTAAGCCCTTTTAACCCTAAGAAACTCGAAAGACTACACAGACAGACTCATTTAATTGATGTTGCCAGCCGATCGCAGTTCTCAGCGTGAAATTCTGGGTTGCAACTTCACAATAATACTATTCTAAACACACAAGGTGATCAGCTCTGCCTATGTGAGATCTTACGACGTAATGAATACTTGTAAACCATTGAGCACTTGATGAAAGTTTCATGATCGTGATTTACGTCATATTTTACGATTGGTACCTCGTAAAATAGTAAACTTCAGCTTGTTCTAATTTTTTCTTCAGGTGGAGCTGTTGGTGCAAGTAGTATTCTGCTTATTGTGCCAACTGAACCAACTTATAAAGCTGAAAGTACCTCGCAAACTTCAACTGGTACTGAGGTCGAGCAGAGGTCAAAGGTTAAAAACGCTGGTGAAAGGGGAGAGGTCAAAGTTGCAGGTGGAAAGGAATACGAAAAGGGCGTTTTGACTAATCAAAGTTCAAATACTTTTGAACCAAAACCAAGGGGTGTTGTCGTTGCTATTATGGCGAACCTACAAAATGTCAGTCTAGCAAAAACAGCGCTTGAAATTGCAGAAGTTTTCTCAACTCAGGATTCTTAATCTAAGAACATCCATCCCATGATGCATTTGTACATCCCCCAGGGAACTGACGTATTTTTTAAATGATGATATCAAAATTACACATAAATTTTTACATTTAGGTAATTTTACGGAATTAAATCAATCTTTGTGATTAAAGGATTGGTGAAAAAAATAACAAATATCAATTCATTTGTATTTTAATTGTGTTGACACAATCTAATTTGAATCTAATGCATATTATTATCCGGTTGATACAAATAAATATTAGTGAATTGAAATATACAACATATTAAGTATACAACAAGTCTTAAATACAAGGAAATATAATTTCATACAGAAGAAAACATTTCAATGAAATGTTGTGATGAAGAAGTCAACAAGTCGGACAATGAGGTCAAAGGACAAAATCGGATAATGAGGTCATCACTCATATACACTGTAAAATTTTCTGAAACTTACAATGGAAGGACAAAACTGTCCGGTACAGAGAGATGTCCTCTGTAGGGAGGTGTCCGATGCAGGAAGGTGTTTGATACAGGAAGGTGTCCGTTGCAGGGTGGTGTCCGCTGCAGGGTGGTGTCCGATGCAGGGAGGTGTAAGATGCAGGGAGGTGTCTGTTTTAGGGAGGTGTACGCCGTTGTCCATATAAGGAAGTGTTGGTGGATATTTGTTGTGAAGAAGTTAAGAAGGGGAGGGTTAAATTCACTCTTTAAGGAGGTTTGACGTGAAAAAGAGGAGGGTTCAAGGGGGGGGGGGGGTTGTCTGTTACTAGTGGAAAAACAACTAGACATTTTAAAAACGATTCTTTGCCAACCAACACAAAAAGTTCTAGGTTTTTAAAATGCTAATAAGGTACTGAGCCAGCAATAAAATAGAGTCGATATCAATATGAAAATTTCGATACGAAAGGTCAAAAACATAGCCTTTGATCTATGACCTTTGACCGGAAATGATTCACTATGACCTTTGTGGATATGTATTTCCCAAAGTGAATATGTATTTTTTGAGAAGAAAATCCTTTCCCGAGGAAAAACAACTTTTACTAACATTTCTTCGGATAGCCTTTGATTTAAGTAAGCCTGAGTAATTATGAAAATGTTTTCTCAAATCTTTCTCAAGGTGATTTAACTTATACCTTAAAATGCCTTAGGATCGTCTTCGAGTAAATTCAGGCTTGTAAATGGTTTTGATCCTCATATGGCGTCATCAACTAAAAATCAAGCCGATATCCTTAAGGGCATTGTGAATGTGCGAGAGGTATGGCTTCTGTATCCAGTACAAAATTACGTCATTAATCAACAGCCAGTACCAGGCCCCAGAAATATTTGCACCCAACACCAAAATAAATATGATATCTCTAACGGCAACAAAACTAAACTTGTTTCTTCAGCCACTCGACAACCTCCTTTTCATGTCCATCCAGCCAATTAATGTGATTCTGGATGCTTTCTAAAGCCTGGTTTAACGCTCGTTGCCCTGTGCCCGTTTGGTGCGTCTTGAAGAATTCTTGTACCTGCAATTCAATTGAATACTTTTAATTCAACTCAACGAAGCTGAAGGGAATTTGGCGGGAAAATCTATTAGCATTCGTCATGCTGCATCGTATGACTTTCTGTTGCATAGAACTGCTAAAACGACAACCCTAAAATTAATCAAACTATCACGTTAAGCTAAATCAATACAAACAATCTTTTGGTGGTATGAAACTTGAAAATGGCTTTGAAAAAAGCAAACATTTAGTAAACTAAAGCTTTTCGAAAGGGCCTAAATCAATACCATAATATTCTTTCAGTAAAAAGATCTGTTTCGTGCAGATAGCAATTATTTAACCTTGCTTGTCAATTAGGGAAAGTCATTTTTTAATAAGCATTGAATTAAAAATGAGGCTTTGCAGAATTTTCCTGAAACTATTATTTGACTCCATGTTTTAATTTTTTGTGCTCGTTCAGAACTTTGATAAAAACAATTGCATGCAAAAATATTATATTCATTGCCACAAATCCCTTACAGAGATTTGCAGACAATTTTATTCAAAGTCTCAATCTCTCAGAACTTTGCTAAAAATAATTGCATGCAAAAATAGTCTATTGATTGACACAAATGCGAGTGGGTGACAGGTGCAGGGCAGGACAAAAACCAGTGACCAGTGACACTGTACCAATTGAGCTACCCGTTAATTGAGCAGCTCTAATAACAATGGCATGCTACTCACACACTCGGCCCTCCCCATCCCTCTTTAACAAGCTCACAATGCGTATAGAATTCTGTGTTAAGATTAAGAGCGTTTTGGGTGAATGGTTTGAGCAAGATGCTTCATTTAGTCTTTAAAGGAACTGGAAACAGGAAAATGTTCCAATGTTTAGACTATTCTGGTTCTTATCAGATGAGGGCCTAATCTTTAAATTCCGGTCAGTAGGTTTTATCAACACCGGCGTCTTATATGCATTATGAGTTGTTTTTAACAGAAAAGTGATCTCTACTGATCTAGGTTTATGCTTGGAACCACATCAGAAATTATGCAAGCTTTAGGTTTAAGCTGTGTATATTTTTAACTGGATTATACTAAGATAAAATATGAACAGTTTATCCATGAAAGGCAAAACAAAGAGCCATAATTTATAGGCACAAATCGCAAAATAACAAAACTGCAAATTGAAATTAGAATAAAATCACAATATTTGATCTAATTTTTAGCTGTCGTTTAAAATATTTCAGGTTCTGATACCCAGATAATACTTTATAGTTAAGGAATATAATGTAAAGCATATAATGGAGTTAGGTATATAATAGTCATTTGAAATAAATGGAGTAAAGTATTTCAGGTTACATTTAAGATATTAAGGGACAAAGATTAAAGTTTAAAGAGGAAAGTTTAACATGTTAGAAAGAAGGACTTCACAATATAATGTGTTTCGGCAATAAAGTTTAAAGGCTACGTATTATGAGTTAACCAGTAAAAATTTTTAAGTTAAAGGTGAAAGGTTTCCATATTAGTAAGAGTGACGTCAGATTTTAAGAGCTTTAAAAATAAGCTATACAAGATTGCATATTAAGAGTTTAAGAGTGGAGTTCTTAAAGGTTAAAGGTGAGGGTTTACATGTTAGAAAGAATGGCCTGAAATTACAATGTCTTTAAAAAATAAGGTGGATAAAGCTAGATATTAGAGGCATTGAGTCATGATAAAATGGATTGGGTATACCCTAAGTGCAAAAATACGCTGAATCATGATTTTCATGACTGCGATGATTAGTTGACCTTAAACTGGTCACATGAACTCACCTCGTACTGATTAACAAAACAATTTCCATCAAAAGCAAGTTGTTAACAACGGATGCAAATATCACATGAAACAGCAGCGATTACGCCGAAACCAAATGACCCCCAGAAGGCCTATTTACCATGACTCAATGCCTTTAAGAGTTTAACAGCGGAAGTCTTAAGGGTTAAAGGCGAAGGGTTAAAGGCGTAGGGTATCCAATGTTATCAAGAATGACGTCACAGAAAAAGGGTTTTAGCTTTACGTCACGAAAATTTCAATTAGCTTTACATTCTATTGTACCTGATTTTTTTCTTTATTTGTTTTTGCGCTACCAAAAACGGATTCAATGATTTCTGATATATCAAATGAATCCCCACCATATCTAAAAAATAAAGATATAAAAATATGTAAATGACTAACAACTATAAATTTGTGGGAATAAACTGTCATTTACCCGATCTCTCTCTTCTACGGTTTTCCCCAATCCGAATGTCCCCTTTATAACTTTTGATATTGTGAATGAAATTCCAGAATACCTAATAACAAAACAAAGTAAGTGACGATGACGTAAACATTTGTGACGTAAACAGACAGAGCTAAACGAGATATGACGTAAGCATTCGATAATATCAGAAGTAATTACGTCGATAGTATTTATGATTATACAAACTAAGTTCTACTAAAAACCCATAACTTAAATTGGTAAACCACAATTGAGAAAATAAACACAATAGAATGCGCTGAGATGTAATAAAATCGATCATAGTCGAAATCTTAAATTTGCTGATATCAAGGATTTTATTAGCAGCCGACAACCTGCAAAAGTCTGCCACTTACTCACCAAACCTTCACCGCCTACTTCACCCTCACTTCAATAAGACCGCACGAGCTTTATTAAACTTAAAGACGCCTACTTCTAAACGTGAGCCTTCTACTTCAAAACTAATGAAAATTTTGGATATTACGCTCCGCTAGGCAAGATTTTACTTCCGTGGTTCACTTGAATAATTTCACATTCTGAGTAATGTCTATATCCAGGAATCTGATTGGCTGGAACAAACCTCCAAACCAATGAAAAGCCAGCAGAAATCTTAATGTGGACCAATCAGACTTCCGGTTTACCACATGTGCCAAAACCCGGCATTGTCGCTGGCGACAGTGTTCTTTTCGATAGTTACATAATTACCTTTCGAATATTGTGTTCCAGTTCTTAAATGTGAAGTCCCAAGCTAACTTCTGACCGACTCTGTTCGAAGCAACACCAATGATGACGGATGACGAATCTTGAGCCCGGACTTTTGAACTGTCCAAAGCCATGTCCAAGTACCTGGAACGTAAAATAAGAGGTCAAAAGTGGTCAATGAAAGGTCACGAAATTGACTTGTTTCTTTGTGTTGAGTTCAGGTCAAAAAAGGTCATGTTCCCTTGGGCTGCATTGTTTTAATACATATGACTGTGATCTTTCACCTTTGCTCTGTGACCTCAGTTTTTGACCTTTGCGACTCTATCTTTAGATAATGACCTTGCCTATTAGCCAATTTCCCTATACCTAAGTGCCGAAAAAAACACCTAAATTTGTCATTGAAGTTACAAACACCAGGAAATGACCAGTACTGTTGACATGGATAAACTAGCTAATAGTGACGTCACTTTTCAAAACTAAGTTGTCAGTGTTCACTCATAGCGGCAAGTTGTTTTAAAAACCCTCAATTTCACTCGGTGCATAAATAGAAAGCATTACAATTTTAACCCAAACACTCACTTTTTCAATAGTTTGGGATCCTCAGTCTCTGACAATGAAAACAAAATTTTCCTCTTCTCTGTCGAAACCAACGTCTTTTCTCGCCTTTGCCAGAGGAAATTCCAGTCATCTTCTGTTCCATATTTTATTCCAGCGGCATAGACAGATCCTTTCAGATTAGGAGGCAATGGCGTTCCTTTTGTCTTGAAATCACGGAACAGTTCCAGGGCCCTCGTTTTCGCTGATGTATCATTGTGCTTGACCGCAGAACCGAGAATGAGGCCTCTCAGATATCTAAAAGAGGCAGCAAACACAAATTCAGCACGTAAAATAGATCGGCTTCCGAAAATATGTAGGCCACAATTTCGTCTAAACATCCATCTTTCCTGTTGATCGCATTAAGCGCATTAAAGGTACTCGACACCAGGTAAAAGTGTCTTACAGCCACTTGACCCGTAGTGGTTGACCAATCAAATTAAGCACAGAGAAAACACGTGAACAGTTTCCGTCTTTCTGCAAATCGGCGAAACCCTAGAGTGGTTTCACGTGAGTAGGTACTTCAAATTCCTTTCAAACGCACGTGCTCTGATAGCATTACTTTTGGATTCGCTGTACTTACACATGTCAAATGCCTTTAAGCGTGAAACTAGGAGTAGCAACTTAGAATCGTCCTGTTCTATACAACTAAGCATGAACAGCTCTGATTTGTGGCATCGACCACATTATGGCTAAACAATAATTTCCATTCTGTTTATAGCAAAGATAATAGATTTCCTCGTGAAATACAACGTTAAATGCTGTTATTTTAGTGCATTCGTACTGTACGATATCATATCGTGTTGTATAATATTGTCTTATTTTGTATTTTATAGTACATTGGTGATACTGTATGCTATCATATCGTATTATCATAAGCTGATATCTACACAAAAAGTTACCTCTCTAAATGTGTTCCCTCATCTTTCCATTCTAATTTCTTTACAAGAGGCTGAATAATCTTTAATATATATTGCTAGAAGAGAAATATCATATTACAAGTTATAAAAATACTGATACAGGCTACTAATAACGAACATAAAACTCCAGTAACAATACTCAAGACATGTTTAATATCTTATCAGCGACGTTGCGCTATTGGCAAATATCACTTTGTGAAATATCACTGAATATATCAATATTTTGATGGTCGTTATGATACATCGATAAGTATTGTCATTTTAGTTATTAGCAAGTAAAAGTCCTGGATGAATATTCCCTTCAGAGAGAAGACAGTTTTATTTGAATGCTCGCTGCATGAGCAGAAACAGTTGTAAAGGCTGACCTCGTAATAGGCATATCCTGGCCTCCCTTCCAACATGGATGAAATATACCCTAACGAGGCCATGAGTGAGTTCCATGGTACGTAGTCTTGCTCTTTGCTGAAGTATTTTGTCAAATCAAGTGCAACTTGGTAGCTCAACATATCAGTCCTAGAGAAGACAAGCTATCACTCTAATCACACGATCACAATGAATCATAAAAAGTGGAATGATTTTCATATAGGATAGGCCAACAATGTAATGTGTACTGTACTTTGCAGTAGAGGAGGCTTAGAGGGTTAGTAGCGTCTTTTATGATCATTAACTCAAAAAATGTCCGTAATATCTTAACGAACGCTCAACACAACAACAGTTTAAACCAATGTTACCTTAGTAGATGTTAAAGATCATAAACAGACAACCGTTAAGTTGGGTTGGGAAGCATAAGATAAAAAAGGACTACACATAAAAAACAGGATAATTTCACTTTCAAACTCGTTTTCTTATAGTGTTAAGACCGCATCTTGTTAAAAATGTTATTATTAAGGAGACTGGGAGGAACGCAGAATAAAGCTGCGTAGGATACGTAGCTACGAAGCAGCTTTGTAACAGTAACTCTAAAATTTTCCAAATTTCGCTAAATACTGTTGAAGAATCAAGAGGTCTGAGCACTAGTCAGCAACGACAATTCGACGGTTCTCGAGTCGCTTTGATAGTTTGTGCGACTAGAATCCTTAAGAGTTTGAGTAAGTTTATAGAAATAAATGAGTAAGAGAATATCTACCTGGCAAGTTCAAAGGCATCGTCGATAAGGTTGGCACGATCAGAGGAACTGAAGATCTAAATATATTAAAAAAATGAATTAAACGATATCAAAAATACATTTTTCAAATTTAACTGTAGACCAGTCCGTTGAGATCTATAAATAAAATATGATATAATCAAATAAACGATGGTGTCCTAGGCAGGGCCTCCGACGAAGGGGGCCGGGGGGCACGGCTCCCCTGCTTTTTTCTGAAAACAATAGAGCTTTTTTAAATAATCTTTCGATATGATTGTTAAATTATCCCTTGCCCCTTTTTTCATCAGGTTAAAATATTAAGGAGGCAAGTCTGTGTAATATTGGATCGGGGAAATAGGCCTAGATTTAAGAAATGTCTCTAGAAAGAAATATCTTGAGAGTAAAACACAGTAAATAACACGCTGTTGCTAAGGAGGTACTCTAAACAAGAAGAGGGTCCTTTAGGGCAGGTTAAGATATTAAAAAGATCTTACCGAATGATTCTTCAGCAGTTGTTCACTCAAGAGCTTCCAATTTTCGACTTCGTAGTTTGTTCTGAAGAATCCTTTTGTGTCAATGTTGATTTTGATCCACTCACCCGGTTTTGGACAGGGAAAATCTAATTGCTCTGTAAGATAATTGTTAAATCATTGTGTTGTGAAGAAATGGCAGGGGGTATCACGCGAAAAAAGGAGTTATAAGTAAATATATGTTATCAATGCTGCTCCTCAAGGATCCGTTCTGGGAGCTGCTACAATTGTTCCTTCTCATCTTCAAATCCTCGAGATTGATCAATCATCGGGACATATGATACATTACGACTCATGTAAACAGAAACTTTTTAGCTACTTGTGGAAGCTTTTCTATTTTCCTACAAAAAGCACACTACTATTCTGTTATTTTCTAGAAAAAACGACAAAAACAGACCTCAAAAGACATACAAAGATTCCTCACGACATACAAAGATTTCTTACGACATACCTTTTGATCGGTTGAAGAAAACAACATCTCTTGCTGCTTTTGTCATATACGTAACTGGGATATCCCATTTATATCTGCAAGCCAGAGATGTGGTTTAGAAATGTTTAAGGAATACCAAATAACATACTTGACACCTACTGACATCTACTTTATTAATATCAAGAATTCATTTTTATAGCATAATCCTGATAAATCGTACACCTGATGACTCGATAACTCGATGACTCGAAACCTTAATGATTTGCATTCTTCTCATGCCACTTGTTCCTTTTGAATACTTTCGATGCCCCAAACATTCGTCAAATAGGGAAATTTTCAATGTTTCCTTGGTGTTTTCAAAGTTTTTGCTAAATGACCAGCCTACGCATAGATTAAAGAAATTATGCATGAATATTCTTGAAATTTTGCATAAATTATGATATTCATACCCAAAAGGCGATGATTTTGATGGCTTTGCGTTCTTAGCTGTCATGAAATGCTGCTGTGTCACAAAACATTTCCCAGCATTTTTTGGGTCTTTCTTCAGCATAACGACTGGGAAACCCATTTGAAGTGTCCATGTGTCCATCATTGCTTTGACGTCAACAACATCACCTGTGGCCTAAGTAGAACAAACGAATTGAATTTTCTAATCCGTAGTTTCAGCACTTAGGCATTTTTAAAATTATGAAGCCAGTTCTTAATACAAAGCAGTGGTTACAATGCTAGAATACTGAACGGAACCTTTGTCATGTCAATGCAATGTAAAAGGAAATCCTAGCCTAACCTATCTCATCATGTTGTTGGCCTAGAACATGTGTTTTCTATAACTGGCACTTCGGTATCACTCACGCAAGAGGGTCTAGAGGCAGCGAAAAAATTATCACTCAAGCAAGAGGGTCTAGAGGCAGCAAAAAATTTTCACTCATGCAAGAGGGTCTAGAGGCAGCGAAAAAATTATCACTCACGCAAGAGGGTCTAGAGGCAGCAAAAAAATTATCACTCACGCAAGAGGGTCTAGAGGAAGCGAAAAAATTATCACTCACGCAAGAGGGTCTAGAGGCAGCAAAAAATTTTCACTCATGCAAGAGGGACTAGAGGCAGCGAAAAAATTATCACTCACGCAAGAGGGTCTAGAGGCAGCGAAAAAATTATCACTCACGCAAGAGGGTCTAGAGGCAGCCAAAAAATTTTCACTCATGCAAGAGGGTCTAGAGGCAGCAAACAAATTTTCACTCATGCAAGTGGGTCTAGAGGCAGCGAAAAAATTATCACTCATGCAAGAGGGTCTAAAGGCAGCGAAAAAATTATATCTCATGCAAGAGGGTCTAGAGGCAGCGAAAAAATTATCACTCATGCAAGAGGGTCTAGAGGCAGCCAAAAAATTTTCACTCATGCAAGAGGGTCTAGAGGCAGCGAAAAAATTATCACTCATGCAAGAGGGTCTAAAGGCAGCGAAAAAATTATATCTCATGCAAGAGGGTCTAGAGGCAGCGAAAAAATTATCACTCATGCAAGAGGGTCTAGAGGCAGCGAAAAAATTATCACTCATGCAAGAGGGTCTAGAGGCAGCGAAAAAATTATCACTCACGCAAGAGGGTCTAGAGGAAGCGAAAAAATTATCACTCACGCAAGAGGGTCTAGAGGCAGCAAAAAAATTATCACTCACGCAAGAGGGTCTAGAGGAAGCGAAAAAATTATCACTCACGCAAGAGGGTCTAGAGGCAGCAAAAAAATTATCACTCACGCAAGAGGGTCTAGAGGAAGCGAAAAAATTATCACTCATGCAAGAGGGTCTAGAGGCAGCACAAAATGGCTGGTCAAACCGGTCTCATGCTTAGCACTTTCCCTAGGTACAAATCAGCTAAGACAGAATGGCCACTCAACTCATGGCCTTTTCATCAAGTCAAAGTACGAATACAAAGCACTAACTTTATGGACCGTGTCCTGGATTCCTGTTTACTCTCCCTTCCCTTATTATAGATCGCGATTGTTTTTACTTTGATAAGTAATTTTGAATAACTGGAAAATGTTGAATTAGTTTTAAGACACTCACCTTAGCCAGAGAAGACCAAAGATCGTCCGATTTCGCATTGGCGAATTTGTGAATATTCAAATAGTTCTAGGGAAAAAATGAAAAATTGAATAGGACTGTACAGCTAAGACTTGGCTGAGTTGAAACAGAACTATTAATGCAGATTTGAATAGCAACTTTTAAAATATCTAATACCTAATGAAAATTGAAGTCTAACAAAAGGTTAACCGAATATATTTAATAAAATGTTTCTAGCAGAGAGTGTTAACCTTCTCGAATGTCTTTCGAATGACAGTACATAAAATTCTAAAAAAAGATCATTAAAACATGAAATGAAAAAATTCTGATACAAAATGAAGTATAAAACAAAGTATATCAAAATAACAAAATACATTATACCTTTACAAGATAAAACACATACCCTTAACTCTGCTTATAATATGAAAGTCATTGACTAAAATGTCGTAAGAACAGAAACATCAACAAACCTGTAGGCCAGCATCAAACTCCTTTGCACCCAAGTAATCCTTCAACATGCGAATGATCGATGACCCCTAGAAAAAAGATCAGAGGTCAAAGGAGACTAATTCGACACGAGCCAACATCACCTTTCATCCCTCGTGTACAAAACGGCAGATGAGGAAACCTTTTTTACGTTACCCTGGTCCAAGTTTATGATAAGCTAAACACCAAATTGTGGCTTTTGTGTTTCTCTCCACACATTGTGACATTTACCTCAAATTTTCTAATTTTTTTATATTTTCTTCCTTCATGAAGAAAAATGATCAGCTGAATCCATGATTCTTATCGATTCTAAACTGTCAATTAATCACTGCCATTCGAGCCAATCAATAGAAAGAATAAATTCCAATCAAGCAATCAAACAGTCAATCAAACAATCAACAAAAATAATACGTCGATTCAATGATTTAAATCACCTTATCATATGAAATTGCATCGAATATGGCATTGATTTCTTTCGGATCTTTAACTGGGACAGAAATCGGATGCGAATCGGCATGTGCGTCCATTGTCAGAGATCTCTGGACATGGGTAATGACAAACTGGTCCATCATCTGCCACTCTTTGAAAATGTCATCAGTACAAAAATATTCCATAAAAGTCGCGAAACCTTCATTAAGCCAAAGGTCATTCCACCAGTCCATGGTTACTAGGTTACCGAACCACTACAAAAGGCAAAGGTGAGTCGAGAGTCAAAGGTGAGTCAAAAGTCAAAGGTGAGTCAAAGATCAAAGGTGAGACAATCTCTGAAAAATCAAGGCGAGACAAGAGGCAAAGGTGAGTGAAAGTAAAAGGTGATTCAAAAGTCGAAGGTGAGTCGAGAGTCAAAGGTGATTCAAAAGTCAAAGGTGAGTCAAAGATCAAAGGTGAGTCAATCTTTGAAAAGTCAAAGGGGAAACAAAAGATGAGTGAAAGTAAAAGGTAAGTCAAAAGCTGAACAGCTATCACGTTACAAATATTGAATAAAAGTCAAATTTCAATATTGTTACAATGAATTTGTTTACTTAACTAATAAGATTCAAGAAATATACTACCAAGGAAAGGCTATAAAATCATTTAACTAATTGGGTAAAGTTCGGGAGATAGCTCAACTTATTTTTGCTATAAAATTTAGCTTCGGATTAACTTAAATGCAAACCTGATGAGCAATTTCGTGTGCTATCACGATAGCAACCCATTGCTTATTTGAGTCCGAAGATTCTTCCTTGTCATAAAGCAATGACGTCATTCGATACGTAATTAGGCCCCAGTTCTCCATGGCTCCAGCTGCGAAATCGGGGATGGCAATCAAATCTGGAAGCAGAGAATACATGATTATTTCGGTTTCTTAAAACTATGGTAATCATTTCTAAAATGATCAATTAATCACGGTGAAATGATTGTCGTGTTTACAAAGTATTGATTCAGTAGTGCCTACCGAGTTTGTTTAACGGGAAATTGATTTTGAAGAATTTCTCGTAGAAATCAAGCACTTTTGGAGCAGTCTGGCTTGCGAACGTCGCTTGACTGATCTGGTCCTCTGGGGCAATGATTCGAATCTGTGAATTAAGAAGATAGAATCACAACTAATGAACATATCAGTTAAGTGATAGGAATCACGTAAGCAGACGATGTACTGATTAACCATGAAACATTTAATCAACAGAACATTTGACAAACAAAATGGAGGATCTTGGCTTTTTTCTTTGAGCATTTATAGTCAGCCACGATGCGAAGAAGAGGCGATGAAGAACTGCGATAGCTTTAAAATGTGACGTTAATAAGAAAATCTTTTTCTAGAAATTGTTGCTTTTGATAAAAAATCTAAAAAAGCACAACGAAAAACTTTTGAACATTGAACTACGCAAAGCTTACAACTGCAGACAATGCGTTGATTTTATTCAAATTTAGGATTTTGATAGTAAGTTGTATCTGTATTTTTTTAAATGGTTGGCTTTAATCAGGATTTTAAGATATAACTTATTTGCCAACGTTAACTCAAAGAATTGATAATCATTATTGAAATAATTGAATGTGTAATTAATGGGGTGTCAAACATCAATTAGTAAGTGATAAAGTACAGACAATGATGACCGTAAAATGATAATCAAATTTTTATTAGAATGAGGCTCATTAAAGATGGTGTACTAGATGTTCTGTTTAGAAATTGTAGAAATTTCCAGTGTAAATGATAAAACTTTAACTATTTTATGTTGTTATAAGCTGTAGCTTTCGGGGGTGTCACTCTCTGGTCCCCCACAAGTGCATTACTCGCTGGCCCTACCCAACAGCTCACGCAACGCCACTGCACAGCATTGCACGAAGACCTGTTTAAAGACTCATTGCTAACATTGAGCCATTGCGCTACGTAAGCATCCCATAATGCATTTTTAGACTGTCTAAAATCAATAACTGCCATTGTTTGAACCTTCGCCACGCTCGCAAAGGCCCATTGTTAGCAATGAGTCTTTAAGGAAGAGAAGCGAGGGGTGTTGGTGAAACTATGCCATTGCAAAAATCTCTTAGTAAGAGATATGTTACCTTAATTCCTCTTGAAGAAACAGATTCGATGCTTTTGAAGTCGTCATACAATACTGCGTCAAGTGAAAGAAAAAAGAACAGACGTATGGCTTTAGTGCGGATATGAGCAAGAGACTGTTGGTGAAACTATGCCATTGCAAAAATCTCTTAGTAAGAGATATGTTAGACTGTTGGTGACATTGTAAAAAATCTCTTAGTAAGAGATCTGGTCCCCCACAAGGGCATTACTCGCTGGCCCTACCCCAAGCCGCATAATCACTCCAACATCTCACGCTACCCCACTGCACAGCATTGCACGAAGACCTGTTAAAGGAAGAGAAGCGAGGGGTGTTGGTGAAACTATGCCATTGCAAAAATCTCTTAGTAAGGGAAATGTTACCTTAATTCCTCTTGAAGAAACAGATTCGATGCTTTTGAAGTCGTGAACAACGAATGCAACAACATATGTGCTCATTTTGACACTTTCCTCAAAATGAACCACCTCAAGGCCATCACGGCGGACTTTCTGAAATAAAAGGAATAAGCAAGATAATCGTGTTGTCAAAACAGACACAGAAATTCTAAGATAAACTGCTTAGAAACATCGCTAGAACAGAAACCAATTTTTCTCTTGTTGAAAGAGGAAATAAAGCGTTTTTCTTTAAAAATATAGTCAACTTCTTCGACTCGATTTTTCATGGAGCAAAAATTTGCTCAAATAATTAAAGGCTTATTATAACTCGAAATTTGTCGGATAACTCGAATTTATAGAAAGTTGACGAGATTTCATCAGACACCGATTGCTTTTAGACCCAGTACCCCCAACCCCTCAAGTGGACAGGGTAAAAATTGGAATCCATGGAATATGCATCAGTTTGGGGTTTTTTAATATCATGACAAATCTTTAGTAAAATCGTAGCTTCAACAATTAAAGCAGAGGTGGCGCCAGAAAACTTCCGACAGAGGGGTTCGAGCTTCCGACAGGGGGGCTAAAATGACTAAAATATGCAGTTTTCATACGTTATTTTGTCAAATTTGCTCCAACAATAACTTAAAATCTTCTCCTTTAGGGGGGCTAGATGCTTCCGACGGAGGGGCTGTAGCCCCCCTAGCCCTCCCCTGGCGCCACCACTGAGGTAAAGGCAATCTGTCCCCTCAATGATTGGCTTATATAAAAAGCTGGTCTTCCCGCTTTAACGGTTCACGCTACTCGCTTTGGCTGGCCTAGCTGCGGTATTTGAAACTGCGAGCAAAAAGCTATCGGAAATGGCAAGAAGATTTAAAAACTGGAATTGAATGATAATGGAAGCATTTCCCTTCGCTGTTGACATATCTGTCGCACAAACCAAACAGGGAACCAATTTTTTCTAGCCAAAGCTTCATCACAACGGGAACATAGCCATTTGATTCAAAAGCTCAAAGTTGCCTTTGATTGGTTTAAATCGTTTAATTATCGATCATACAAAACGGTGCTTGAATTTCAATCCAGGAAAAATGTTGAGCACAATAGGGGACAGACTGCTTTTAATAAAACGATCGAAAGCTTTAAACTCCATGGATTTTACAAAAAATCGATTTTTTCACTCACAGTTGCAAGGATCGGCATGTTTGAGACTGCGTTGTGTTCGGGCGACTTCACAATAATGATTTTGAATGTTGCTTTCATTGCCGGCTCATCAAAACATGGGAAGGCGGTACGGGCTGCGGAGGATTCGAAGTGCGTCGTAGCGATGTACCTGCGGAGGCAAATATAAAACTCTTTTATAATACTCTCTACACCAAGCAACAATTGCCCCCCCCCCCCCCCCCCTTCTCTTTGAATCCCATCAAAACAAAGAAACACAATACTGCTTCATGCTTCCAATGTCGCCTCCATTCAGTGCAAGCCTCAATTGGGCGGGCATCTAAAACTCGTTACCAGCTTCCTTTAAAATTATTCTAAATTAATTATGCATGCGAAAATAATCTTTGTTGTAATTTAGCTTTGAAAATGTAAACAAAAAAACAGACACCGACATAGTAGAAAACGAAAATGTGGCCTAATTTTGAGGTATCATAATTGAGTAAAGATGAAAAGGACAAAAGAGAAAACATCGCAAAACTGATTAAGTGGAGACAGGTGAAGGGCAGATGTTCGTTTAATAAACACTGAGCTAGCAGAATGCAAATAAAAAAGGCAAAATTGTTATTGTGAGATGTGAGAAAGTATGAAGACATATCCATGTGTTAGTAGTTTAAACAAACAGGTGCTACGACCAGGGGGTCAGCAATAAGGAAGGATTTTGCACGGGGGTCGAGGTGGTCTTGAAATAGGGGCAGTTTATTTGAAAAGTAAAGCTTGGCATAAAATTGGAAGAAGGACAATCATGGGCTGGGTACAGGGAAAAATAGTGCGATATAATATAGGATAGAATATGATGAGACAAAGTAATATTATGTCAGGTGATAAATATTATATGGTTTATATTGACGAAAATGATGTCGATATGGACATATTCATAGTCGTGCCTCTTGGCTCTTCAGATGAGTGGGGTGAGGGGTTTCCAAAAAAGAAAAATTTACTAACAAACCCATGAAAGAAGACTATTCCTTTCTATGGCACCTATGGTTAGGTGACTTAACCTATCAACTAATTGATTACGCCAGCTGAAAATTACGCCGACCATCTGAAAACTTTGTTCACCAACTCATAAAAATGTTTAAAGTCTTTTTTTTGTACGAGGTAGGGAAGTAAATCAAGCACAGTGACCAAAAACAGACAACTGACACAAAGCTATCTTCATCAAAAAGAAAAATTTGATGTGGAAGGATACGATATGCACCCTGCATGAGTCAGTGTGAATTCTAAGTCTTTATGCTTCAAAGGCTGTCACTAAGCAGGATTTTCCCAGCCTCCTATCAACAAAAATGAAGCTACCACCCTTTTAAACGGCCAGTGCTGTGTTTCAACTCCCAGTTTACTAGCCTTCAATGCCGGTTGTGGTATTCCCAGATAGCAACACAAAACAGCGATCAAAACATGTGTAGATATCTGCTATCGAACGCCATGAGAGCTCTCATATTCCCTTTCATGTTGGCCTCGTGGACATCAACTCTCAAAGGGAGGCAGTGGAACGAAATCTATCAAGAGTTATTTTAGGTCCAGGCCTACAGACAACTTCTGAGGAGCCTGGGGAAGATATGACTTTTGATTACGTCACTTTAATATACGATACGAAAAATTCAAACTTAGCACATTGAAAGCAAATCGTCATGACCCATCGTAAATTTTAGTAGCTGTTCTTTAGTAGCTGATTTCCTTTGGAGAGAGAGGCAGCCTCCCTAGCCCTATCTTTGAGAGAACGTGTTGAGCAGTGGCAAAATTCTACGGAAAAATGAATAAAGCAACAGTTTAATATACAACACTAATTTTTAGAAATGATGGTCTTAGCAAAAGGTTCGCATATTTAAAGAAAGACAGCCAGCCCGTGGTTTCAAAGACAACGAGCTTCGCAGTATTCAGTAGTGACGTCACGCGACACCTGCGCGTGGCCACCAACGTTGAACAACGTGATGTTAGGGACACCTTTATTGACATACCAGACTTTTTATCAGCAGATTATCTTATGAAATTACTTTTATCACGAACTCACTGAGCGCTGCAACGCCCTAAGCCAAATCAGGTTTTCTCCGCAGAAAATGTGCTATTAAAAAGACACTTTACAATGAGACATCGTATCACAGCGAAATATCAATACCACAACATATCACGATGACGCAGAAGAGCCAAGAAAGTCCCACAATTATAATCACTAAATTCGACTATCGGAAGATGGAGGCCTTTTAATTGTCTAGGCCGATTCGACTGACGCAAGAGTATACTGTAGGGCCTATATGATCTTAAAGGCATTGAGTCATGATAAAATGGATTGGGTATACCCTAAGTGCCAAAATCCGCTGAGTCGTGATTTTCATGACTGCGATGCTATTGGTTGACCTTGAACTGGTCACATGCAAAACATTTTTCATCAATAGCAAGTTGTCAACAATGGATGCCAATAACACATGAAACAGCAGAAATCATGCCGAAACCAAATGACCCCCTATAGAGAAGGCCTATTTACCACTGCAGATACCACATTCCAGATTTGTTTTCCCAACAACAACAAAAAACACAACAGCAACAGCAGAAAAAAACAATGGGCCTAGACGAAATAAAAACCCAGGTTTGCAATTATGCAATTATAGGTGCTCAGTTGTTAGAGGCGCTGACTACAGACCCAAGGGTCTGTGGTTCGAGTCCCTGGCATGACCAAACTTTCACCCAGAGTGGGGAGAGTCGCCAGGATTCTGTAATTCCAGGTGTAGGAATCACGAGGTGTGGTCACAACGAGAGGAAGGACCAGGACACTGTTCGATAAGCATAGCTTCTCAGTGTCCTAAAAACTACCTTCGGATGCTAGGTAGCAACAAATACAAAAAAAATATGCATCCCGCAGTTCTGTAATATTTCTGTTCCAGTCAAATTCAGAGCAGTGTTCACTTCACAAGAAGCCCGATTTCAATATGCGTTCTGCATGCACGTGGCGAAACCAGGCAATGTGGCTAAATTTAACTTTCTCTGCATGGCGAAATTTTATCGGTTTTAGGCTATTTTCGTTTTGTATTCGAAATTCTGCAGTAGCATACACAAAACAGCTGGTCTGCAGACTTAAGTAATATACTTCCAACTGTGCTTCGTTTCAAAGGAAATTTTATCAGTCGAATATGACGTGGCGGGCTAGTTCGAGTCCGCGTGCTTCTCCTATCAATTTAAAAATCTGAGATCAGCGCTAGATCGCAAGACACTGAATTGAAGTTGTGTTAAGAAAATCCATTCCGCTTGTTTTCACGTAATTTTTTATGCACAAAAACGAGTGCATTTTGAAGATGTGTGATTGTGCACGAAATATTTAATGAATAATAACACTTCTAAATTTTAAGGAAATTAAACCATACTGTACACTCAATACAAACCTTTGTATACAGGAAATGCTTGTGGTTCTTAAATTTATATGAAACTTTGACGTTGGAGGTGTAAGTATAAAAAGTGCAAGTAAAAATGGCTTTGAAAAAAGCAAACATTTTGAGACATACTCAAGCATTGCGTCTAACGTCGAAAAATTAAGGACTGCTTAGTCAATTTTTAGCGTGGGCCATAGTCAGGATTAGCGGAGACTCTGTGAGAAAGAATTATTGTTTTGAAAAGAAAGAAACTATTGTCAATTTTAGCGGAAGATCCACGTTTCAAGTGTTAAAACACGATTTTTGATCGTTAACGACACGTAAAGCACGTGGGCGAGAGCACTTTTTCAGTTTTAATGAATAATTAAATAAAAAATAATGGAATTGCGCTAGCTAATTACGCGGACCGCTGCATTAATTATGCACATTGTTATGTAATTTAGAAACATCGCAAATATGCAACATTTAGTTTATGAGTAACCTTCGAAGTGATACAAGAGAAAGATCTGGCCGAGTAGAACTAAGGGACAATAAAAATTTAATAACCATAAAAACCATAAAAATTTAAGCTACGCCCTTTCAACCACCAGAAAATGCCCTTTTACCAACAGGGAACGCCAATTTTATCCGAGGGGAATGCCTATGACTAACTTTTGTTTGAAAATCAGCAGTTTGAAAATCATAGGATTACATCACAAAAAGTACGGTGTCAAAATATTACCCCTCCCCAAAAATTTTCTCATCGAATTTAGACGAAATACAAAATCGATTCTGCTGAGAATTGGGGGGACGTCCCCCCTCCAGTCCCCCCCCCCATGGCGCCGCTACTGCCTTTGAATATAAGAGAGAATCAAGTGGTTCTATGCAGTCCTAACGTCAAATATATTGCATTTAACATGCTAGGTTAGGTGTTGAGAGACCCCCTACCAAAACCCCCTATCTACATCCCCTGATTTGCCCTGTTCACAACACAACAAAACACAAATTAATAGCTAGCCCCCCCCCCCCCCCCCCCCGGAATGAGAGGCTTGCCCAAGTGAGTGCTAGAGTAATTATGGTTATGATGATGATGATGATAGCACAGAAAAACCATATGGTCATTCGCCTCAATCTAGACTATCAAATTCTCTTGAATTTGCCAGGAGTCTCCTTGTTTTGTCAGGATTCTCCCAGTTTTCAATGTTTCAAGATTCGCATTTGCAAAATTATTCAATAATATAGTATTGCTAATGGTAACAAAGTCACAAGACTTCATTGACAATCCAGCTATAAAGTGGAAGATTGTGTTGAGGGCTACCACACTCTACTGAATGCTTGATGATTTGACTGCATGTAGCCAAAAATTCACCAAATGTGATTGCTAGATATTGTGTCAAAGCTCAAAGTTTTTGCCAAAACCACAAATTTTCAATGAGAAATTTAAAAAACCCTCCATGCTTTGCTTTTCCAGCAGCAGGATGGTCTCCAAATCCAATTCAGAGATACTCATCTTAAGTCATATTGTTATAATTTATGCTGTTCTAAAGAAGATTTTAAATTTGGTCAGGCAACACCAGATTCCCTGTCGTTCCAATCAGTGCAGAGATTCTTAATTCTTTACGGTCATATATTTGGTCAGCACACATTGATAGAATCAAATTTTGATCAATAGGTCATTAAATATTCATGCTTATGGGAGAAAGAAATGTAAAGATCTCAAAGCAATCCCTAGATTCAGAATAATTACAGAATAAATACAAGAGTTTTCATTGCAAGATGAGCATCTTACTCCGGCTAATCAGTGGGATGGGTGAGAAACTTCACCACATAGAAGAAAAATCCTTGCACAATAAGCAAATTTTCTGTGAGTCGCTCAATCATTCAAAGTAATGGTTTGAGAATAATGCTTTGAAATTAGGTTTTCAAGCAATTACTGACATGGTAGGAGTGAATCTGGAATCAAATTCATGCTCATGGGAAATTTTATTACTTCATCTTTATAAAGATATTTCAAGAGTAGCCGCTTATTGCAAAAAATTGGCACTGATGGTATACTATCTTGAAAGAGCTTTTTCAGAAGAGCACTTACTGATGGGAAAGATTTTTTTCAAATTTTAAATCTATAGATTGAAGATTGAAATTTTGAGAATGAAGATTGAGATAAGAATAAACATACGAAATAACTGTCCTTCATATAAGGCAGTGGACATAACTGTCCTTCATAACTCATATAAGAATGAAGGACAGTTATGTCAACTAACAGAAGAACACAATTTTATATTCATTAAAGATTTGTTATTTTCTTTAAAAGGCAGTTTCAATTGGCATCAAGACTCAATACAACGTCAGAGCCATAACATCTAAGTTGTATTGGATATATTGTCAAAATACAATGTGAATTTTATGAGATAGTTATGGAAATCATCATGCTACTAATCAAAATAAAGCATTTTAGCAGCAGGGATGGGCTGCAAACAAATTTCTAGAAATTTTTCTCGTAGACTACAACTTAAGTTATCCAATAACTTCCTTGACATGCTCAGTCCTGAACAGAGGCAGACAAGCACACTGAGTTGGATTAAAAGTCAGCTGCTGGCAGAATTGTTCCTCCTTTTTGTTCAATTTTGAAAAATGAAAGGTTCGTGTACACTAAGGCATAGTTAGGTTAAGAACTGTTTATTTGAAGAAAAAACAACGTTTTGTGTCAGAAAAATGGAAGCTTTCGTATGTTTATTCAATAACAAGCAGGTACTGTACGATCTTTAGTTCTGAGGTTGAAATTTCTAAAAATCGCAGAATCTCGTTAAGTTCATTGATTCGATCTCGCAAAGACAACGAATTACCAGCCATAGTTATAAATTATTCAACCCAAACCATCAAAAAAGTCTTCATTTTTCTCTTAAATACAAAATCATACAATATCTGTACTGGCAAATAAAGTTCGTGAACATTTCGCATTTTGGTGCTCAACCGGTAGAAAATGAAATAATTTTGGAATTCATCAACAACCGCCTTTGCAAGTGGTCGTGTTCGACTCTGTTGTTACTCGATTTTTTCCCAAGGTCAAGGTTTCTGCAAAATTTTATTCGTTTTACTGGCATTAACGAAGAGAAAAGGATAAAAAAGCTCCTTATCAGAAAATTAAAGATCTCGATGTAAGATAGAAAGGTGCCGCGTTTGACAACCTGTAAGAGGAAAAATGATATTTTGAAACAGAAATACATAACAGAAAGTGCATACCTTGTTTCCCCGCTTTTGGTTTTGTACGAACTTCTGTAAAACCCTTGTAACTTTTCTTGAAGTGTCCCATTATACAAAACAACTAACGTGTAATTTTTTCCAACTTCTAAATCTTTTTCTGTTTGAATGACCAGTAATTCCTTCTCTTGGTTCGTCGAAAATTCACCTTTTACAAGCAAGTCATCGTTATTCAACTGCCTGTCCAGATAAGAATTGTTCAGTAAACGGACGTCAGTTATTGTGTTTTCTTTAAAATGAAGTATGACTTTTTTTGTTGGCTTCAAACAGCGGAACAGAATTCTTGTTGAACCAAAAACGTTGAACGTTGTTAAATTTGGGTGCAAATATATTCTATATCGCAATGGCTCTAAATCTCCCGGTAACCTGAGGTCAGGATATGGAAATTCGTTTCTAGCCAGCCGACCTAATTTATTTTTAGTGTGTCTATTGCTCACAGCTCCGACGACGACGCCAAGAACAACCAACGCTAAAACAGAAAGAACACCGATAAGTAACTTCAGATTCATTTTCAGCCATGTTGAACCGCCAGCTTTTTCATCTTGCTTTGCGTTTTTCTTTTTCTCCGCGTCTCCTCCTTCCCCTAACAGCCGTAATTCTTCCTCGTCGTTTGTCGAGTACCCGGCCGTATTTTCATCCGCCATCTTCGATTGGTGATCATATGTGTAAACCTTCGAATTAACTTCCTTTTGTTTAGGGCTTCGTTAATTTATGATAAATATTCTGCATAACTAATGAGTTCTTCTTTTCGATTCGTATCATTTGGGATTTATTCGCTTGGGCGAATTCATGTTTTGAAATCATGACTTCGCTGGCCAGCCATGTAATATGTTCAGCGGTCTAAGGACTAATTTTCAGAATGAAACGAAAGAGCAACGACAAATTTCTCGGAACAAAAAAATGTATATCGATGAAATGCTTTTACAAGTAAATCGTAATTTTAGACTAACCGGAGAACCTTTCACAAGCGCTCTCATAAAACGAACTGAACTAATTGTGTAAAAATCTAAATATATAATTGTGCAACATAATATTGTAGCTCAAGGGACAAATAAATGATACGCGAAGGTCTATTTAAAATCTGAGAGGTTAATAGGATTAAAAGATATAATGCCGAAAAAATACAAATGTGTTACTGAGATAATTGGAAAACGTGAACGTAGAAAACAAGCAAAATGAGATTCGAAGTAAACTTCCTATGTAACGTTGTTGGTAGCAACCATTAAACCAGTGGCGGATTTAAGGGGGAGCAACTAGGAACAGTTGCCCCTCCCTCGACGAGTAGCAGCAAGTCTGGCGCCCCTTTTTTAGAAATTGTGCGCCCCTTTTGAAGAATGAGAATCAGGTGAAAAAGTTTCTAAGACCGATAGGTTAATTTGCTTCAAGGATTTCCTCAAAGTTATGCTGTTTATTCCAAAAAGGGATCTGAAATTGTTGTATACAGCGTACTCTCGTCACCAATTCTTGACAATTTTTCAGCACCCTCACTACCAACTGCCCCTCCTTCAAGTTTGCTCTGGATCCGCCCCTGCATTAAACTAAAATGCTGAGCAACACAAGTAAGGCGTGGCGGTGCGGTCGCTAAGATGCATTACGTGTGTTGCAAGGCAAAGCACAAAGCAGTATTAGAGTTACATGTCAATTGATACATTTTTGAAAAGCCAGAGGACAAAGCGAGAAAAATAGCAAAACACTAGCATAGCGAAGAAAATTGCCAAACTTTGCTAGACCAAGGGGACACTCCCCCACTGTCCTTGTGATGCAGGCCTTTTAGCCCCTAGTTAGTTGCACAAAGTCAATTTTACATGAAAAGTTTGGCAAAGGTATACATTTTTCCATCTCCAAATGGAGCTGAGTCCCTTCGTTTGGATACTATAAATGCATTCCCATTCTACTGCCTCGGGGCTCAGGTAATTTTGAGATATCGTTGGTGAAATTTCTTTTCAAGATTTCAAAATTAAGATTGACCCAATGAGTGAATACAAAAAAACAATGCATTCTAGAAAAAATGGGAGTTCCCAGAAGGATAAAAGTTCTCAATCCTCGTATTGAAAACGAGGATTTTATGTAAGCGGGAAATGGCGGACTTCGGAAGAAGGACAGTGAGCGGTTTGAAGTACTCGGAGAGATTATTTGCATCGATAAACAGCTGGTTTCCATTGTGACTCTTGTTCTTATGTTTCGTAATACTTTTGATTTATGTAACGTAAATTAGCACTTTGAAGTGACATCCTGAGGCCTGAAAAGAGTTGGTGTTTAGTAAAAGGCCGCGGGTTTTTATTTTCAAGCGTTATTGCAGACATTTTGGGAAGCAATATTTCATAAGATATATTTATATGTTTTGTTTGATTTGTGGGTAAGCTATCTGAAAGCTTGAATGCTGGTTGACTTGCATAAGATCTGAAGTAGAACAAAATGAACAGTTTTTCACAGGTGTGTCTGGTTACACCCAGTTTTAATTTGGTTGCTGCGTGCCGTGAGAAATTAAAGTTATCGTGGATCGAATTTATTTTAATGCCTGAAATACATTGAGCATATTAGTGTATAAGCTTGAAGGAATTTAAAAAATGACAAATGAAGGTATGGCCGATGGGAAAATGGAGTGGAAAGATATTGACAATTTTATTACGAAGACCAGACTATCTCAGTTCAAGGAATGCAGAAGCGTACCAACTCAATTCACTTTTTACAAAAGCATTCTCATATTTCTGGGTATACCAAGAGATTGTACGGACGATTTGCCATCGTGTGTTAATACTCTAATGTACATAAATCTTGAAGAGGACCTTAAAAACAGAAATAGATATGAAAGGATGAATGATCACGAAGAAAGTATGCAAATGGGAGCAGATGACAACAAAGATGAAGAGGAAGAAAATAGTCAGGGCAGAAACTGTATCAGTTCCTTTCGATGGAATCTTTTACTCGAAGTTGATCCAACGATGCTGGTGGACAGCACTGGAATTCCAAATTATTCTAAGGAAGAAGAACTTTTGCGAGAGAGGAAGAGATTGTCATCTCATGGAATTACTTCATACGAGTTTCATCAAGATAGTGGTCGTTTGTTGTTTGCTTCTGGGAATGCTCTTTATTGGTTGGATGTTAAGAATATAGCTGAAGGAAAATCAAAGGTATTTAATCTGCAGACTTGAAATTTTTCCCTCTGTCCTGAGACATTTCTGCATAACAGATTCATGTGCACATGGTTAATAAAATAAAAACCCTAAAACAATATGAAATACTTTTGATGAAAAATGATTAATGAGAAACTAAAAAATGCACAAAAGTTTAAGATGAAGCATTCAAAATGAGCAGTCTTTCCAGTCAAATTTCTTAGTATGATGCCAGCTTTTGCATTGATGCTTGCTACACCAACATACCAAATTTACTATTTTCCGTGAAACCCCTCATTCATGATCAATTTTGATAAAAACCGCTTTCAGTATTTTGAGGTTTTCATTGTACAATCATCGTCTCAGCTATTATCCCCTGAAGTATCTTTTTTAACCCCATGTAGGGTTTTGGCAGTGGAAGACACCTTGGGGGGAAGCAAGGGGGGTGGTCACCCCCAATATTTTTGAGGAAAATGGTCTTTTGTTCTAAAAATTAATGGGAAAATGTGATGTCATCTTATTAAAGCAATAGGCTTGCCACCCCCCAATCTTTGACCAAGTGTGCACCCCTGGGTTTTGATCTCTCCTGGTGTAATTTTTTTCAAAACATTAGCTTTTCATTTTAGCATTGATTCATCCTAAATTATATCAGAGCTTATTCAATAATTTAAAACACAATGAATTACATTGCTTATATAATCAATTTAGGCCTGTATATTAAGACACAAGCCTTTCTTTTTCCAACAGCATGCTGTACCATCTCCAGTATCAACAACCCTCTCTGGAACCAGGATGGATGCAAAAATCTGTCATCGCAACCCAGATCTAATTTCATTCATATATCATGGTGACATTTATGTAGCCAATGTCCATACCGGCCAAGAACTTCGCCTGACTTTTGTGAGAACTCTTTGGTGTGACGACTGTGTTTCTGCTGGTATTCCTTCATTTGTCACTCAAGAAGAATTTGATAGATTTACTGGCTACTGGTGGGAACCAAAAAGCTCAGAAAACATTGAAGACACAAGTATGATGATTTATATTATCAACATTTTAGAAATTAGATTTGCTCTTTGAAGTTTAAGAAGACATTTTGGCTATAAAATTTCTTTAAAATGTAGTTTAGTCCCTTCTTCAAAGAAATGAACATGTTATACAAAACTCCTGCCTGATTGCCTAGAGAATCCTTTCTCCTTTGTGAGAAATAAGGCAGCCTGTTTTTCCAAATCTCATATAGCTAGTGAAAAATTTAAAAAAGTAGTCAAAGTTTAATCGCAAATAACATATTATACTTGTTACAATAAGCAACAAGCTTTTCAGTGTCCTAACACTATCTTTGGAAGCTGAAAGTAGCAAACAATACAATTAATACAATAACATACAATAAAATATTGTTTTCTCTCTACTTTCAAAAACATTTAGCAAACACTGTTTTATCAAAGTTCTGTAATATTGATATGCATAATTTACATTATTTGCCTTATATTTCTGAAATGAATTGTAATCAAAAGTTTTGTATTTTAGAGGATGTTGAAGTTCATAAAATTCTTTATGAAATGGTAAGTTTGTAAAATCCTTTTTTAATGATTGTTAAATAATGAAGCCATTTATACTTAATCAACATATTTGTTTATTTCATCTAAACTTTCTATGTCCACTCTAGCAAACTTAATTCCTTATTTTCAACAATCTAAGCATGTCTGCCAACTTTCTAAGAAGCTGCATACCATTTGGTAGGAAGAGTGTCATCATATTTTTCTATCTTGATGGTTTTTTCTAATGGGCCAAGCAGATGCTAAACATGTGAGGGCTTAGTATGTGTCTTGCCCAAATACTTTGCCCTATTGAGATCGGACTACCTGACTGAAATGCTGAAAATGTTGCCTGAATAAGGGGGGGGGGGGAGAGTGCTGCAACCCCTAGTCCTTATGTCTCTATGTCTTGTGAATGTTTGTATGTATGTGTAGTTTGTAATTTAGAAAGATTTTTCCTTAAGGTTGATGAAAGCAAGGTTGGAAAGCAACACATTGTATCAACAGTCAGTGAGAACAACACTCAGGTGGAGACTTACCGATACCCAAAAGCAGGTATTCTAGTTTCTTTCTGTAATATTATCATATGTCCAAAAAAACCTTGTAATATATTACCTTATCAAGTTACTGTTACTTAGTCTATGCTTCTTTTTAACTTTTCAGGCTCGCAAAATGCAAAATCTGCTCTTCGCTTGGTGCAGTTTAGTTTCCTTAAAAGCAAACAGGAGGTTTGAATAGCATTATATCTTTTATTTTGATACACTAATTCGACTTTGTCTCTTTCTTCCTCTTCTCTCCCCCCCTTTTTTTTGCTCTTTCTTCTTCTCTCGCATCTTCTCTTTTTTCTTCCAATTTTCTTCTTCCACTTCTTTGCCTCCATTTTCTTCCACTACCTCCTCATCTTTTCTCCACCTCTCTTTCTTCTTCTTATATTCCTTCTCCAGTGTTTCTTCTTATCCCTCCTCTCCCTCTTCTTATTCTTCTTTTTCGTTCTGTCATCTGCTTCTTCAATTTCTCTCTCTCTCAGAATTCTTCGTCTTCCTCCTTTTCTTCCACCTCTTCTTCATCTTTTTGCTTCTTCCTCTTCTTTCCTTACTCTTCCCTTTTTCTTTCTCTTTCCCTTTCTTCCTCTTTCCCTTTCTTTCTCTTTCCCTTTCTTTCTCTTCCCCTTTATTCCCATTTTTCCTCTATCAGCCTTCTTATACTTAATATTTTCTTAGATTTTGGATGGCAGCATATTCGAGCATGATTCGAAAGTCGACTTGAAGGAACTCATCCCCTGGGCAGAGTATCTTGTTCGCTGTGAGTGGATGAGCGATGGCAAAAGGTAAGACGTAGTTTGGGACTCCAAAGCCCTGGGGTTTTACCCCCTGCTGCTCCTGAGGTTCTACCTTCTGCTCCCCTATAGAATGTAGCATTTCTCTTTGATGCAGATGCCCTATTTTTGTATTCAGCATTTACTTTCATAATTTGCTGTTTTTTGAATGTTTGCTCTAAAACTTTCAGCCAGAGCTTCGAGAATGAATACGCAAAATTTATAACTTCGTTATTTTTCATACCATTTGGCCAACAATATTGTCTCTCACCGATCTTTCCCAACCCTCAAACTCTTTAACCTTACCTAAAGGATTTTTGCCGGGCAAAAGAAGCAATTTTTGTACTCTGCCTGTAACCTTTTTGCAACAATTGTAACGTATTAAGCCCCGTTCAAACGCTCTCGACTTTTCACTCGACTACTCTAGATTTTTGTCGAGAGTAAAAGTCGAGAGCGTTTGAACACTTTGTTGAGAGCAGTCGAGCGAGGTCGAGAGCAGTCGAGAGCAGTCGAGAGCAGTCGAGCGAAGTTTGAACACGTTTAAAAAAGTCGAGCGGAGTCACACAACATTCCTATTGTTCAAGGTGTTGTTCAGCGTTGTCGAGAGCGTTTGAACACCCTGCTCAACAAAGTCGAGCGTGCGCATGCGTTCTTCTGATTTTCTGATTTTGCCCGCCAAAACACAAAACAGCGAAGTTCGTATTGTTGCAATCGAAATAGAGGACGAATCATTCACAGTTTACAACATTCTCTTTCTGCCTTCTCAAGAATTCGGTTTAGGAGAAAGTGACAGTGAAAATGGCTATGGCCGAGCGATGACGAGGGCGTGGAAGGATCTTGAAAGAGAGCGAGCAAGCGAAAACGTCCCCTGTGAGCCGGCAGCTTGTTGTTATCAAATCAAGGAGCGAGGAAAGAAAACGAGCGAGCCTCTACTTCGCGAAAAAATTCTAACAGCCGCCGGAGAATCATCCAAGACATGATCAGAAAGGGAAACACAGTATGGACATCAGCACGAAGGAAATGGACTTCCAACCGAACGGACAGCTCCTGAAAGGTGGTATTAAGTATTGGCTTACACAGCATCTTGCCACTTCGCAGCGGAGCGGATTATCGAGCATTAGAAATACTAAACCAGGAAATGCCTGGCGAGAAAGTCGAAGAGCAACTTATATGCTATGAGCACCCCCCCGCCGACTAACACCAACACTGCCTCGCGACCATCGCCAAGACAAAGAAGTCGCAAGAGTTGACGTCCGGAGGTCGAGCAGAGTCGGAGATAGCGTTTAACATAGGCTTACAGGAGACGAGACGCCATAACCAAGGCGAGGCAGGCACAAAGGATATGTTATTTATTGAGGCGCAGTCCTGTGTGAACTGGCAGGACAAGATGCACGCCACAAATTCTTTGTTCGGCGAAAATCCGACTTACTTTCAGCTCTCCAAAAAAATTTAATTGGCTCGCGTCGTGACCGTACGTGCGTCCGACCGCCCCCCCGAGCCGCTTCCAGTGTAAGATATATTCTTCTCCAATTGATACTTAATTCAGACTGTCTTAGTATCCTTTCATATTGCTTCGTAGTATCTGGGTCCAATTATTAAGTCGAAGACAGAATCGACTGGCTTTATTGCGCATCCCGTTGACAGCATTCAAAACCATCTCATCGACAGAAAATTCACAGTGCAACTCTGCTTTCAAAATTAGCATTATTTTAGAAGAATTATCAGACACATGGATAAACGTACGTTCATTCGGTATTTCTTTTATTTTGCTCCTTATTTCCATAATTTAAATTGATTTAATTTTTTTTTGTAATTAACGATTATTTTCACATAACCCCATCAAACCTTTTATATCTCTGTCTTTTATTGAACCGTAGTAGGTGATAATGAACAGGTAGTCTTTAACAGCAGTAGATTTTTAATTAAATCAAGAGTGTCAACTGTCTTGTCATCGATTTTGTTTTTAAATAAGAATTAACTGACATCTTGGAATTGATGGTTCGAGGCTCGAAATAAAGTCTAGTTCAAAGCAAATCGTCATTGGTTCTACAGTCTTGGACAAAATCTTTGGAACTCACTTCGAAAATCGATACCGGTTAAGATTTTTTACGTTTTCTTTCAAATTTTCACCCCCTCTCCCCTTCAGCAATGTTGCGTATGGAAAACACATTGATTTACAACTTGCAACATTGTACTGGGGGTGAGGGGGCGGCGGTATCAGGTAAATTTGTGAAAGTAGCTGGAATTCCAATATATTTTGTCCAGGGTTCTAGAAGCCACCCAGCTCCAGCCAAGGAGATAGTAATTCTGATCAGGCATTTGAAAAACGAGTTTCTGTCTCTGTGGAGGAGTTTACAGTTATAAGAATGAAAACTTTATATTCCTACTTTACTTAATAACAACTTCATCATTGTAATTATTTGTTTATCAAATCAGCTGTCCGATATCATCTACTTCCTACCTTCCTCTAACACAACAACAACTAAACTTATTTGGTCGTCAGAGAGGTTGGGTCACCGACATCTTTATTTGGTTACTGTTGCTAACGAGGCACCCTTTAGTGGTTCCTATGGCAACGATTGCAATAGTCTCCAAGGCAACGGAAACAATCTGCATATCTGTGACGTGCTGAGTAATGCTGAGTTGACTGAAGGATCATGGGCAGTTTCACCAAATAAGGTAAATTGCTAATTCATTTTATAGGCCAGTCGACATCTTCATCGCGCGAGAATCGCTCAGCGTTTATGGTTGCGAACTACGGATCCAACCTGGGTCTGTAGCTCGAGTCTCTGCCACGACCAGACTTTCACCCAGAGTGAGAAAAGTCATTAGGTCTATGCAATTCCTGGCGTAGGAATCACGAGGTGTGGTCACATCGAGAGGAAGGACCAGGACACTGCTGGATAGGTTTAGCTTCTCAGTGTCCTAAAAACTACCTTAGGATGCAATGAAAAGTGCAAAGTAGCATCTTAAAGATTCATTGCTAACAATGGGCCTTTGCGAGCGTGGCGATGGTCCAAACAATGGCAGTAATTGATTTCAGACTGTCTAAAAATGCATTATGGGATGCTTACGTAGCGCAATGGCTCATTGTTAGCAGTGAGTCTTTAAAAACATAACCAACATGCTTGAAACACAAATGATCCACAAGCCAATGTTGCTTAATGATCGCACAGAGTAGCAACTTAGAACCGCCCTGTTCTACTCACAAACACCTGCACAGCTTTGTCTATACGGCATCAAGCACTCTTGAACAGTCCTGTTAACACTGATCTAGATTAGCCAGTATGCTTTGTACATAAACAGTGCAAAAACCACCATACTGATTCTTTGATGATCGCATTAAGGATGGAACTCACAGTTGTAACTCAGATTCGTCCCGTTCTACACATAATAGCGTACACTTTTTGACTAGAATTATTCACCCGTGTTTTGTGGATTTCGATCCACAACTGGGTATTTATTTTTCATCGTGTTCTTTCGGATCCCTATTCTGACGTTTTATGTTCTGAGGAGTGTCAGACGTAAAAGCTTTCAGTAGTATGTTGTGAGATGTTTGCTTTTTTCAAAACCATTTTTGAGTTCTGTACCGCCAAAGAATTGTTCACATTTCTTGTGTTGTTAATTGATCTATTTAACAAATTTTGTAAAATTATACTGTGATTTTTGTTTCCAGATCTGGGTTGATGAAAAAAGACAGTTGATTTTCTTTGTTGGAAGAAAAGATACTCCGCTTGAAGAACATTTGTGAGTTGTCATTTGTTGTTTAAAAAGAGCTGATCATTTTCCAAACTTTGATACCTTCAGGCACATTTAATATGCTGGAAACTACTAACTTATATTTCTTTCAAATGTACAAAGTAGTTTTTAAATTTCATTAAACGTCGAATTTGTGCTAGATATTTTGGTTAGTCGCAAATCGAATGTGAATTATTAGTAATTGTCTTCTTGCACATTGTGGGATATCTTATTCCTGTGCATTGTGGGTAATCTTTTTCCTAGACATTATGGGAGATGTTGTTCTTTTGCATTGTGGGAATCTTTTTCCCGTGCATCATGGGAGATGTTGTTCTTGTGCATTGTGGGAAACTTTTTCCTATGTATTGCGGGTAATATTTTTTCCTATGCATATTTGGTGATCTCGTTATTGTGCATTCTGGGTAATTTTATTCCTATGCATTATGGGTAATCTTTGCCCTATGCATTGTGGGTAATGTTTCTTATTTTCCTAGGTACGTGGTGTCCTACCGATTTGGCTCCGAAGTAAAGAGATTAACCCAAAGAGGCTTTTATCATATTAGCCAAGTTGATGAGGTAAATGTCACAAAAAATCCTAATAAGTTTGTCTCCGGAATTTTATTTTCGTTTCCTTTTTCATGTTGAAAAATCTTTACCATATTGAAAGTTTGTACTTACGATAGAGTGAAAACTATTGAAATTATGTGATTTATTCATGATTTTGATTTTGGACCTTATAATCTAAAAGAAATCGACGAAATACCTTGAATATGCAAAATCAGTTGAACGTATTGACTTAAAAAACTGTCTATTAAAATTTGGGGTTTATTTAAAAAATTATGTTGTTTTCTGTTGCTTCATGAATTGTAGGACGAAGACAAATTATAGTGAGTTTGTAAGAAAGATGTCTTAATTGAATTTAATGAATATGTTGCCACAAGTTTCATTGAATTTTTCTCCATTTTTGAATATGTTCAACTGTTTTGTGACATAAACGGCTCTTTTACAGCGCTCTTTCAGAACATATGGATTTATATTCGAAATAAGAAAATTCAAAATTTATGTAGTTATTACGTCATCATTGCACCATTCTGTTATCAACACATTCGTTTGAATCATGTAATAATCATTAATTATCATATAATTATCATACATTTATCATATAATTATCATATTTTACACAGAGCTGTCGCTGGGTTGTCACTGTTGCGTCATCAGTCAGCCACCCTTGTCAGGTCCAGGTGTCAAAAATTTCAAGTTTCCAAGGAAACCACGTCATTTCGAATCCTGAAAGGAATTTAAATGTTCAGTTGAATTCACTAGGATGGCTGGAGACACCGAGAGGTTTGTGATCGAGGTTTTTTACCAGAGGTTTTACGTCTAACTGAACCAATGATATCGAATTTGATTACAAAAATTCTGAAGCTAAATGAATAAAGAATCTAAAAACTATTATGATAAAATGAAGCGAGCACAGTATGCCGTTGATTTATTGATTCTTGATAAACACGTAAACTCCATATGGTTAAATAGATTTTTACTGTTTTTTATAGAATTAAAGTTCGATATATCCCCGGAATTCTTCTCGTATCGAAACAAAAAAGGTGAGGACTCTGCGCTTTCTTACTTTGTTATAAACCCATTTTAGCGTGCCCAAACTGACTCGCAGCACATCTTTTATCTTGGAAGTAATTTGCGGACAAGGGAATTCACATCTAATTTTTTTGGCTATTTGATCAAATAATTTTTAATGGCGTCATCAGATCTTCAACCTGCAGATTAACAGGAAAGCAAATCCTAGTGTTGCTTTTCTTACTGTATATGGTGCTTCTTAATTGCCACGCTGCTTAGGAAGTTGCTAGTTGGCGTAATTCATTATAATTCATTGTCATTTAAAGAGAGGTCAGCTCACTTCATCTGAGACATTGCTCGTTGGCATAATTTATGATGATTTATTATAATTTTTACATAAAACTGTGATTACCTAACTTTATCCGTTGATTTTGGATGTTGCTTTTTGGCATATTTTGTGGTAATTAGCCCAAATTTTTGTAGGACATACAGTGTATGGTCTCATATTAAAACGGAAAAACCTCGATCTCAATACAAAACATCCAACTGTTCTCATTGTTTATGGGGGCCCTGGAGAGCAGGTAGGTACTTTTGAAATTGAATTGAATTCAAAGTTATTCACAAATTGCATCGCATAGATCGACAATTACTTTTGTCGACGTGAAAATTAGGCATCGAATTTTCCTGCCTTTTGTCAATATGATATCTTCTGTTCATTCCAAGTTGTTAGTCGAATTCAACATTAATTAGGTCACAGACTTTGCAATGGAAGCGTTCCTGTCTCGTCACGTGATGCATAATTACTGACCTCATTACAAAAAAATGGTCACATTACGTGGCTGATCAATACTTTATCATTTTTGTTGATTCGAAGCAGGGCGAACTTTTATAAGGAACTTTGGAAGTAAGCAAAGATCTCGCTCAATTGTTACTGAACAGACTGCCTACAGGGCAGAACAAATTCTAAGAGTAGAAAATAAGGCTGTACGTGTAGCTATTTGTGAGAGGATTTTTTAAAGTTGTTTTTTGAGCTCAATGAAGGTACGAAGTTACCTACAAAAAACTGCCGTATAGCAAACGGGATTTCATCTAATCATTGCTTCAAAACATCAGTGTCCTAGAACAGAAGACCTTTCTGAAAAAGTCTTTTTCTTTCTTACTTAACCTATCTTTCCCTGAGTTATCGGGAGTTTTTCCGTGGAATTCTCTTCGTCCTACTCTGTATCGTAACTGATCTGTGACATTGGCAATGTCAAGCAAATCCTTGAAACCCATTGTTGCTCTTTCTAAGCAGATGCGCGTTTGGTGATGTTTTTTGCCGTCAAGAACTTTTAATTGTTTCTATTGACTTCCCGATTCCTGCACGCATGATGCGTTGGCGTACGTGCGAAGTTTTCGGTTTGCTTCAATTAGATTCAAACGATGTTAGTGTTTTTTTTGATAAATATTTAATAATAGGTGCTTTTGTTTATCTTTTAATTAACCAAAATATAATTGACATGCTGTGTGCAGCTATTTTCCTATTAAACATGTTTTGAATGCTTTTAAATCGGATCTGATCGATTTAGGCCAGGTGTATTTTCAATAAATGTGACGTCATATTCGATTGTTGATTCGAAAATCGAATTTTAACCTGTCTATGCTTCAATTGAAAACACATTCATTTTTTTAGTCACTTCCAAATCTATTTTTTAAATAAGCGCCCCCATAAATAAGCGCCCACCCTGGAGCCTCAAAAATTAAATAAGCGCCCGGGCGCTTATTCGAGGCATTACGGTACAGTCCTGTGTTATTTTTCTTTAGGTTTTCAGATCTTCTAATCTATTGTGTTGGTTTCTTATGTAGATCGTCACGAATTCCCAGAAGGCCCTGCGTCGTACAGGTCTCCATTCTCTAACCTCGCTTGGATATGTCATTGTTATGATCGACACAATGGGTTCGTTTAGCAGAGGTGTTGCATTCGAGGCTGTGTTAAAAGATAAAATGGTAGCTACTTGTTTTATGAATTGTTTTGATTTTAGCGAAATTCAAGGAAAAGTATGGGAGATGAGGATTTATGTTTCTGGCTCTTGGGGATTCGTAACATGAAGTGAAAATTTCTAGTTTTATTCTGTATAAATTAAGGTTCTATTTATTATTGAAACAGAAAATGATACCTTTTTTTATTATTATATTTTCGTTATTATTATTATTATTATTATTATATTTTCTTTTGTTAAATAACTTAGATAACTTATTTGGTTTGTTCCTTGTCCCTTTGTTGGCTTGAGTGACAAGCTGGTTAAATATATTGTAAGTGCCATTCATAGAGGTGACTCGATGACCTTGTGTCTTTTCCCTCTATGAATGGCATCATATGAAGTAGCTGTTGCCTAGCCTTAATGTTTTAATTGCTTAAATAAAAAAATAAAAAATACCTTTGTTCTTTAAATGCAAATCACCAGAACTGCCGAGAAGATGGCTGCCTAGGCCGTTAAGAGCAAGCCATCAGATTTATACCGGGGGTAATTGTTAAGACATAAACAAGATAAGGAGTTATTTAAAGCTTTCACTTACCCCAGAGGTTTTTACCCCCTGCTTCCCCCGTCTTTGACAACGTTGGTGACAGCCCGGTGTATCCAGATATAGGTATCTTTTGAGGTTTCTAGAATTTTCGGGAAATTCATTTGTTTTATTAGCATCTCAATTTTTTAGAATGCTTTAAGTATTTTTACATGTTTAATTTCTGGGCCTGCTTTGCCCAAGGTACTGCAACCTGTGATCTCCCTGTTTCTAGCCAATTTACTAAATTATTACAATTTTGTAGGGGACTGTGGAAATAGAAGAACAGGTGGAAGGCCTCGAATTTGCAGCACAGAATTTTCCTTTTATTGATCTGAACAGGGTTGCCGTACATGGATGGTCATACGGTAAGTGACCTTTGGCTTTCAGGTCAAAGGTTAATTATCTGTGTGTCAGAGTTCAAAGAACTGTGAGAGCAAAGAGCAAGAAGTTAGTCAATTTCTTTGCCCTAATGTGTCTGCTTGAGTACCTTAAAACTGATGTTCAGAAATTTCTGTTTGTTGGCGAATGAACAGGAGCCAAGGATTTTTTTATTTAAGTGAAGGGTTAAAAGGTTGTTGGTTAAAAAGCTAAATGGTTTCCCATTTTTTTCATTTTCTGTTTCGTATATAATTCGATTTTCTTTCCCCATTCCAGTACTTTTGTTCACCTCATTTTTCTTGATAATTCTAAAATACCAAGTTCTTCCCTTCCTGTAGTCCCTTTTCAATTCATGTTACCATTCTTTAAAGTTTGTTGTTCTTTTTACCTAAATGTGCCATCTCTTTCTCTTTTTCATCATTCTAATTTACTACCTTTATAGGTTATAGTTTATAGGAGATAGTTTATAGGTCACAGGTTATAGGTCGCAGGTTATAGGCTTATTTGCTCGCCATATGCCCCCTTCAATAAAGATCCAAGAAGGATTTTATTTAGCTTTTGTCTCCTTTTAAAATTTATTTGGTCATCACATTTTATAACTTCAACCTTTCCTTAGTTTTTATAAACGCTCTTAGGTTATTGTCTCCTAGTCTTATGTTTGTGCAATGACTATTCACTCTCTCTTAATTGCGAATTTTTTATCAATTCTCAAATTTATATCGTCTTTTTATGCTTGTAGGAGGCTATTTATCACTAATGGGCCTAGCCCAGCGGCCGGATATATTCAAGGTGACGCTTTTTTAGATTTTTAATACCTTTTTGTTAACTTTTATTAATTTAGCACCTAGTTCAGTTTTCATTAAAGTTTGTGCGTATCTGAAACAAAGACAGGAAGAGGGAAAGTTACCATCAGTACTGGATTTTCTTCACAACACCGTGGAGTACTTCAAAACAATCTTCAAAATTTGTGTTCCTGACTTTTCACGAGGCTTGGTGATCCTCATCACCTCATAGCATATATTGATTCTGATTGGCCTAAATCAAACATTGTGATCTGATTATAGGCTGACTTGTAATGTATCAGCCAATCAGATTCGCTGCCAGTATACACGTGTAAAAACTCGTGATTTCTAATGTTCCCATAAATGGTAATTTTCAGCGCCCTGAACTTTACAGAATCTATAAAGAATTTAAGAAACTGGAATAACAACTATTCTTTTGCGTGAAGTATCCTGTTCGAAGTTGATTTAATTTTTTTTTATTTACATTTTCTTTCAGGTAGCCATAGCTGGTGCCCCAGTTGTATCATGGGAACTTTATGACACAGGGTACACAGAGAGGTATATGGGCCTCCCTCAGAATAATCCTGAAGGTTACAAACGAGGCTCTGTATTGAGTTACGTCAGGCAATTCCCAAAGGAGTAAGTTATGTTTGAATCTCAAGATATTCTCAGAGTTTCTGAGATGGTGCCTAAGAATTTGAATCCAAGAGAGAATTTGAACACAAGTTTTCAAGACTCATAAATGAGATGTTGATGTTTGTTAGCACCATGAAGATGTAGTACTGAGGGCAGTGGCGGACTCCTGGGGGGGCGAGGGGTGGGGGTCATCCCCAATACTTTAGAGGACAATGTTATTTTCTCCAAAAACAATGGGGAAATGTGACCTCATCTTATTAAAACAACGAGCTTGCCCCCCTAATTTTTGACCAAGTGTCCCCCCTGATTAAGGCGGATGAACGGTGCATCAGTTAGCCGGGTGAAAAACGTGAACTGGTTCTATCTGAAAATTTGCAATGCATATCACGTCATTGGAAGATCGTTGGCCGTACTTCAGACCGCCGAACCTTCATGTTTTAAGCTATTGGTTTTTTGTAACAATCTGGATTCCTGTCTAGTCCCTTGCTCATTGCATTGAGAAGTAGATGGCCTAACTCATCAATGTCTTTGTTCGATTACCTGTCACGTGATTAAGCCTTTATGGCACGTGAATAGCAATTAACAATCTGTATTTTTCTAGGAGCAACCGACTGTTAATTGTCCACGGCTTAATTGACGAGAATGTCCATTTCAGTCACACGAATTTATTAATAAGCAGCTTGGTTCAGGAAGGAAAACCTTATCAATTACAGGTAACACTCTTTGTAACTCTTAAATACCACAGTATACCACGGTAAATACTACAGTAAAGGAAGGTATACTGCAATTAAACAGCATTGTGGTATTGGCTGTATTTATCAGCATTATTCGAAATTATTCAACAGTGTTTTGCAATACTATGCTGTGGAAGTAACACAAGTGACGTTAATCTAATACAAATGTTAACCTCAAATAGTAAATACAGCGAAACAACACATACCTTGGTAGTAACTACGTTTTACCATCACTTACCACTGTAAACTTGCTAATTTTGGTTCTTGTTCTCATTTCCAGATCTTCCCGAATGAGAGACATGGCATTAGACACTCATCTTCGGCGCTTCATTTTGAAACTATGCTTCTTTTGTTTTTGCAAAATAATCTTTAAATCAGTCTCATATTAAACTCATTTGTGGCGCACATAGTGAATCCGGATAGGCAACATTGCTAGATGTTATATTACTAGGAGAGTGTTCCCTGGCCCAAGGCGATCAATGATTCGTTAATGCAGTCAAAAAGATCCTCGAGGTATATAACACGAGCCTAAGTGAATTGTCCTATCCGGATTCCTTAGTTTCGCCCTTATTCGATTCTCGTATTACTGTATTGCCACCGTTACGTAAACGCCATGACGTAATAAACATGATATAAGAGCCATGACGTAAGAGTCATGACGTAAGAGCCATGACGTAGGAGCCATGACGTAAGAGCCGCGAAGTGTGAATCGACTACGCCTGTTTGCTCTGGTAATATTCTAAAGTGTTGACGTCACAAGAATATTGTTTTGAAATTTGCAAAGTTTGATCCCATAACCTGAAAGAGCATCATGAAATACCCCTAAATATGCCAAAATAGTTGCATTTGTCACAGATTTGACGAGATATGGCCACATAAACTTTTGCTCTTTCCCCACCCAATCATTGTAATTTGGTATCTATAAATCTATGTAATTTCATCTTTATGATAACTTTATGAACCAATCAAAAATTATCCATTACTAAACTCCAAATCTCTAATTGTCGGCAAATCTTCCAATTTTTGAAGTTTTACCTGATTTTGCATATTAAACAGTAATTCACTGTTTAATTATTTTAAAAAATTTTTCCTGGTACAATTTACCTACATTGATCGTTATTTTAGTAATTCACTGTGTTCTTTAAAGATTTATTTCCGTGACGACACACTTTGGAACTCCTGCAATTAATACCCAACTTAAAACAGAAAATATCTTAAGGAATATTTTTCCAAGTTAAATGTAATAAAATCGACAACCTGTTTAAAATTGCTCTTTAAAATTACAAATGGGCTTTCTCGATAAATTCAAAGAGGCACATTTCTATAAATTTTGCATATTTTTGAATGATATGCCTCCCCGATTGTAACTTTCCATCCACAATGTTAAATTTTCGTTCGATAATTTTTGAATTTTAGAATTCATTCGTACAGATTTTTAGTTCAATTTTGTATTTCCTAAAGTTCTCAATATGCAAATATACAGCTGATTTTTTGTTTCTCTGTCTGTTAAACATCAAACACTACTTGCGTCTGTTCAAGAAAAGGATTGCTTGGTAGGAGAACGAAAAAGGATGTTTAAAGGGAGAGGGCAGTAGTGATAAAGTAAGAACGAGATGTACTCTAGAAAAGATATCTTAGAAAACGAAGGCAAAAGTAAATTTTTGTCACTTTTCCCATTAGCAAGGAGTCTGGCCCTCTGAACTTAAGTTGAATGGAATTGTCACGATACAGGGTTCCCTTACAGACAATGCAAAATTACACGGATTACACGACACAGCATTACGAAATTAACATTTCAAGGTTCTGCTAAGGGTATATAAAATGTTGTTTCATAAGGTTTAGCCATGTCCAAACTTTTGTCGTACTGCCAGAGGCTCTGTCGCTAGTTTTGTTGTGCCTCCTGAACCCGTGCTGTTATTTGTCGAACTTGTTATTTTCAGTCGTTTGTCGAATCAGTGCCGTAAAAAGAAGAATTTTGATTTTAAGTTGGTAACACACGTTGGGAAAACCCTTTTTTAAGTGGTTTTACAGTGCCATGAATCAACCCAATCAAATATATCACATGGAAATTGAACATCTTACATTTCTAGAATGTCAAACCCTTTTTACCGGACAATGCATTTTGGGGGGTAATAAACGGAATTTGTATGTAATTTTTTCTGTAAAAATAGTTGATATATTCGGAAAATATAAAATCGCGCTGGTAGATCATCCTCAAGTTGCTTTTATTGGGGGTTTATTCTAAAGGGACTCAATAAAAAAGGGGAAAAGTTTCATACAAGTTTTGTGAAAAAAATGCTGAATTTTGAAAACTGAGAACAAAATGGGGGTTTTTCTATTTCAAGATTCCTGTAATTCATTTGTATGTGAATGTATTACGAGGTAGGAGATAAACCCTACTGTACATCATGTTTTGAGTTTTAGAAACTCACTACAATCGGAAAGATTGTGACTGGAAAAATGTAGCAAATATGAAACACTGCAATACGCCGAGAATAAACAACAATAAATACACGTAAATCTTGGAGCCCGTCGAGCAGCCTACAGTTTTTTTCATTCACATATGATTGGAAATTCATTGTAATTTCTCATCTGCAAGCTTTTTTTTCTCTCTCACCCCCCTCACCCCCCCCGAACGCACCCCCTATAATTCGGAAACGTCACGTGCTCCCGGTACCGGCTACACGCTTTGACACCCTGTGTGAGTCGGCCCAGGCCTACAATAGAACGCACCAAATGTGTTATTGTTGTTGGTGCGAAAAAGATGAAATTAGAAAAATTGATGGAAAACGTGTGCGGTCGAGAAAAATCGTCACCGAATAGATTTTCCTGTTTATTCAGCGTTGATGGGGTTCCGACAACGAGCTTTGCAAGTGCTATTTTCCTTTGAAAAATTAACAGCGTCGTTCGTGAGGCAGAATCTATTTTAGGCCCATTGCATGGAGTGGTTGCCGAAATATTCATCGCTGGATATTTTCTGTTCGAAGGCTGTTGGAAATTTCGGAGGGAATTTAAAGCCACTAGTTAGATGAGGTGGGTTGACAGGAAATGGATCTAATGAAGTTTCTTTACGAGGAACTTTTGCGATTGCTGTAGAAATAGAGAGATAAAAAAGCTGCTGAGAATACTTTTAAGTTTGAAATCATGGATGGCCTATCACTTGGTCTAAAGAAGCTTATTTTTTCAAAGAAAGACTCGCCATCAACACCCAGCAGTCGATCTGGAAGGGAGAGGAAAAGAGCTTTTTTGTCAAACAGTAGAAGAGGACAGAGAGATCCAAGCCCATTCGAAGAGGTGAGAGGAAATTGCTTCAACTTGGAAAATAAAGAAAGTGAAGGAAAGGAAATACAGGATTTTGTTTCTGCCAAGGAAGAAATAAGATACGATGATGAAGACTTCGAGTACAGGGAAAGGGATGCCTCTGGATTTGAGGAAATCGATTGGCCAGATTTGGAACCAGAAAGCCTGTCTGTTGAACAGACCGATGAAGAGAGGAATTCTGTTAGTCCTAATGAAGAGTCAAACCTAGCAGTGCAAGATGATAGTAAAAGCCCCGAAACTGTAATCAGTGGCTCTGTAGATGGAGTATTAAGTAGAGGAGAAAATGTAGGAAAGAACCTTGATTCAAATTTGTCAGACAAACATGATCTTGAAACTGCAGAATCTGATGATATTGTTAGTGAAAATGGTTATTTTGAAAGGAAAAGAACATTGTTAAGACCAGAGGGAAGTGCTGTTCTGTCTTTGTCCGATTCATTACAAGATGAGTTGGATGATCTTGAAGTGAGAGCAGAAAGACACAAGCCGTTGACAAAAGAGCAGTTTCTAAGTTTCTTGGATTCTGATGGGAGAGTTGTTGATGAAACGAAGCTGAGAAGAATCATTTTTAAAGGTGAATTTATTTTAAATGTAATATGACATATGATGTAGATATAAAGATGATGGTGATTGAAGGAGGGTTTGGGTTAGTGAATCTGTGACACAGAAGGTGGGACGGCAAAACCAGGGGTACCAGAGGGATGAATTCAAACGTTTGGGAATTGCCCTTTTTTCTTAAAGTTCCCTGTTTCTTGCAAAATGTCCTTTTTCTGATTTATATAGTACCTTTCTGGCATGTGCCCCCTACTTTGAAAAGCTTCTGATGTCCCTGGTTGAAGGATATAACCTAGTAGGTGTCATACATCTGAAAGCACTTGATAGCTCTTGTAACAGCTGCTAAGGGTCAAATATCTATCTACTGTGTCTAAGTAACTGTTATTTATGTATTTTGTTAGTTAATTTTAATAAGGAATGAGTAAATATTTATTACAAATTTATATTTTTTGCTGTTTGCTTACATGTAACGAAGTATGATAAACACCTGGCTCCCACCTGCTTTTAGACTGACTGTGAGAAATCTCATTATAGCTAGATATGTTTAATAATTAATATTTATATCCAGTGAGTTTCGTGTTCGGTTAATGCATCTATCTTATGCTTGGTTTTCACTATGAAGTTATGTGAGATTTTTGTTCAAAAAGGCAACCATTTATGTGCAAATCCTTTCCAGATGCTATCCTTGTGGGTTTCATTGCAAATGTGCTTGGCAATCAACTTGTTAAACCCCCTTTTTACTCTGGCAAGTGTGAGTCTGTTGTTGCTGTATAAAGGGAACCACCTCATCATGTTAACAAACCCAAGCCCCAAGACTGCCAATCACCCACACTCCCCCTGCTCAAGGTGCAACTGAAAATTTGTTTTTTATCAGTGGGTTTCACAGCCTTTGACATATAGCTTTGTTCAACACAAATCTGTATTTCAACATGGCTAGCAACATTTTTTGTGACAAGGGCCCAGATAGTGGGCTTGAACCCTCCCCCCTACCCTCACAAATCTTTAAAGATACACTAATTCCCGTAAGGTTAATATGAAAACCTCTTAGCCTTATAAAATGGTTAAAATTAAAGCCCCCTCCCCTACATTTTAAAACCTATGCAGGCACTTTCCATTTACAAACAGTGTTTAAATATCACACTTTATTGTATAGAGGAGGACATTTTGAAGTTGCCTCTTCTGTGTGTTTGGGTGGATAGCACTATTTGACATACCTTTAACAAGGTATTTTTTCTGTTTAAATAATTGTACAATCTTTATTTTTTCTTTTAGGGGGTGTTGAGGAAGAAATTAGAGAGGATGTGTGGCAATTCTTATTTGAATTGTACCCATGCAACTCAACAAAAAGGTTTGTAATTGAAAGTTTGGCCAAAGGAGAATCTTATTTTGTCTCAACTTCTCAAATGCTGGTTGCACACAGGCCCACTAGCAGGGGGCAAGGGTGTGAATTACCCCCAGGCCCTAAGTTGAGAATAGCCCCAAAAGGTTATTAGCAAAGTTCCCAACAATAACAATCACAGTGTTAATGATGCCCCCAAGCACCCCATATTTTACCCCAGAAAGGTTATCAGTAGGCCTGGTTGCACTGATGACATAATTGCTACAATTTTGGTGGTGCCACTAATTGTGTTTAAAGTTTTCAAAGATATGTTCGGTAGAAGCAACTTCTAAACAAGGAACATTTCCCCTTTATGGAAAGCAAATCTTTTCTAAGGTACAAAGCACCCCCACTGTTGATTGGGAGCAAGGGTGCAAGCACCTAGGGGACCAACACCATAAAAGAGGCCAGTATTACAGTTTAAGGGTTGTGTTCCTTTTCTTTGAACAAAAGTTACATGCAAGGCAAAGAATTAATATCCTAATACTAGTATGTTTTAAGTTTGTGCTCAGTACCACAGTTATGCTCATTGTCTAATTTCCAAGCGAGATTCGAAGGGTTCTTTGTGAGTAAACAGGTAATAATTATAAAGTCTTAGAGGCACTTTAGGCCTCTAATCTAATTTAGGCCCTGTGATTTAAAGATATGTTTTGTGATGTACATTTCTTGTGACATTCTTCTCAATACTTTATAGAGAAAGAGAAGTAATGAACACAGAGCATTCCATCCGATACAAAGCCTTGAAAGCAAGATGGCGGCCATTGCTGAAGCAGATTTCATCTGACCCTAAATCAGGTGTTCGTTATTGTCCGGAATGGTTGCACAAACGGAAAATATCGGTTGTTTTAGAAACAAACATGAAAGCAAGTAAAGAAGCTGTTGAAAATGCAACTCTGAATATGGCTGACAAAAGCAGGGGTTTATTGGCAGATACGAAGTCACCAGGTAGGCAGGAGCATGATTTAGGCCAAGAGATAAGGAGGCTGAACAGTGCTTAGCGGCATGCTCAGGTGTGGCGAAAGTGTCACGTGGTACCCATGATCCATTGCGGGAAGGGGATGCTTCCTTTAAAATGGCTGATGATGCCGATATTCACCCAATCGCTGATATTCACGGCAGCACGGTTGATGATGTAAGAGATGCAATAACAGAGGCCATGATGGAAGAGCCTCGTATTACTGGAATTAGAAGTGATGTTGATCAAGTAAAAGAAAGAAGGAAAAGGGTTGAGAAAGATTTCCATACGAATTTCAAAATCACCTGTCCAATTTGCACACAAGATGTTTCACGTAAATGCTTTTGTATGAAAAGTGAAAGGCAGTTCCTAGAACTCGATACTGACTTCCAAGAATTGGATGCTAATTTCCAAGAAATTAGTGACATTGACGATACCAAAAAGGACAGTTTGCTAGATAAAAAGATAAATTTAAACGGCGAATGCAGTTATTTAATTGACGACAACAGAAATGTGAATGATAAAGTGGGAGAAGTAAAGGAACTGGGAGCAGTTTTGCAAGATGTGGTATTAGAAGATAGGGATTTGAACCCGGAAGTTGATGAAGATTACAGGGGGACAAGTTCATTGGGAGAGCAGATTCCACCGCTATTGAGCTCCAGTTCGGACTTACCTAATGAAAATTTTGTTGTAAGCACCACATGCAAACAGGCTGGGTTAAAATCTGACAATTTTCCTGAGGGGAACAAAGATATCTTACTTGATGTTGAAGGCGGAAATACTCTAGTGGGGAAATTCCAGGAACTGGAGCACGGAACGGATTTGTTCTTGGAAAAAGAAGCAAAATACGAATTTTCACTTGAAACGTTGCTTTTAAGTCAAGACACTTCTCTTTGTAAGTTCAGTGAACAAACTGATCAATCCCAGATGTCTGTTCATGGTACCGAGTTTCCATCATTCTTGGAAGAGTCGAAAAAAGAGACATTTTACCAGGAAATAGAAGAAGCGGAAGCATCAGACACGGAAGAAGAACTTATGGCACTGCAAAGGGATGTAAATTTGTCAAGCCAGGATGATACAGTTTATTCGGGGCTGATTAGTTTTGATAGGGGATTGGAAGCATCTGATTGGCTAGAAGATGATGGACGTGAGAATGAAATATCAATCAAAGGTAAGAGTGATTTAATTATGGAAAATGATATCGAGATGTTTTCAAAAGGAAAGAAAATCAGTTATGATAAAGAAGTCTGCAGAGATGAGGAGCGCGAGTTTCAAGATGGTAGTAATGAAGTTAGGACTGGATTGACGGAAGAAGAAATCAAAGAAAAATCGAATATTCCGAGCTTGATTTCGCAAACAGATTTTGATAAATCCGGTGCTGTATGTGATTCTAATGGGCCTAGGACAACAAAAGGGGATGACCCTATTTTAACGACTCTGGCATCCTATGACACTGAAAACACTGAAATGGTAGATGGACCCCAAACAGGCGACTTAATCGATTTCTCGCCAATCAAACCAACCTCTTTTAACTTGACAGACGGTAGAACGGATGGACAGATGCCTAAATGGCTTGAACAACAGTTACAGGCCAGCAGCCCGGCCGGAACGAAAACAAAGCGGACAATTAACATCCATGAAGCCGGACTATCGCATATCGAAGATATGAACTCTGTTATGTCTGTGAAAGAAATATCAGAAAAAGCCAGTTTGGTTGTGAAGAAAAAACTGATCGAACAAGCAAAACAGCCGCTGAGGTCATCAACTCCTGTGCAGGAGCTTGAGGAAAATGATAATTATGTTAATGTTGATAATTTATGCCAAGAAACTGACGATTCTCCACCTGGGGATGAAGACAGCCAAAACATTGGAGCCACGGAAGAGGCTGTTGTGACTTCACCAAGTGAAGAACCGAAACGAGGCTTTAAGCTTCCGAGTTTTGCACGTAGCACGTCAGTTGGCGATCAAGAATTTGTCGACCCGGAGACCGGGGAATGCCAGGAAGACGATGACGTCATCAAGCCAAGTTCGCTAATTCAGAGTGCTTCACTTTCCAATTTGCATCTACACGGTCTAAGCTCTCACGACAGTCCTAGAAAAGCGTATTCCGCAGTCGACTTAATAGACAATTCACGTTTAAATACTGGAGAGTACAGTGCTTTTAATCTACTAAAGAATCTAGATGAAAGCATATCAAAATCGGACTCAAATGTGTATAACACGGACTGTCGGAATAGATCATCACCGATTCCAGAACTTGAAAAACATGATGAAAGAAGGTGTGCTTATTGTGGAAGCCATTTTGAGAACGACAAAGAAAGTCTGAGTGATGATTTCAAGAAATATGTCGAAATTCAGGCGAAGGTACTTATTTTACCTTGAGGCTATTTTATCAGAACCTCTCCTACCAATTTTGAGCTTCTTTTCAGGGATGATATTTAGCGGGATCTGGTCGTATCTGAGGATGTTTTTGGTCTTAAAACAAACGTCCATAGATTCCTGTAATATTACCTAATTTGCAATTTGTGTAAATCGCAGGTCTCTTGCTCTTTTAAAATGGTCTTGATAGTTACTTTTAGCGGGTGGGGGTTCATTTTGGCGGTTGGGGGTCCATTTTGGGAGTTCCAACTTAAGGGGATTTTCTTTGAGTAAATATACCTTGTGAGAAAATGCTCTTTTAGAGATAGTTCCCATGTAGAACTATGTCACTTAGAGAATCCTTCTTTTGTGGAGCCTTTCGTTTGTAGAATTTTTTCTTCAAACGCCCAGTCGTTCAGGGAATCCCTGATTTTGGTCATTCCGCTTGTTGGTCATTCCTCGAGGGAATCCCATTTCAAGAATCCCCTACAAGGACACTTTTAAGTAGAATTTCGTCTGCGTATCAAGATCAACAGTTAAGTTTGTTTGTTTCTTTGAATGTGTTTTCTAAAAATTTCCTTTTTCATTTAGGTTCACGCGGCAAGACAAATCTACGATCTTGATGTCGTAACACAGGGACTCCGGATCATTGACAAAGATGTACCGCGTACGGATCGAGACCTTGCTTACTTCAGGTAACCGGTCTTTATGGTCGGAATCTATGAAGCGTCCAACAGGAAGTGTGTGTTCCGGAATTATACCCATCGAAATGAAGCGTCCAATAGGAATTGTGTGTTCCGGAATTATACCCATCGAAATGGGGGACAAGAAGCCAATTCAAAACAAAACAGCTTTTGGAAGCATCTAATTTTCGGAACCATTCGAGTTGCTAAACTATCTTTTGGAATGTAACTTGTTTTTTTAACCATCTTTTTGCGACTCAAATTACCACAGTCCAACCCTTAGATGTATTTAAAAAGATTATCTACTTTTTTGCAGAGGAAATGAGAACCCAAATCTTCTAAAGCTGAGGGATGCTCTCATTACATATGCTTTCTTTCATCCAGGTATGTTTAAGTTACCATGTACTTAACTGAGTTTACCATCCATTTACTTGGTTTTACTGTGGTTTACTGTGGTTTACTGGGCTTTTACTGTGGTTTAACTATGGTTTTACTGTGGTTTACAATCGTTTTTCATAGTTAATAGTTGTTATACTTGTATTCCACAGTAATATAATAGTTCTACGTGCTGAAAGCTGGAAATGTTGTCATATTTGGCTGCTTCATACTCTAAGATCCTTAATAGAAGGGGGGTCTTGATAGTTGGGGGGGGGGGGGGTCAGAAATTATAACTCGCTTTTATGAAACCTTTTTCAGTTCCCTCTGTCTGTCTGTTAAGGAGTAAACTTCATTTACTGGGGTTTTTTCAAGTTACTCCTTGTCACATTCATGAACTGATGTTTACCTCAATGAATCTTTTTTTCATAAGGTTTTCTCATTTCATGATATCACTCTTTCTCTTTTGTTTCCTCCTTCTGAATAATGACATTTTAACCCTAGATGTTGGCTATGCTCAAGGAATGAATGATATCATGAGTCGCTTTTTCGTTGTCATGGACTCAGAGGCGGATGCCTATTGGATGTTTTGTAATTACATGGAACACTTCAAAGGAGATTTTATGGAGAACGATATGCTGCGTAAAATAAGTAAGTTTAGTCTCATCAAACATCGACCTGAAGCCATTGTGATCTTTAGCCTCTTCTGCCTTTAGCCACTTTGACCTTTAACCACTGCAGCCTTTAGACAGTGGGGCCTTTAGCAACTTTTGCCATTGGACAGTAGGGCCTTTAGCCACTTTGGCCATTGGACAGTAGGGCCTTTAGCCACTGCGGCCTTTAAACAGTAGGGCTTTTAGCCACTTTGGCCATTGAACAGTAGGGCCTTTAGCCACTTTGGCCATTGGACAGTAGGGCCTTTAGCCACTGCGGCCTTTAAACAGTAGGGCTTTTAGCCACTTTGGCCATTGAACAGTAGGGCCTTTAGCCACTTTGGCCATTGGACAGTAGGGCCTTTAGCCACTGCGGCCTTTAAACAGTAGGGCTTTTAGCCACTTTGGCCATTGAACAGTAGGGCCTTTAGCCACTTTGGCCATTGGACAGTAGGGCCTTTAGCCACTGCGGCCTTTAAACAGTAGGGCTTTTAGCCACTTTGGCCATTGAACAGTAGGGCCTTTAGCCACTTTGGCCATTGGACAGTAGGGCCTTTAGCCACTGCGGCCTTTAAACAGTAGGGCTTTTAGCCACTTTGGCCATTGAACAGTAGGGCCTTTAGCCACTTTGGCCATTGGACAGTAGGGCCTTTAGCCACTGCGGCCTTTAAACAGTAGGGCTTTTAGCCACTTTGGCCATTGAACAGTAGGGCCTTTAGCCACTTTGGCCATTGGACAGTAGGGCCTTTAGCCACTGCGGCCTTTAAACAGTAGGGCTTTTAGCCACTTTGGTCGTTACACAGTAGGGCGTTTAGCCACTTTGGCCTTTAGCCTCTATGACCTTTATCCCCTATGGTCTTTAGCCCCCATGGCCTTTAGCCATTACGCCCTTTATAAGCTGCGGCCTTTCGCATCTATGGCTCTTAACAACTACGGTCTTTAGTCACTCTTGCTTTTTACCACAGTGACCTTTAGCCACTACGGCCTTACTAAAGACAAATATCCCTTTTTTCCCAATATTCATTATTCATTCATCATTTTTATAATTGCAGGTTTAGTCGAACAGCTTTTAATGAAAATGGATCGCGAATTGTACGATTTTCTTCAAGGTTTGCAGATGGAGTTGATATTTTGTCACAGGTAAAACATTTTCACTTATCAAGCATCAAAATGTTTTTCCGTGTAGCATTATTCCAAAAACTTTGCAGTCAAATGGCCGACGACCGGAAAACTGTCAATGAAAACAACAAGCAATAATTGCCTCTTTGTTTTAAAGGAAATTTTTAAATTTGTTGATTGCTCATACGGAAAAAACTTGCCATAAAATCATAAAGTCAAAAGCTATAAAAATTATAATCAAAAATTATAAAAAATCCTTTGTTTTCATTGAAAAATCGCTTCTGTTTCTTTTGCTCTCAAATAATGGTGCTTCTCCAATAATTATGACCTTGCCGCAGTACTGTTGTATTTAGGCCAGTGATTCACAAGAGAATATCTTGGCATTCCCTTTGCATAACATCTTTTTGCGATCTTTATGTCATTTTATCTCACTTTATCTCACTTTTCAATCGCGTTTATTCCAGATGGTTGCTGCTTACATTCAAGCGAGAATTCTCCTACAAGGATGGTTTGAGAATATTTGAGATTATAAGTAGTCGGCATCTCGAAGTTTCATCTCTTGAGGCGGAAATGGAAAGATCAAGGGAAAGAGCAAGAGAGCTGGAGAAAGACGGTAAAAATGCAATGTTTTTCGATGCTTGCTTTCTTTATTATGAAAACCTACTTTTGCGATAAGCGTTCTAACGTGGGCAACCGGGACCTTGGGAAAAAGTCCACAGGGACCCTCAAAAGTCTTTACTTGTATGGAACTAGATATATAAAAAATTGGGTTTCGTTGAGTAATTTTGACAAAGCCTATAGTAAAATGTAGATATGATGATTTTCCTCGTTAACAAAGGTGAGGGGGGGGGGCGTGTGAATGAGTTAAATGCTCCAATTATAGAACTTTTAATGTTCCAGAAACAGGGTGAAATTGAGGGAACCCATGAAAGCATGGCTTAAATAAATTCTTGGTGGCTCCATCTTAAATGATTTAAGCAATCGTTAGCCCATGTCAATTTTTCTTTCTATAAGACATATCCTCTACTAACTGTGCCAACAAGAGAGACTAAAGGCATCTAGAGAAGCTAAGAAAACCTCCCAACCTTTCGCTGCTGGCCACAATATTTCCTTTTTCACCTTTATCGTATCAGAGAGACCGAAGCAATTCAGAGCTGGAACTGACATTATCGTGTCGTCCTGTTTTTTGTCTGTGACAAAATTTTTCTATCAAGCATTCTACTACTATCGTTTTTTATTCAATTATTATACTTTTTCCAGAGGGAAGTCGAATGGAAGAGATTTATGTTAGCCCTGAGTATTCGTTTGACGTGTTCGTGTGCGTGGCGATGCTACACGAATGTCGTGATCGTTTAATGAGCACGAATGATGTTGCGAGTATCTACCAACTCATGGCAAGGTTTGTACTTCTGTACTTTAGGCCATTCCTCTCTTTCCCATGATGCAATTATTTCATTCCCATGATGCAAATCTTTCGTTCCCATGATGCAATTGTTTAATTCCCATGCTGCAATTCTTTGATACACCCTTCCCTATAGCTTGATCCACGTATCAGTGCTGATTTGTACTTCGTATTTCAGTTTGCCTAATGTGAATGACCTGGACACGATCCTATCGCGGGCTGAAGATCTCTTTTTCAAGTATTGCCGCAAATCAACCATCGATTGCTTTCAAGTCATTGACGAACCCATCGAGAAGGCGCTCAGCTGGAAACAGCGCCTCCACATCGACTTTTAGTCGACCACAGCTGCGCAGTACGTATCGTAAAATTGATATCCTGATGCCAGTGAAAAAGAGGCCAGGATCACCACGGACGCAGGGATATCTTCATTCATTCTTGCTGAAGGGGACATCCTCGATCTTATTTTGTTGTTATAGAAAGCTATCGTTCTTTCAGTCGATATGGGGGTCCATTTGCACCCAAGGACTCTTTGCTAACCCCCGTCACAAGTAAAATTTCCTTTCAATATTTATAATTCCCCTAAAACGACATCCCTACCTATAAGCATCCCATTTTTAAAATCTTTCAACCAGAAATCAATTTTGTGCAGAACTGCTGGAAAATTCTATAGCTTTAGAAGTAAGTAGAAAATCTAACCTTCTAGTTGCAATAAACGCCTTTGTTGACAACCATTACCCCGTTATTTTTGATAAACCCCAACCCCCAATTTTTCAAACTAAATATTTCTTCAGGAAATGTACATAACTAATTACGTTAACTATAAAAAAGTAGTGACAACTTTACGAACTTCCAGAAATTTAATGATTTCTCCCAATGCAAGGTTCCGTATACAACCCCTCTTCTCCCCTTTCCCTACCCCCACCCCGAAGCGGTAACGCAGTTGATAAAGGCAAGAAAATGGTAGAGATGGTGCTTAACCTTCTGTCTCTGTTCTTAAATTTCACCCCCAAAGTTTTGCTAAGACCCAAGATTTGTCAACCCTCGCCGTTATCTACCCCAAAAATTGTGCCTTTCTTTAGAGAAAACCCTTTTTCCGCCAGGGGGTATCATAATTTCAAACTGCTGTATGCATTTAGCAATAATCGTAATTGCATCGTCAATAATTATTTATCAAATGTCTACCCCCTTATATTACATTTAATTTAAAAAAGTTAAAAATGTCTCCACATGGCGCCGGCTAATATGTTTTTTGGTTTAATTAGTCATTGAATTTATCAGGTCATTGAACAGGATCATCTCTTCAGAATCCGGCTGGAACCGGACGATTTTTATTTTTTACAATCCGGCTGGATAGCACAAGCCACGTTGACAAGGCAAAAGATTGACCAAATATATTTTCTGAAAAAATTCCCGCTGGCATCGGACTTTCAAAAAATGTTGATCCGGCGCCGAGTTGTTCCGGCCATTGAATATCCGGTTTACCCTAGAAAAGAAAAGTTTCTTGAGCTTATTTTGCTGAATTCAGTTGTTTAAGTTACCGGATCAGAAGATACTGGCCAAAACATTTATCCCAAATAACTATGCAAGCAGCTGTTGTTACCGGAAGAGCTGTTTATTTCGACAAACGTTTGTTAACCCCGGCCCCTTAAATTTATTGAACATGAAACCCCTAACCCTTAAGAGAAATTTTGTTTGTATCATAAATTTCTTACAGTTTTTTATCAAAAATAGTGTGTATACTCAAAAGAACCGTGACAACTGCACGCAGTAAATGCCCGTTATAGAATTACCCTACCCCTGAAATGCGAATATCCGAACCCAGCGCCATTAGCGCTACCTGCGACAGTTTCAGATTTTTTATTTAACTTCCATTTTAAGTTTCATCTGTCGTATGGCGTAACAAAATATGTCTTATTTTTTATATTGAAACTTACAGTTGTAGAATTAGCGCTTGTAGCATATTTGAAATTAAAGTTTGAATGAAATTTTTTTTGGAAAAATCGTCCTTGTACAATTGTTTAAATAATGATATATATTTGGCTAAGAAATCCTTGGAGAAAAATTGTCTTTTTATTAGAGCAAACTGCAGGATTGCATATATTAACATATTTTGTGCAACTAGAAATGATCGGAGTTTACATTATAAAACTTTTGAAAACCTCTACTTGCTCCTCAACAGCGCAATACCTGATTTGTGCCCGAAATGCGGGCCAATAGACTACCCACAAGGCCCGGAAGGACCTAGACAGCGGGGGATCGGGCGTCTTGCCCCCCAAAAACATAAACTGTATAATTGAATACTTTTGTTTTGTAAATATGGCTTTTGTTACACTTATTTATCAGGGCTGACCCCCCCCCCCCCCAAATAAAACAAGCCTGTATCTCGTCTTTGGACTTAAAAGGTCCTTCGATTTCTCGAATTCCCGCTACGTTTTAGCCTGTTCACTATTCCCGACCATTCAAATCCCGAATCCGCACTCGCAAATATTTTGCAAGATTTTTCCGAATCCAGAATCCAAAAAAGGACGATTCCCGCTTCCCCGAAAGACATATTTGGTACCCTCGCCTGGGGGGGGGGGGAGGGGTGCACATCCTTGAATATTGGGCTTTCACCAATTATTATCAATATTTCACTAAGATAATTTAAGAAATGTTTGGATTTATTCACACATTTTTATATCTTTCATGAATTATCGCTCAAAACTAAGGGAAATAAATAAGTACTGAAGTCAACACAATTCACTAAAATTCAGTTATTGAATAGTTTTATAGCTTTTAGTATTATAATGATCGATTAAACAAGTTTTACTAACTTATTCTTGATATTATTAATCCCCAATAAATCATGCACTAAAATTTCACGAAACAGATTTTAGCTTAAAGTTATTTGATCATTAAAATCGCATTTTGTTTTAATTGAATTAAATATGTATAGTAGCCATCTTTATTTGGGTGCGTTACATAAGGTATTTAAATACTTCCTCCTGATTGGTCAAAATTCAAAACCGCGCCAACTTTCTACCGGACTCCGCATTTTGGGCGAAGCTTTGATCGTACAAATCAATCTATGGTTTTACTTCGCCTACAAAAATGATTTCCACACCAGGAAGAATGTATTCAAAGACCCCCAAACGGACGCCAATGAGAAGAGAAAGGCAGCCGCCGAAAGACGTTGACCCTGTTGAGGTTTGTACGTTGTGATTTTCTCCCTGAATGCTTACGAAGTTCAAGTGGACATGCCTAGGCCATTTTCAAGTCGTGTCCACCCAAAACTTATAGATTGGAATCCAACCCGCTTCTTTTTCATAATCTTTTTTCATAGCCTTGTCAAATAAAAACCTGATTATCTACCAAGAAACAATTATATTTTATCAATGCCTTAACGTTATTTTGAATTTAAGTCAAACTTTGTGTGTCCATTTTAGAATTTCTGTTCGTGTGATCTTGGTATTGTTCACAAGATTTCTGCTACATTTTGGGTTATGATGCAAAACAAATGTCTTGTTTCTTATGATCTAAGATATTGAATATGCTTTTGACTTTTTTGTTTTATTTTTGTCCATATTACCAGGCAATCCATTACAACGCGATATATTGTGCTTAATTGTTGTTTAAAACAAATTTTCAATTCACTTTCATTATCTGTTACATCTAAAATTATTTAAATGGATAAACCTCGAAACACATTTGACATTAGATTTTTGCAATAAACAATTAAGAAAATATGTTAATTTCTGTTTGACGATGTATATCAGCTAAAAAACTATGAAAAATGTTTTATATTGGAGAACTTTGTTTTGTTTCTATAATCTAAATGAAACACAATGTTGAGCTGTGACAAATGGCTGGTTTTTTAAATGAATTGATGCAGTCATTTGAAGCATTAAAGTTTTGTTGATCATTTAAGCACCCATATGTTTTGAAAGTTAAGCTTTTGATACCCATAGGGCAATTATAATTCCACATTTGGATAAAAGAACATGTAACTGTAAAAAGTGACCAATGTTTGTTCTCTCTTACATTTAAAATGCAGTCATTTGATTGGAATGAAATAAAATTTTGTTGTGATTTCAAAAAGTGATTTCCAAAATCATATTAGCAATAAAAAACAATGCAAATGATAAGAGGGTGGACATGAAAAAGTTTGATAAAACTTCCACAGGAACTCAGAAGCTGTATCTGTATAAAGCTATATTTAATAGCCCAGACAGAAAATCATGGTTTTGTCTAGGTGTGGCCTTCTAGTTTATTGTTTATGATTAGAAGTAGCTCAATATGAAGTGACAAACAATCATATTGGCTCTGATCAAGCCTCGAATGCCAGGGCAAAACATTAGCCATCTATACTTTGTTTGTGTTTGTTAATGTTTGTTTTCCACACATTGGAGAGTTTCTTCTTTTCTTGAGTTCAACAATCTGTGTTCAACAATTCCTTCCATACAATCAATCTTGTGTCTATGTTTAGTATTGGTATATTGTATTAATTTCTTGTATTTTAGATGTATGCTTGTCTTGTTATTGATAAATTGTATGTAGTGGAATTTAATAAATGAAAATGTGTTCAATCTGAAGCTAGGCCTGAGAATTCTCCATTTATGTGCTACTAATTAATTACCATTGTTGCCTGGGTTTACAGATGCGTTGTTTTGATAGGTTTACTGTCGAGTGCGGCCTCTTGATCCTGATGATGATGAAACCACTGTAGAGATTTTGAGTGAAGATACTATTCAGCTCAACCCACCAAAGGTGAGTTTTTACTTTTCTACTTTCTGTTTTTGTTTACTTCATCATTTCTGTCTATTCCTTGAAAATGTGTTTTGAATCTCCAAAAGCTGCTAAGATTGAAAATGCTGTCATCAAAATGCAACAAAGTATTTTGACTCCTGTGCCTAGAATTGTTGGTAGACATAACAAATCTGGATTGGCTGGATGTCATCTTCCCTGAATGTCATGTTTGCAGGAAAGGTTTCCCTGATCCTGGATGATCAGTGATTAGATAGATAATCCTGTCAAGCGACTTCTTTGCATGTATGAGAAATGGTCAATTGGATTATCCTTTGCAGTTTTGGCTAAATTACTTTTTGTCTCTTGACAGGCTTGGTCATTAGAGGAGAGCCATAGCTCTTGCTCCCCTCCAGGTTCTCCTCAAATGCTAATGATTGCTCTAAAAAGCAAATTCCTTGCCTTGAAATCAATCTTTCTTTATTTCTATTCATATTCATATACAAAGCGCTCATCTGGAAATTAATAGGAGAACTGTTTACTGTTCCCCTGGTAAAAGTCTTATGGCCTGGCCTGTCTTTAGGGTTTTATCCCTATACTTTTGAGACATAGGTATGGTACATTATTTTACAATATGTTGATTAAATGACAATGTTGATTAAATGATTAATTGATTTTTCTTTTTCCTTTCAGACATCAAGAGCCATTTCAAAAATAGAAAAGGTATATATTTATTGTTTCCTTATCTAAAAGGCATTTTTTCAGGTCTTTTGATGAGCAAAATGCAGGTGCTTGACAAACTGAGCGCCATCAGCTTTCTAGGGGCTCAACTGAGTATCATTGAATATCTCAATAGCAAAATTTGGTTTTTGGTATTTAACTTTTAGACATCATAAACAGGCTAGGGGCCTGATCAGTCAAAAGCTTTCTTGGTGTGTGTTGAGGTGCCTCTTCTTGCAAGGTCTGATTTTTTTCCATCAAAGTTAGTTATTGTGTTGCTTTATTTCTTGGATTTTAAAAAAATTGAATCAAATTACAGAAGAATGCAAAACAATTTGTTGAATGAATTTATAATTTTAGGATTGACTTATTTTTTTATAGATGGAATGTACATTCAAAAAAGTGTTCACAGAAAATGACACTCAGAAGGGTATCTTTGTCCAAGTTGGCCTGCCTCTGATTGAAGATCTAGTAAACGGAAAAAGTGGTATGTGATTCTAGCTTTGCAAAGTTATCTTTTTGGGATATTTTTAAGTTCAATTTTAAATGTCTCAACAGGAACCACTCATATTTATAAGTTGGAGTAAGCTAGAGAAATCTAGCTTTTTCTAATTTAGATAACTTTATTGTATGTTTATTATAGAAGAGTAAATATCTTTATTATATATAAATAGTTTCTTGTAATTTCTTTTCTTGTTTTTTCAAGCATATATATATGTGAAATTATGCTGAGATGATGTAAAATGAATTCCTGAAATGGATGAGTCTAAAAGAGTTTATTGCAATCCAGAAATAAATCTAAAGTTTTTAGATAAATCTATAGAAAACTTAAGAAATATAGAGGTGGGTTTTAATATTAAAAAACTAGAGAATTACTAATTTCTGAAAGTTTCAAGGAATAAAATATTGGGGGTATAACCAGGTAAGATTTTACCATTGAGAAAATTGCTTAAGTGTTCATGCCAGGCAGAAAAAGAACCTAATCTGTGAAACTAGATACAGAGTTGTTAATTCTTTTGAATTCCAAAGGAAATTTAATCCATACACACCATGATCCAGATGAAATGGTCCATTTTCTAATTCCAATCTTCATTTTTCAGGCCTTGTGTTTATGTATGGAATAACAGGGTCAGGAAAAACATATACGATGAACGGCTCTCCGTCAAATCCAGGCCTTTTGCCAAGATGCCTTGATGTTCTTTTCAACAGCATCTCTGAAGTGCAGACTGAGAGAGGAGTAGGTCTTTCATTTCCTTTAGTTTTGTTTGAGTTCCTTTAGTTTCCTTTAGATTACGGCATCATTTAAAAGAAATCTTAACATTGTTTCAATTTAAATAGGACCAACATTTTCTTCCCAAAAGATATTGCTACATTTGAGTGGAGAATAATCTTTTGACAAAATTTTTTGAGAAATTTGGTAATCAAGGTCTCCAGCCAGAACATGGTCTGTTTCTTTGTTATAAATGGTGGATTTAAAACATTTTTATATTTAGGTAACTTGGTACCATTATTTTGTTAAAAAACCATAATTAAAAACACACATAAGCGATTATAATTTCTTCTTAGAATTTCGGCTGCCTTCTGAGACAGCCTCCTGAGTAAGAGTTACTGGAGTTTTTTTAAACTTCTTGAACACACGGAATCTAAGCAAATCATTGGCCCAGAATACCAGTGACCAAAAACATAAAACATTATTTTCATTTGGACCTTACGTACAGATTGCTAAGAATCTGTATGTGACATTTTCACTTGAGAAATAAGCCATTTTTCCTTCACCAAATAACTATATATATAACTGTTCTCAGTATATGTGAATTTAAAGCATTTTTACTTCCTCGACATGAAAGTATGCATTTTCTTTTCAACTCATCTTTATATTTTTATTTCTTCTTGCAGTTTACACATTAGGTTTACTTTTTTGTTCTCTTCAAATTACATGTCTTATTTTTGTAGGCTTATTTTTCTGTCTTTTTTGTTTTAGGTTTTCAGAACTGACACTCATAATGGTTATGAACTTTTATCTGACTCCGAATCTAAACAGGAAAGAGATAAAAGAGAAAAAGAACTAAAATCAAGGTAGGTGGTCTAGAAACACACAAAAATTGACACATTTTTGAAGGGGTACAAGCCACACGGACTGGAAAGCAGAGCTATAACACGAGAATTTGGATTCCAAATATACATTAACTAAAAAATAATTTTGACACAAGCAGCTTAAGTTCTTCATGCTAATCTTATATTATTCCTGGCTATGTACCCCTATGTACCCCTGCTATTCTTAACTTCTTTCTATCTGGCTTTTTTTGCTTTCTTAATATTTACGTTGCCCTTTGTGTCCTTGGTTTTCAAACTGTCATTGCTTTAAAAATTTGTTGTTTCTTCCTTGCACACCTTTGATCTGTAAATCTTCCATTTCAAGAGAAAATCTCTTCTCATTTTATCATCATCATTATGTGTGTTCGTCAATTCATTGCTGCTTGGGAAAGGTGCAGGCAGAATTTGCAAATTTATGCATTTTGTATCAATCATTCAGTTACTTTTGCTTTTTAGACACTACAAAGAATTGAGGTTAGTTTGCAGTGAATGCTTTTTAATTTAGGCCCAAATTCGCGAAGATACCTAAATCACCATTATATATATTACTGAGTCAATTTCCCTGTTTCCTCGTCGTATCCAAACATGTGACAAGAATAAGATGATTTATTCTTGCACCAACTTGCACCAACTACAAGCATTTCCACAACACAAGAACTTCAGAAGGGCAAGCTAGAATGCGGTTGAATAGTATCTTAACATCTCTAACGGTTCATGATGTTGATTAAATTTTGTTTTAGGAGAGGAAATGAGATGTCAGATGTAATTCGTGTCCCTGACTCAACAACCTTGCCAGTGAGTATCACCTTTGACATTTGTCATATTACCTTTCACCATTAACCTTTGCAACGGCAAGCTTTAAACTTTTTCATACCATTCTCCAACCGCTATGGTAAAAAGGGAATTTTAGGAGCACAACTTCATTCATTCATTCATTGATCGATCCTTTAAAGTTGTGCTTATTTCATATTTTTTTGTTTTTTTTTCACGATATCTTAAATTTATCCCGGACTGCATATCTTTAAGCTCTTCCATGCGACCTGTTCTCTTTAATTATTGTCTTACTAAAACCAATCCAATATTTACTGGTATATGAATAAATTACCTCCTTTTTGAGCCTAATTGGTTTATTTGCCGCAATTAAAAATGCTTACTTATGATCCAATCATGATCTCAGCAAGAAGAATTATCCTGCAAAATATGTCCATATGGCCTAAAGTTTAAAGTCTATTTTGAAATATTTAACGTTTATTTTGAAATGTGTAATGTTTATTTGATGTTTAAAGGAATCTTTTTTCTTGATTCGCCAGATTGATGATGACAGAAACTACGCTGTTTTTATTTCTTATGTCGAAATTTACAACAACTTCATATATGATTTGTTGGATGAAAACCAAGACGCCATTACGAAGTAAATATTTTCATACACGTCAATTCTGTCTGCCTAGAAGCATTTTATTTCATTCAGTCTGCATATTTTATACACCTTCTTGAATCTATTCAAAGCCCTTCTACTCAGTTTCAAATATTGAAATAGATTCATTTCTACTTTTACTGTGTTGCTATTTAATGAATATTAAAGATTTAAAGTTTTATATAAAAATAAATAATGAAAATTACTGTTTTCCAGCCTGTCATAAAATGCTCTATTCCGTATAGGCAAAGCGGGACATGCTATTTGGTGAATATTTCTTTCAGAGTATTCCTCTGCAGAGGAAACTCAGAGTAGCAACTTAGAACCGTCCTGTTCTATAAACCCAATAGTGTTTCATGTTTATATATATACTTCTTTAATTTCTGAATTTTATAATTTCATCGAAAATAAATATTGCAAAATTTGGAGCCGAATTCTCGTTTCTTTCAGGGCTCCCGTTTCAAGAAGCCTCCGCGAGGACGCTGACAGAAACACTTATGTTGTTGGTGCGACTGAAGTAGAAGTTAAAACAACAGATGAGGCCTACGATGTCTTTTGGAATGGTTAGTTGTCATGTTGCTCAAGGCGTTGCTTGAAACTTTTCCTCATTTATCACATTTCCCTCATTTCCCTCAACATTTGCGTAACTTGACGTCACTGGGGGAGGGGGGGCTGTACAATTAAACTTACAGAGGGATATGTTTGTGAAAAAGAATATTGTTCTAAGAGAAAGATTGAAGAAGAACATTTTTACCAATCCCGAGACATTTTACAAGCAAAAAACCAATGTGGAGCGGCGTGCAATATGATGGGTAGCATGCATAGTATAGCCTCACCCCATCCCCTTTACCCCCATGTTCCTTCCACCCCATCCCTCTTACCCCCATCTCCCTCTCACCCCCATCTCCCTCTCACCCAATCTGTCCATCCCCCTCACCTAACCCACCCACATCCCTTCTGGCCTGATTTACCCTCTTCCACCCTCACACATCCGTCACACCCCTTTCCCAATTTAGAGTTATTGCGTATGATCTTTGATGAACTTGGTGGACGAGGTGTGAGTCTCTGTAGTAAAACACTTAACCCTTTGGGTACTCAACCTCTTTAATTGGTCGATATGAAGTATGTTAACTGTGAATTTTCCGTTTGCTTCACAGGCCAGAAGCGAAGGCGTGTCGCCCACACATTGCTGAACGCCGAATCAAGCAGAAGTCACAGTGTGTTTACAATCAGACTGGTCCAGGCACCGCTTGATTCCAGCGGACAACAAGTCCTCCAGGTTGGTTGCTTATTGATGCTACGATGTAGTTGAGCGCCCTCCCCCCGTCCTTGTTTTTCGTTGAATAACTCAGGGGGGAAGGTGGCACATTTGTCTTCCAAATTATTGCAGATCAGATTGCCTTTATAAGCACATCTTTTACAGCAAAGTTCTGCTTCTATTTTACAATCAGTGGCGGACACCTGGGGGCAAGGGGGGGGGGCTATTGCCATCAAATTTTTCAAAGGACAATAGTATTGTGTTCTAAAGCAATGTGAAAATGTGACGTCATCTTATCAAAACAATTGGCTTGCTCCCCACCCCCACCCCAGCATTTTACCAAGTGTCCGTCCCTGTTTGATATGCCAGCCCAAATCTTGGTGTAGCATTTTGCCACTCGCACTAGCATTTCGCGTCTCTCCTTTCAAACACTGTTGGACTTTGTTTCATAGAAATCCAATATTCGCATATAAAATTTTTTTTGGAAACCAGAACAGATATGTTTTTTGTTCTTTCCAGGATAAAAGATTCGTACTCGTTAGCCAGTTGTCTTTGTGCGATCTTGCTGGGTCAGAGAGGACAAAACGAACTGAGAATGATGGCGACAGGCTCAAAGAAGCTGGTGAGTTTTGTAATTTTGTTTTTGTAATTTCATTTTTGTAATTTTGTTTTTGTAATTTTGTTTTTGTAATTTCATTTTTGCTATTTCTTTAATCAGGCCTGGCCATAACACTTTTAACAGGGGAGCTGGCCTAGATACTTTCCAGGTTAACGATTTGTAGCTAAATAAGAATAGAAGAAAGGAAAAATTGATTTCAAGACGAGCAATTCGCTTTTTAGAGTAATTTAGGAGAGCAATATGTAGCCCCCCTCCAGAATTCGAGGAGCGCCTGGAAGGGAGCAAGATGAGATTAAAATGAGGTGTAGATAGCTCTGCCAATAGGACAATATTTTTTACGATATAACATTTTCTCTCCATTATTTAAAGTTGATATGTAAATAATAGCCGAACGAAAATATATCTTAACCATGAAAATCTTGTAACTCTCAATGTTTTTATTTTTGAAACTGAGAAACGTTGATTGGAAAAGGTTTTAGTAAAGAGATAACATATATATAATCTCACGGGAAATTTTCCACATAATGAAAACAGCCAATAGGAAAAGTGTCAAAATGATCTTTAAATGGTATCAAGGTTGCAAATAACTGGTATAAATACTGGTAGAAATCCTATTTTTTTACTTGAAATCCTTGGAAATCCTTTTATCCCTTTCAACACTGCTATGTTTTTTTTCCAGGAAATATAAACAATTCATTGATGACGCTTCGCAACTGCATCGAATCTTTGCGTGAAAATCAGAAAGCCATGGAAAGCGGAAACAGGCTTCAAATTGTTCCATATCGCGAGTCAAAACTCACCCACTTGTTCAAGAGGCACTTTGAAGGGGAAGGAAAGGTGAGCACCCCCTGACATGACACCTCATACCCATGTCATTCTGTATATATATTTATCGATTAGTATGCTCCCTTGCCTGCTCCAGCCGGGGGTAAATATTTCATGCAATTTTTGTTTTGTTTATTTGATAGATCTGCCTCAAGTTGACTTTCAACTGCTAAAATCTCGTTTGCACTAACAATCCTGTGACGTCATGGTTTCTTCTAAATGCTTTTTTGTCCGTATATTCCTATAAAATTTACAGTAATTGAGTCATCGTCCTCAGGTGCTAGAAAATCCAAATCAATCTGCCAGAAGTACTGACTCCCCTAACACAGCATAAATTATCAAAGCCTGAGACACATGACTTATTTAATCCTCGTAACTCGTATATTGTTTTTTCAGACGAAGGTCAATTCTTTTCTCGACAATTTTCTCTTGTGTACAAATAATTTTTAGCACCTTTTCTTGATAGATGCCTTTCTGTGCATCTTTGACCTTTGACATTTGCACTTAACAGGTGCGGATGATTGTCTGTTTAAACCCGAAACCAGAAGAGTTTGACGAAAGTTTGGTACGTACACATTCTTTGCTAATACAATTCCAAAGCATTTGTTGATCTATGTTAAATTTATAAATTTTTTATCTTTGTGGCTTTGCACCTCGTACCCTCTCTAGTAAATGTACAAATTCTGTATTTGTTATTCGTTATTTTTATCTTTAAACTAGCATGTCATGCGATTCTCAGAGGTCACACAAGAGGTTAAAGTAGCAAGATCTGAAGGAGCCAAGTAAGCTGACCTTTCGTTTTCATCACGTGATTTTTCGTTACATTATGAATTCCACAACAATCTCATTAGTTTCTTATCATTCTATGGATCAAAAGTTATCTTTATCGTTGCTTGACGAATTCCTATTTAATTGGAAAACGGTCATCTTATTTTTGTAGATTTGATATTGGACTAACCCCCGGCCGAGGAAAAGGTAAGCATGCGCAGATGATAGTTAGATGGGTGATCAGTAACGGGATGTGGAAAGAGAAGAGTTGCTTCTGGCATCCTATATGTGATTATGTGAAACGAAATCAAAGTTTCTTCGAGGATCTCCTTATAGACAGTTGATAAAATAGGCCACAGACTAAAATCTCGGCCCAACTCAGCCCTTGCTGCGATTTCTGATGCAGATGACCTGTTAATTAATGCTGGAAAGAACTCTCTAGTGACAGCAGCTGCAGAGAGACGTTTGACCTGTGGTCCCACAAAAATGTTTTGAATGCACCGTTTTGGCTTCTCCCAGCTCTCTATGTCATTGAAATTCCCGCTTCTACTAATATGGCAATCCAATCCATTGTTTTGACAAAGCAAGACAATGGCATCGATTTAGTCAGACCTGTAACTGGATCAAGGAATGTGTCATGAGATTGTCATTATAACGGTTCGTGTCAGAAATTTCGTAGGCCTAGCTAGAATTTCTCCTTTATTATGTTTGTCATTTTTTGCAGCGCATCGCTTATACAAAGGCGTGAGAGACGAATTGGAACAAGTCAAATCGGAATTCGCTGAAGGTATCAGCATTGTCTCATTTTCTCCTTTGAATTTCTCTTTTTAAGGACAATTCTCTTCATTAACCTTTGATTGTTGACCTTTGGCTTTTTGAACAATAATGTCCAGGCTATATTGACGGGATTGGTGTTAATTTTCCTTGCTGCCTTTTTCGTACAGTAGAAGTCATTCCTCTGAGGCCACTGCAAAGATTCGAGTCATTCCCATCCTTACAGGTACGTAGCAACTTTGTCTGCGAATTACTCTGTTTCAATTAAAATTGGGATGTAAAAACCCATTTCAATTAAAATTGGCCTAAAAACAAGACTCATTCTTCGTACATAAAAATTCGTCAACAGAAATTAGACCCAGTTAAAAGATTAAGACTTTTGTTAAGGAATCAAATTGTCTGATGTAGCTCACAAAAAACATAATTTAAGGAATTGAAATACAAACTGCAGCAAAAGACTCCTGTCCAACGGCTTGGAATATTTTAAGTTTTGGCCAATGCTGTTTAATTTAGGTCTAAACAGCTTTCTGAGTCTCTACTTGTTATCAGAGAGCTATGTTATCTAAAACGCTTAACTTGCCATGGTGCAGATAAACAACAGTTTCGGGGCCATTAGCCTGATGTTTCACTTTTGTCCCAAAACAACATGCTAGCTGCAGATTGTCCCAAAGACTTTGGTCGGGTTGTTTCTTTTAAAAAGGAAAGCATTTCAAACTTTGATATTCATGATCCAATCTTTTTAATTTTCTGTAATTAAACCAATCTTCTTCTAATTTTTGTTTCCAGTTATATTTCTTTATTCAAGTACTAACGACATTAAAAAAGCTTTATAGACACATTCAAGATAATTTGAAAATTGAACGATACTTACCTGAAGGAGAAGTTAAAGTTTGATTGAGATTCTATGAGTTTATTGGTCAGTAGCATAGAAGTCACGTGAGATGGCACACGAGCCACCAAGTGCCAGTTGCATGTCAAAAACCAAGTGTCCGGACGTATTGTGAGAGTTTTCAAGTTTTTGGTTTCTCGACATGCAGCTTGCACTTGGTGGCTTGTGTGATATCTCATGTGACTTCTATGCGACGTGGACCAATCACGAAGTAGAATTTCTCTGCTTCTCCGCAGAGACCCTACGCTATTATGAATGAGACGTTATTGTTTTAGAAATTATGTAATTTCTGCTGTTTTATTCAGATGACGTCAGCTGAGGACAGCAGAACTCTCTTCAATTTGATTAGTTATTTGCAACAGCGAATCACATTGCGAAACACTTTGCTTACAGAGCAAAGCAGAAAAGGTTTGTAGAGCTATAGTAAACCAGTGAAAACTACGGTAAACCAATGGGAAACCTAAGTAAAGCCTCAGTAAACCAACAAAAACTATTGTAAACCAATATGAAACCATAGTAAGCCGATAAGAAACTAGTGGTTTTACTCCCATCGTTGCTTTTGTAAATTCATTTTACTCTCACTAACCAATCGTTATTTGGAATTTCAACCACTTTCTTGACATACATGACCTACAGCCCTACCAGTCATCGATCCTTCCATGCTTTGTAAACTTTGGTCTCTTTTGCCATCTTCTGGCTTTTTAGCCCCTGGGATCATTCCCTAACAAAACCAACAAGGAATAAAATAGGACAATAAAACATGGTAATAATTGGTTACTGTTTTTGCTTTTGTTTAGAGGAAAATCTTCGCTCACAGCTTCTTAGCCTACAGCAAGAAAATGAAGACTTATGTCGGGTAAGCCTTTGACCTTTGCACTATAACCTTTCACCTGTAACCTTTCACCTGTAACCTTTTCTTTATGCCTTGATGTTTTCAATATTGCAAAAATTCTTCTCATTACATATGACTTTAAGTTTGTCATATTTTGTTTATAATCATTGTCAATTTATTCAGGTTAATGCAAAAATAGAAGATTCGTCATTAAATCATTTTTTTCTAGTTCTTTTATATATTAATGTGCTTAGGCCCTTTTTTGAATTACTTTGCTTTTAAGTGCAGAATTCGATTATGTCAGAAAGTTTTCTCAAAAATCTTTTTATAAAATGTTGATATCAATAACTTTCATAAATGCTCTACATTTTAAAAAATGATAAAAATGATATTTTCAATGTTATGTTGTTTGTTTATAAATATATGAAAATTATGTTTATTCTTATTCAGGCCTTGGCTGATCAGAAGTCAGCTTATTCAGATAAGGACAGGTGGGGATCCATTTCATTTTCTACCTTGCTTACGTAATATTATCATCATCATCATCATGAAGCCAACCAGATGCTTTTAATTTCCCGTGCTGGTGTAGAGTCAGGCTTTTGAATGCCATTCTGACACAAGCTCTGTCTTGTCTATCGTTTGGATAAATTCAATTTATTTCCATGTCTTTTTTAATGTCGTTAGTCTTTCTGTTCCTAGGTCTTCCGCTTCTTTCTTCATTTTTTCCCCATTGCTTGTTTTAATGCAGTTTCTTCTCTGCTTCTCATTATTAACATATTTCATGTGAGGGTCGTATATAATATATCACAACATATCTAACATATAGTGTCGTATAACGCATATGTATTTAATCACATGATATCATCATAATCGTATATATGACAAATAAAGCCATTTATTATCATCATAATGTTTCATAATTTTATTTTAATCATTATACATATAATTTTATGTAGTTTTGTTCTTATGCATCTTTCTTTTTAGGGAAATTCTAAATCTTGAAAAAAGAATAAAAAATCTTAACTCAAAGGTGAGTTAGCTTTGTATAATTTTCGTTATTTCTTTTCTAACGAAAGTCTTTGTATAACCTTTAGGTTTGTCTTTCTATCATAATTTTGATATGTTGCTGAATATAAAATTTGACTTGTTTTCCTTTGAAATTCCCATCCTAAATTGACCCCCCCCCACCCCCCACTAAAAAAATGAGCCCTTATCTATTAGGCTCGTCTCCATCTTAGCCAGCTCCATTCATAGTGGAACCCCATATTTGAGCCCGGTCTTGTGACAATTGGTAGGGGACAATTGCTTGTTTATATGTCCATTCTTTTGAAAACAAGACATGGACCAGGCAGGTATGGTCCAATATAGTCTTTGTAAAGCATTTAATGCTACTGTACAATTTTTTGTTAAAGACTCATTGCTAACAATGAGCCTTTGCGAGGGTGGCAAATTATCCAGGCGACAATCCAAACAATGGCAGTAAACCTCTACGGATTAACCATAATTGATTTCAGACTGTCTGAAAATGCATTATGGGATGCTTGCGTAGCGCAATGGCTGATTGTTAGCAACGAGTCTTCAAGGTCGGGGGTAGCCATGCCTATCATGCTCCCATTGGCATCGTCTTTGTAATCTTGTTCTTTTAAGATGTACTTTTTTAGACTAAGTATAAAAAAATATTGTCCAATTTCCATAATTGCAAATAATTTGGTTTGGTACAAACATTTGTTTATTCTCAAGGAATCCCGCATCTTTCAACATAAGTAACTGAGCAACTTGTCATTTCTGATTGTTTTTACAGATGATGACAGTACAAAGCACCGTGTCTCGTCTTGAAAAAGACAAAAGAGAAGTTGAAACCGAGGTTTGTTTAAACTATTGATTACAGATCTTGCAAAACAGTGGAAACGTGGAAGATAATACTAAAGAATTTTCTTGAAACACTTTTGATTTTTTTAGTTCTGACTCAGAAATTCATATTCTTTTTTATGACTGTTTAAAGGCATCTAGTGTTACACGTTGTTACACAAGGTTACACGCTGTAACCAACGAAAACTGTAGTAAACCAATATAAAACCATAGTAAACCGTAGTAAACCATAGTGTTTTAGGTTATAACTCACTAGTCTGTGTTTACTTGCTGCAAATCGTAATTCAGAGTAAAAGACTCTTGTTCGTCACTCCTCCCAGTAATTGCTCTTTAACTTTCCTTCCTTATTTTTATTTCACTTCCTTTTAACTTTTTGTCTAACACCTTGAATCCATTTTTTACTGTTTGTTTCCCGTTTAAAGGCTGAAAGATACAAGAAGGCATATGAACGCGAGAGACACGAAAAACACAAAGTAGAAAAGGTATATATTTCGATTGTTAACCAACAAGACATCTTTCTAACAAATGGTCATTTCAAGCTTATGATCCCTAAAAGATAATTTGAAAACTTAATTGCAAACGTTGTCCTTGAGTTTGAAACTGTGTTCGCAAATTGTCATCATATAGATAACTGGTCTTGTAACACAGAAAATGAATTATATCTAGACTATTATTTTTCTGTTGAGTTGAGTAGCAAACTCATCGGACACATTACATCTAAAACCCTTTTTGGTGCCATTTGAACCACATTGAAATAGACTCCCGAAAGTCTAAAGTCGTCACATTTCATCAGGCACAATTGATGTTACGTTGAGTAGGCTGCAAGAAAGTGCACCCCATCCACGCTACCCCTATCATCTCCCCCCATCACCCCACCCCAATCACCCCCACCCCATCATCCCACCCTCATCACCCATCACCCCTACCCTCATCACCCCATCACCCTAACCCTCATCCTCACCCATCACCCCCACCCTTATCATCTACCCCACCCTCATCACCCCCACCCTCATCACCACCATCACCCCTACGCCTCAATCGCCCCATCACCCCACCCTCATCACCACAACCGATCACCCCACCCCCAGCACCCCCACCCCAAGAGAGACTTCCATTGTATAGGTAAACTTTGCTAGTTTTAACTCATTTTAAATGCCACCCCTTTTTGTGTCTTTGCCAGCTATTCAACAAGAACTTAACTCGGCTCTTTTCCCTAGATGCTGAAACATCTGACGTCATCAGAAAGATCAAAGTGGGAAATGGAATGTGTATGTACCAGTCAATTTACTGCTGTCAATCATTCTTCAAAGAAGCTTTTTTAAACGGCCTTTTTCAAACTAATTTTAATGAAAACCAATCGCCTTTTTTTGTGGTATTTATTGATATTTTTCCTATCTTTAAACTATAGAATAAAAGAGTAAAGAATAAAGAGCTGGAGATGCAAGAAAGATATTTAAAAAAGACGGAAAGATTGGCGCAAGTTAAGGATATCATACAGGTAGGCCGATTTTGTTCAGCATCTGTTGTCATTTATGCAGGGCTCGCACATTAGGGTGAGGATTGTGAACCAATGTTAAAAAGGTGGATTTATTTTGAAATTATATTGATGTCAGACTCAGGGATTCTGAAAACTAAGTTGATTAAGTTGTAAGTTTATTAGTTGATTAAGTTGATTAAGTTGATTAGTTGATTAAGTTGATTAGTTGATTAAAGTGATTAGTTGATTAAAGTGATTAGTTGATTAAAGTGATTAGTTGATTAAGTTGATTAGTTGATTAGTTGATTAAAGTGATTAGTTGATTAAAGTGATTAGTTGATTAAGTGGATTAGTTGATTAGTTGATTAAAGTGATTAGTTGATTAAAGTGATTAGTTGATTAAAGTGATTATTTGATTAGTTGATTAAGTTGATTAGATGATTAGGTCCACTGGATTCCATGCGAATATGCAAACTATATGTGTGTTTAGAAGTGCCGTTTTTATTTTCAGCGTATGTTATTGCCCACAATGTTTTCTTCATAGAACTTTGATAGTCCTGTGAGAACAGTTCATATGGACATACCAATTGAAGGAGAGGAAGCCCCTCCGTATATTCCACCAGAGCCTAAACCAGCCCCTGTGAGGCAGCATCATCGACAAGTCAAAGAGAAAGTGCCACCTCCAGTTGCTAAGAAACCAGCAAGAACCAAGCCGAAAACCCCAAGCACAGAAAGGATTCATAGGTCAAGGTCACCGCCTGCGACAACCAGAAAGGTGGGTTGAGTTGTTTTGAAGGTCAAGTCAGAGGGCATAAGACAGAGTGCATAAGGCAGAGACTATAAAGCAGAGGTCAATTATTGCAACGTAATCAATGTTTAGACAAACATCTTTAATGTGAATTTCTTTTAATTTCTATGTTAGATGGTGTTTTGTCAAAGGTCAGAGATCTGCTGTCAGGTGACAGGGGTCACTTGGTACCATATCATCTTTGTCTATCTTTCTATTTAATGTGCTGTTTCTCATGACTTAACCACTAGTGACATTTCTTTTCAGCCTGACAGACGAGAAGCTCCAATGCGAGCACGACACAGAAGGTCAAGATCATCAGACTGCATTCTGGTTCATAAGCCAACAGATACCCTTGAAACAGGTTTGTGACATCACAATTTCAGACTCGTTGTAATGCCAAGTCTCCTTATTGGCTCAGTGAAATTGACCTCAGCACCTTTGTCATATGTTATTTATTATGAATTTTCTCTGTTTTTTTTTCCAGATACAATAATGCAGCCGATGATTAGAAACAAGAAGACTGTGGCTATTCCAAAAATCAGTGACCTCAAGGTGCAAATTTTACCTTTGAATTGTTTATTGTTCCTCTTTGTACTATAACCTTTGACCCTCTGGCACTTTCATCCCTCATTACTCTGCGATCTGATCCTTTCACTTTTCTTATAGTACATTCACGTTTCCTAGCCATATCTTCTGCACCACGACCTTTTGCAATTTCACTATGGCATTCTTTTCTTTCTTTTCCCTTGCCCTTTGTCCTGTAACCTTTTGACCATTTGATACTTTTTTTCATTTCTCATACCACCACCCTTCATCATTTTTCACATTATCTGTTTTAGAACGAGCTTCATTACTTGCTTGAACACCAAGAAGAAGACTCAGCGGGTGAAATTGAAACAAAACTGTTCAAGGTAATACGCCAGGAAAATTATTTGTGATTATTGAGTTTCTACAACTCGGTAGAGAATATTATTTTAGTCATAAGAGGTCTGCCTCGGCTACGGCCTAAAGTTAAATTGGATAATGTTGTAATGTTATATATCTTCTTTTCATAACAGATTAATTGTTATTTATATTTTAAAGATTCCATTTGCACTGTGAAACATGCAGCCCATTTGCTATCGTTTTCAAAGAGTTGCTATTTTGATTTGTTTTCATAATTATATTTTTAGTAATTAGCCCGTGCTAGATAAGTCTGTATTGTTTTATGTATAATGCAGTATTTATGTTTTATTCGCTGAGGTCTTTGACCTTTGACATAGCATGACCTTTAACATAGCATGACCTTTGACATATTATGACCTTTGACATAGAATGACCTTTAACATAGTATGACCTTTAACATAGCATGACCTTTAACATAGCATGACCTTTAACATAGCATGACCTTTAACATAGCATGACCTTTAACATAGCATGACCTTTAACATAGCATGACCTTTAACA